CCAACAGGGAAGAAAACCAGAGGTCATGGGGATTCAAATAAGAATGGTTATCTGTACCATTCCATGTTTTTATTTGAGGCAGAATAACAAGCACAGTTATCACAATAATATAATTATATAAATGGTATTAAAAATGAAAACTGTGCCCTTTCATAAAGGTCAATATCCAGTAAATGTATATGTTCCTTACTATTTGATGAGTCTTAATCTTAAGTATCTTTGCAGTTCATTAAAGATTCTACAATTGCAGTGGAATTTGATCAGGTTTTACTTCTTTTTGTTGAAATTACTTTCAACATCTAAGTTGAGTTGAGAAAATAAGCTTAGCTGTTACATCTAGTATTATACTATTACAATCAGAGAAATCAACTCAATACTTAAGTCACTGACTTTGCCATGCATCTTAGTATTGGCCCAATGTATTCATCAGTTGCTGCATGAAATTTTTATTTTTTCATTTTTAAAGGATATGCTTATATGACAGATCAATCAGAATCAATCGAAAAAAAGAGGTCAGAAAATTGTACAAAAAAAAAAAAAAATCCTGCAAAGCTGCATGGGGCCAATCCCAGTCTCAAGACTAATAATCAAGCATAATATTGAAGTAGTAGATACAATTTCCTATTATATTCCCACCTGTAAAAGTTTTTTCAAGCTCATTTTTATGACTTGAGTATATATTTCTTCCACCTCTATGCAGTAGCAGCAGAGAAGAGCAGTTTTTATTTCTCAGGTCCAATCTGCAGTGTTACCCCTCCGCTGTTTAAACATTCTGATATAAGTCAGTCATAAGAGAAAAAACTCAATAATCCTATTGATTACACACCACTGATTCATGTCTGAAGACATCCCTGGTGGAAGTGGGTGTACGTTGACCAAGGGTCTAAGATTTAATCCATCAGACACATTGACACTTTCTTTGACCACAACCTTCAAGAGGGTGTCAGTCAAATGCTGCTCCAGTTTCAATACACGGGCAACAGAAAAAGTAGGATTTTCTTATATCTGGCAAGGATTCAAAATCTTCCCCTCTCCCTTGTCAACTTTTGACTACCCAGCTTAATTACAAACAGAGGGTGAGAGAGTAATTTCCCTCTCCACCAATTTGATCTAACCATGTTTAGCAAAGTTCCACTGTTAATTGTTGTTCTCTGAGGGAATGATTAGGCCGTTATGGTAGCCGTTTGAAAAGCAACCCACATTAAATACAAATGGCATTCAGCCGATGGAAAGGTTGGTGGTGGAGAAAGTGAAATCTGCAGCTCAGGCACAGTTGCCAGTGAACTCAGCCTGCTCGCAGTGTGATGCTCTGTTTTGGGCCACGTTGTGTGACGAGCCTCAGGTGTGGTTGAACACACAGCAGTGATTTAGCACTTCTCCGGCAGCCAGGTGTTCATTTTACTAACAATAGAGCTGTAACGTCATTGTGTTGTGGGCCAGCTCGATCCTCTCATCACAAATTAGAGTGCAGGGCCTTAGTCACTGCCTCACTTCTGAGTCTGACTTGTAAATGGTCTTTTTATTTAAGGCATCCTCTTTGTCGTGCTAATCAAAGATGCCTCTTGTTTAAAATGCAGGTGAATGAAATGAGGGATGGGAAAATGGAGCGGAGAGTTGGATGGGAGAGAGGAGAGGTTAAGGCATACAGTGAAAGGGTTCCTGTTTAATTCATGGACTCAGTTTTGATTAGTAGTTTTAAACAGCTGTGGTTTTAGACACGTTATCTTCATCTTTTTTCCCCCCTTTTTTCCACCATCCAGTATCGGCTCAATGCAAGATGTCCATTAAACAAGCTTTGATGGATTGGATGGCAGCAAATTAATATTCCTTAAAAGATTGGTGTCTCATTCAGTAGTCAGGGGCAGCTCTGCTTGTCTACCTATTTGCTCCTCTTTATGCTAATGACACCATGAGGGTATGATAATATCTCTATAAAGAGAAGGGTGATATAATTATGCATAGATTTAGAATGCCTCAGAATTCATTTATGCGGACTACATATAGCGCCTAAACTTATATTATGTTAAACTTTCACATAAAGATTCTCCAGAGGTGCTTCAGGGTTGTTCAAATAGAATTTAAAAGCTGTCAAACATCCTATGAGCACTTGAATGATATCTTGTACCTGTCAGTTTCCATTCCCATAATAAGGACTGACTGAAGTATGAGAGTCAAGGCTCTAAGGTAGATCTCTAATCTGATATTGACCAGATAATAATGGGGTAACATTCCTAGCTGCCACATGTTAGCACATTATACTGCTGACAGAGCATCATATTTAAGACCAAAAACTGAGATAGGGACTTTTGACTGAAGTACTGAAGCTCAGTGTAACTTTGAAGAAAATGTTTGAATTTTTCATTAGGGAGCAGCAGTAAAAATCGAAAGGTAAAGTTTAAAAGCTCAAGAATTGGGATTCTTTTGTACAAAGTACACTTAGTTTCTTTCTTGTGTGAGATTGGTTGTTAATACTTAATTAATGTTAGATGGTGCCAGTTATTGCATTTTCATGTTCAACAAGAAGTCAATCAATGCATAACATGACATAAGATAACCTAAGATAACATGACTCAGGCATGAAGTAGTTCAAATGAATTCACATCTTATAGCCTGGTTTGTTGGCTGTTCCTTTCTTTTGATCAAATAAGAAATATGTTTTTGATGGTTTCAGTCTAGTAATCATTTACTTCATCCTTAAAAATTTCGGTGTCATCTGCAAAACCTCGTTAAGGTGTATTTGACTAACTGCATGTGTATATGGAAAATAATTAAAACCAAAATAAGCAGGGTTAAATAAATGTTTAAAGTTTTGGATCTTTTATCCAAATTATTATTGGATCCAGTTTTACAATTCATGCAAATGAAGATGGACACTGTTTAAATGTCGATATTTGCTCCTGGCTGGAAGTATACTATCCAGCTGTAACTTGCACATTTAAAAAAGGCCTTGTCTTTTCTTTCTGTGTGGAGAAAGTTTTGAAGCTAACAGTATGAAATTTGTGAACATTCACAATTATGAATGAGATGCCCATGGCTGACTTTGAAAAGCTCTCTTGGAGGAAATTACTCAATTTTTTTGCTTACATCATAAATGTGTGCTTTTATGTGTATTCAGCAGAAAATAGCAGAGATACTTTGGAAATGCTGTTCCTGCTATATCCAATTTAGTTTGATACAAGACTTTCAAAATCCATTTAGACAGAATCGCACAAAGAACATTTGTGAACAGAGGCCATAAAACAGGCATTTTAGTTTAGCAAAGCCTAAAAATAATTTACTTATGAAGTTTCCATCTTTCCAAACATTACCACACAGATAGATCTCACATTCGCCAAACTGGCTATTGATCAGCAATTAATAACAGTTTTTGTGTGACTGTGTCACATCACTGCTCTGACCACAGCCAGCATCACTGTTCAAGCCAGGCGCTGAAATAACAGCATGGATTCATTAATAATATATATGTGGGAATTCATTATAAAATCCAACAGTCAGAGGCTCTCATAACAGAAATTACGGCTGTCTTCCAGGCGGGTTGTGCTTGATACACACCTTTACATCCATAACTTTACTTTGATCATACCTTGTTTTATGACATGTTCAACTTTACACTAGGGGGAGACAAAGACCCTTTTTGGTTATACAGTCAATCTGCTCTCAAGATTACATGATTAATAAACAAAGAGAATGTTTTGTTATGTCAAAAGTAAGACAGTAAGAACTGCAAAGCTTATTTTTTGGCAAATAACTAACAACAAGCATATGCAAACGAAACCCATGAGTTCTGTATGTACAGTTAGCCTTGTTAGTTGTGCACCAAACTTTTGCAGTGACCTATTTCGTGATTAGCTTTATACGTTTACCGGAAAAGAGTGTGTTTATGGCAACATGCTTGGATAACTGTTGTGACTTAAAATGCTCATCCTAGCAATGATGCAAATGGGTGGTTCTGCCTAAGCACATCTTTGCAAAATGTGGGCCGCATTACTGGGTTATATCCTGAAGGAGTCACATCGTAACAATAGCACAAAAGAGAGAAACTGGAAGACATGGAGAGGGAGAACAGGGAAGAGCAGAGGGGGAAGGTTACAGAATTACACTTCCACAGCACATCTCAAAGCCACGAAGCCACAATGTTGGATGGTTTCATGGGTGTGTTAGGCAATCAATAACCAATTTCTGAGTACTAGATTGATGGATGAAGAGCACACTGGTTAGATTATTTCTTTACCATTTCTACACGTGGCATTAATTTGTTGTTAGTCTCTTTTTCTGTCCCTCATTAGTTACTCGTAGACTAAAACATACTTGGTGCCGACTTCATATTTTGTGTATTTGTAAGTGATAGCAAATGTGTCCCAACAATCACATGATGATATCATTGCCAGGCGATCTGCGTTGCTACAGACATGCCTGGGTTGCTATAACGACAGCTGCTGCTATATCCGTCACTGCTGTGGGTCACGGCTACCTAAAAGAGCAACGTACATCACATCCCTCTCTGATTGCCCGTCTCTGTCCCTTTCTCTGAGTTTCACCTATGGCTCTCCATCCATGTCTTCCACAGCCTCTCCATCTCAGCATAGCAGACACAGTTTTGATATTACATGAGGAAACCCTCCACTATACAGTGCGCAGCTTAAGCTCTGTGAAGCCTTACAATTAAAATGCAGACAGTTTTCTTCAAGCAGAAACCAATTGAAAGCTGTTCTGGTCACTTCTTTTTTCCTGTTTTAATGAGAGCTGGAAACACCAGGGGTGCATACTGTGATGATTTAAGGTCTGCTCCACTTCTTTCAAACACACCACACCCGCATAAACTAGGAACAACTTGAGAAACTGCAGAACATCAATACAGGATTTTTCTGTTCGCCATCTTGCAGCATATAATTCTAAAACTGGACTGCATTCACTTATCAACATATTGGCATATGCACAATGAAACCACAGTAAAAGTTTTTCATAAACAAGAAATGCTTCAACACATGTTCATCAATGCATCATGTTTAATTGTTCAAGTGCAGCTCACTCACACACGAGGTAATATATTTGTAACAGAGTAGGAATAGTATGATATGATTTAATCTAAATGAAAACATTTCTGCAGTGTTGCACTATAGAACGAGGCACACATTTAGTTTCAATAGCATTGATACTGTAGAATGTCAGCAACAGTCAAAGCTTCAAGAATACATTTTGGATAAATTGAGTGCAGACTTGACCCACTTTATGCACTTTGACATCAGAGCTGAGCATGGATTAAACATTTACACAGAGGAGAGTAAAGGAAAGAACTGCAGATGAATTCAGATTAATAGAAATAGGATCATTTGACAGAATGTAATTTATATCTTTCCATGACATTTATGAATTTGTCTATGCATACAGGAATACAAAATGCAAGAGATAAATGCACATCCATACGGTATAAAAGCTTTCCAAACCAGTTTCTTAAAAAAGACTTTTAGCAAATGCACACAAAACTGTGACCAAAAATCACAATGTCATCTGTAAAAAGATAATAAAATAAAAATCATACTAATCAAGTACTAGTACTTAGGACAGGAGTATACAAGTTGAATGAACAGTAGAGTATAAGTTCATATAGATAATAGAAAACACAGAGGCAATGCTAACTATTAGGAAAAATGTCCATAAGCCTACACAACTGCAAGTCCAAATATAACTTTATTATATCAATCTGAAAAATAATAAGTGCAGGACACCAGCATTTTTGCTCTGTAAGCTACTGTATTTCTGAAAGCACTTGATTTGACTGGCACAAAGGTGAATGAAGGCAGGAAAAGGAGTTTAGGGACTGAGGTTGTTCACAAACACAGTCTGTACACGGGGGAGGTCAGGGCAGGATTCACATGGCAGTCTGAGAGCAATGATGCCTTCACAGTGGCAAAGATGAGATGGTGTCTTCTTTGCCCCATGCTGAAATAATGTCCCGTTGTGACTGGTCAGTACCTAAAGAAAGAAAACAACATGTGTTCCCTCATTCACAAGAAAATGTCAACTCAACAACTAAATGAACATGTGTAGATGTTTTTCATGGTTCATGATCATGCAAATGTGACACAGCTTGATTTATTATTCTTTATCTTTCACAATGCTGATGAGTGGTATATGAGCTTTAAATTAAACACATAAAATATAATAGCTGTTGCTTTACTGAAACAATTCAGTCTGTATGAATTCTATTGGAATGGAAAAATGAAATCTGGACTTAAAGCCCTTTTGAGGAAAGCATGCACGATGAGAGACACAGGTAGACTACACAACAAAGTTAAGATGAAAACAATGAGTTCAAAGCAAGGGGGGTGATTTAACTGTTTATGATCAGATTTAAAAGATTCAATTATGAAATACCCTGAAAACCACTTTTATTCGGTAACAGGAGCAGCTGGATTGTCTTTCTGTTCAGAGGGAATTGCTAGGTAGTTTGTCCTGTAGGCAAATGGTAGAAAAACAAGAAAGAGCCTGAATCCCACTGTTATTATCCTGTGCTTGAGAATACACCATAGACAGCTGACTCTTTGTGACATTTGTATTCGATTCACACCTGTGTAACCCCACAAGGAGTTAAATTAAATAACTCATTCATTTTCCATATCACCTCTATCACATTCATGCTGCCACTGGGTGAAAAGCAGGATACACTCGAGATAGCTCACCAGTCCATCACGGGCCAACACAGTGAAAGCTGAGAAAGACAGTCTCGTCTACTGGGAGTTCATTTTAAAAGATAAAATTCTTCCATGTGCTGTGCGCAAGAGTGCAAGACTGCTCACCAAGAACCTATTCATTATTCAGTAGTGAACCTCTTAAAAACCCACATCACACGACATATGGTTTTACACTGAGTGCATTAGTAAAATAACTGCCGATGAAGCAAGATTTATATCGTCTGTGCAAAGTTTTATATTCTGTTATTCTGCCCCAGAATAATAGAATTTCAAAGATTTCCTCGTGTGATTTATCTATTGCCCTTTATTGCTGTCACTTCCTGACTTAATCTTCCTTTATGAGACATGTGACCTGAACCACTGATGTACCAATATATCTTCAGACGCTTTTTAAAGACTTATTGGCTGAGAGGCCAACAACAGAGCTGCCCCTTTGAGTGTGTGCAGCATCTCACTGTCATACTCTTGTGATAATGACATGACGGCAAACCATCATTTTTTCAGCTGCTTGGGCTAATGGAAATGCTACTGTTACGTAAGTTTAATGATCTTTAGCTTAAAATCCAATCTTGATCTGGCCATGGATCACCACACAATTTAAATGCTGCAGAGAACATTCTTTTTGCTGACAGTAGCTCCTAAATGGCTAAAATGGACCACTAAGTGGTAAATCTTAAAACAGAAGAGGTTTCCGTGGCAATTTAAACCTGTGCTTGATTGATTTACATGACTTAGTTTTTTTTGGATGATGTTTGTTGTTTCTCATTTCCAGACCTTTAAAATGGGATTTGGAATTATTAACTGAAAGGAAGCAACAAACAAATAAAAATAATCCAATCGATATGTTTTGTTGAATGAATAAATATGATCAAATAATTAGCTGTTTAGTCTTTGTTTATTTCCTAAATGGTCCTGGAGGATATAATTTGTGCTTTAGCTGTAAAGGCTGAATAGCATTATATTCCTTGTTAGGCATAAAGTTAGAATGATTAATTAGATCACTCCAAATAAACCTCAGTTAGTTTTAAGTGTACAGTTTAAGAGGTAAGCTTCCCCAAATTCTTACCCCAACACACAAATACTTTTTCCAAGAATGATGAATCGTCAGGCCATTAAAGATCTGTAAGATAAAGACTTGTCAAATAAATTGTTAGCTGTTACTAATTGAGAAGTAAAAACAAACAACATTGCAAAAACATTGCACTTTACTCTCGTTTCACAATAGTTGATTATTTCACCAAATTTTCCCTCTGAGAATATACCCAATAGATACTGTAAACAACCCTGTAGTAGTTAGTTGTCAACTGCATTTATTATTACTGTTAACTGAATGGAAAACAACTCTAGTGAATCAGCACAACTGCTTTGTAATAGCTGCTACTTTTCTTTTCAGAGCTATGAGGCCTCTGTAAAAGCTGTCGACATGGATCCACTGGCTTAGTCAACGCTGGGAAAATCCGATGGGAGCTGACTAAAAAGGTGCGTTTGAGTCTTTTTCAGAGCTGACAAGGTGATGCAAAAGTCAGCTTCTGACGGAACTGAAAATCCATCTTGGATGTAAAAATGCTCTTTAGAAAAAAAAGGAGCAGTCAGCAGAGCTTAGATTTATTCAGGTCTGTCAGGTTGTGTTTGTGAAAATACAGATTAAAGTTTTAGGAGGGTTAAAACCAGCGCTGGCTAGACTCAATTACTGCTATCTCTGTCTGTTTGGGTGCCCTTTTCTGTCTTTCCTCCTTCCAACGTCTGAAATGTCTTTGGCTGATACGGCAGAGATTTTAAATTGATATTATGTAATAACCTGAAATTCAACCATCCACTTAAACTTTTTCCAAGGACATCCCGTCTCTGTTGACTCATAAGCTTGCATTTTGGGGTTTGGGTAAGGAGACATGGAGTGCACATGAACATGTCAAAACTGGGAACCTTTCAGTTTTGTTGTCCACAAGCTGCTTATTCAGCTATGTATGCGTGTATGAGAGCAGATTTGTTTATGTAGCCGCGACTCACGCTGTGTCTTGTGCCTGTTCATCAGACTTGGAGATCTTCCTGTAGCAGTACACCATTTCCACCAGTAGCCAGAAGGTCAAGAACACCAGCAGCACATACATCATGATCTCAGAGTAGATTGCTGTGGGGTCCTTAGAGGCTGTGGAGCACAAATAGTGGACAGGGACATGTTTTATTCAATATGCATTCATTTGTTGTGAATTCTTATGAGTCGAAAAGAGCAAGAAAAGGTTCCACAGTTCTGTGGAAATACACTAAGCATGTCCATCACGGGTGATGCACAGTCTTAAATCAGTCATAAATTGAAAAGAGCATTTAACTTAGCATAGCTGACTGGGATTAAACATGACCATTATTCATTACGATGATCATATGACTATTGTTATTAATCACGTGCATTTCTGTATTGTCATATCTGTCATACTATAGTATCATACAATGGCACATGGTATTTACCATTGTATGGTTGTTGTCTGTATAACATATTACAACTATTGTGAAATAAGCATGTTTACTTGTTTTAGAGTTTCTGGAAAAGAGCTCAGACCACACTACAGAAAAATGTGTTTTTTTTTACTTTTCACTGACTGCCAGCAGAGGATGTTCAAATGGTGACTTTCAAAACTTAAAAAAAAAAGAAGATTGGACATGAGATTGTTTTCAATAAATACCGTCAGCCACTAGATTTGTCGAAGAGGCTTTTCTTTTTATCATTGTATATTATTCAATTAACAGGTTGAATGCAGACAATCTGGTCCAGCTGCCTCTGCCCTGAAACAGCTAATTCATGCACAGTGACGCAATCCTTACTATGCAGTTGGACAATTTGCTCAGGTAAAGTCACGTGTCCAGATAATGATGATATCTAAAACACATTTTAAAAAGGATTTCACATACTGTGTGGCATACAGAATAAGACGATCATACCTGTGTGTAATGGTACTGAAGCCTGAAGGGTTAAAGTTCCCTGCAGAGATCTGTCAGAGCTGTATTCAGCTCATAGCAAATCCAGTGAAAACTTGCTCATGGAAGCACATAAAACTCCACAGTATACTCTTGTGTTTAAAATAAGATGATTGGAAAAAGTCAAAAAGTCACAGTGGCTCCTTTGGTGTAAAATGGCTTTAACCCTTTCACATATAACACTCAGAAATAATTTTCAAGGATATGGTTGGCTTGGATGCTGTTATTCCACATTAGTGGACACAAGTCACAATCCGATATACTGCCGTGACTGCCTTATGCTATAGGTAAGTCAAAAAAGCATTTCAATATTTGTGCGCAAAACAGTAAACATGATTTCATTTTTTATTATTTTTGATCATTCATATATGAAAGGGTTAATTTGAATTCCTTTTTAAAAGTTTTTATAATTATTGCGTGCCCGTTGAACATGATAATGGTTTCTACTTATGGTGGCCATTCTTTCTTCTTACTTTTGGCATGCAGAAAATTAAACATGCACTCAGTGCAAGTGATGGAGGACAATATCCAGAGTCCTTTCCTCATGTAAAACATCTAATCTATATTTGGCCAGAATTTTCTTTTTTTTATGTGATAGCAAATGTTGCTTTATCTAGCAGTGGTGGAGGATTAGCAACACAAAGGCCAGAGGATTGTATTAGCCATCACTTCAAGTACAATGGAAACACACTAAATTCTTTTTATAGAGCATGAAAATTGATTAAAATATGCTAAATCTGCTTCAGTATGTAGTCATATGCGCATTTGGCATTTGTCTGACAATATTTGAATCAATACATTTAAATGTATTTCATTCTTGAGCCACTGTGAGCCAATGTGTCAGTGAATGTGGATCAAATTCCAGAAAGCCTGCTTGGCGGACAGCTGGCAGGTTTTTCTGATTTCCCTGCAAGTAGAGGCTGTTAATGTAACATAATCCTTTGGAAGGAAAGTACAGATGCGTTGACCATTAGCGATTCAATTCTGCCTCTATGGACTATATTGCTATAATATTACACCCTTGTATGATGGCTATTAATAACAAGGCTTTCTGAAATTTGATGCTACGGTAATATGAAATATGCAGGTGGCAATCAATTGTGTAAATAAAAACATTCAGTCTATTGCATACTTTTGAAAAGGTGCACTTAAGAGGAAAATCACATTCAATTTGCATTCTTACAAACAAAACACTTTGATTCCACAAACCTATCCATATATGCCTATTGTCATCGCCTTTAGCATGAGCAAGCATAGAAAATGTGAAGATAAAGAGATGCGGAGTTATAAGTCCAAATATACATGTTGATTTGTATATTCGATACAGGTGGAAGATGAAACATTTAGCAAGCCAAGCATTTAGGAAGCAGAATACATTACCCCTTTTAACAGATAGCAAAGTAGCTGGTTTGAATTAAGCCCTTCATTGACAACAGAAGAAAGCTTTAATGGACAATAAAGGCAGACAAAACAATAAAAAAAAGATTACTTCTCTGAAATCAGTCACAGCAGAGAGTGGAAAAGATGTGTTAGTCGCACACTAAGCAGTTGATAAAAAGCCACTTATTGTGTTCTGAAAAACACCTTATGTAACATCAGATGAAGTGGTTGCACAATACAGACAGAAGACTCAAACAGTGGTTCTCTGAGCATTAAGATGTGTAATATTGAAGAGAAAATCTCAGTTATGTCCTAACTCCACAAACCACAGATGTATTCTCAAACCCCTTGGAGAATACTGTCTTATGCAAACCTAGTCTGCTAATACTGCAAAGTACACAGAAATAAAAGTCATTATCCACAGAGTGATGTAAGGTAGATAAGATGGAGATTTTTTTTCAATTAAGAGACACTGCTGAGCCAATGGTTGCTTTAGAATTGGTAATCTGCTGCTCCTAAACTTGGAAAAGCCAACATTTAGCTAAACCTGTGCACACATCCTGAGAAAACAAAACATGGAAGAAACTTACATACCTTTCTCATTCACATGCAGTGAGATGTTCTTCATAATAGTGAACGATGGGGTGAAGAAGCCAAACTCAAATTCCCGACGAACATGGCACTCATAGAGACCACTGTCATTAAAGGTAACATTAAGAATCACAATGGACATATCTTGCAAATCTTGACTCCCATTCCAGGCAAGACGGCCCTTAAATGGCCCATCTAGATCCACTGGAGTGGAATTTTCATATTTGTATATCTAGGCGAAAGGGAAAACATACAAATAGGTACAAAATAAAGAATCCTCACAGGTGTGAACATAAATAAAATGGTATGTTTGCGGTACTGTTTCAGAGACTTACTTCAGTTTTGCTTTCCGTTGCTGCTGCCATGTAGTACCAAATCACACGTGTCTTTGCTTTGACCTCCTCCCTCTTCATACAAGAAATGCAAGTCAACTTCATGGACTTCCCCAGGACGGCTTCCGTTGCTGACGGCACATCGACACATACTGGCCCGCTCAGTTGGACTGGAGGAGCATCGAGATGTTTGACAGATTAAGAATAATTTTCATTAAGTAAATGTTTATAATTGAGGACCTTTCACCTTCACATATTGTGATGATGCAAGGATGATGTCTTGACAGTCACTGCCCAAAGGGGAGGGGGACATTTTTCCGTGCTCATCATTTATTTTCATTGTACGAAAACATCTTGTGCCAGATTAAGAATATCAAGAAAATGTATGTGGCCTATATACTTTACTGTTGTAAATTAATGTCAAGACTGTTTTTCTAATTAGTTAACACTCTTTAATACAAATGAAAAATAAAACAAAACAATGGTTTTAGCATTTCAGAAATGCTTACACATGCAGAAATAAGATGGCCTCAGGTGTCACAGTCAGTGACATGGTTTCCTGTCCTTTTTGAGATATTGAGACATTACACCTTTGCAAGAACAATTTTTAGCTGGAGCAAAAAAAAAACAACTCCCGAGCCAGACTTTGTTTTTTATTGTCATCAGCTTTTGTTCTCTGAATGCACAATGAAGCCTGAACTTAGCCAGGCGCAAAACTCAGTCCACATTAAAGGGACGAGAATTAAATCATACAGCTTTACGAGCACTGCTGAGCCTTGAGTTACAGTATTGTTGGCAAAACCAAGACCATCCAGACCAGCACACACAAATCAAGGTCTCTGCCAGTTCATATTTCCTTGCAGTGTGATGACTAAATAAAGGAACAGTCCAGAAATCGCTGTTGGTGGATGTTATGACCAGCTCGTGTAGGGGAAAGGGAAGTAAGAGTGGAACAGTGGCACAGTGCTATGGGTGAGGGTTTGTTGAACTGAGAAGTGGTTGAAAAGGAATTAGGCTGCGAGTCCTAGAATATTGAGATGAGATGAGTGTGGTGCATGACAGAATATAAATTTAGAGGCAGTGAGTGGTCTTGAATGTGTGTGATCATTGCAGTGGTTGACCCTGTGCTGTTATGTAACAGAGGCTCGTGGGCAGATGGTGACAACATTAATTCTATCTCATCTCTTTTCTATTTCTTTCTTTTTTTTTTTTTTTCAATGCATGTTCAAAAAAGGAAAAGGAAGCAGGAAAACAGAAAAGCAGAGACAAAAAGGAAACGGTTCCCTGTGTTCAATTGAACCCTTTAATGCTGACAACACTGAGCAGAAATTCATACATCCATGGACCTAAGCTGAGATAGTGTTGCATTTGTGTAAAATAAGCAATGTTCACATTAAAGCAGGGGTCTGAAGGATCTTGAAGTGTCATACTCACCAATGAATACCAAAAATAGCAAAGTTTCCAGATGAACTCTGCACAGAGTTATCATATTCAGCTCTTTCGGGAGCTGCTGATGAACAGGGTTTCTTTGACTTAGGATTTTCTCCAAGTTGTCTTCGGATGAGACAGTTGTTGAAATGACTTCAGGACCCGGACAGCGCCTCTCCTCGGCTGATAAGAGCAAAGGTAACTTTCCTCCTTTTCGACTGGAAATCCAAACCAATATATCTGTCTGTCTGTCCCCAAAAAGTCGCCAAAAGCTTAAAGGGATCGTTGGAATGCGGCTGATGTTGTTAGATTCTTTTATATTAACTTAATTCTTCCGAAACGTCTAGAAAAAAAACTAATTTCAGCATCCCCCTGCATCTGCAGGAATACACAAGTCCGCGATAAGCGACAACTACACCAGTGATGCAACAGTTTCCTCGCCCACAACTCCTGTCATTCCGTCTGGATCCATCCAGACAGATTTTTTTTCTTTCTGTATGTCTTTTTCTTCTCTTCTCAGGAGAAAGAATGCAAAGAGGAGGGACCTGTGGATTCTTAGAAGCCGATTTACCTACTTACAGTTTCGAGATCAACGGTCCTGTTCACACTCAGCCGCTAAAAAAATAAAAAATAAATAAAACGACCGCAGTTCTCATTTCACCTTTCAGTGAAAAGCACTATTGATCGTTTGATGTCTGTTTCTTCCATTAAGGATGACTGATGACATTTTTTCAGTCTGAGCCCGGTGCCTTTGTTTTTCAGCAGTCACTTAACGCTGGCAGGAGCAGGAGGCTTGGTGCGCATGCGCCAGTCACTCCCTCCTACAGTACAGGGTGCATGACTACATCTGTGCGAGTCCAGTTCGGCCTAATGACCTCATCACGCCTCTTTGCACTTGGGTTTTCAGTTAATTTGCCGGTGCTAAACAAACAAAACACGATAGGAAGCGGCGTGCACGTGTAGAAACCAAATCACCATTCTCCCCCCACCCCCCCATCCCCAATATAAAGATCATACTGTATTTACAAAAGTCAGAGAAAGGTGTCAGTTACATGTTATATAATCTTGTTTAGCAGCTGTTGGCAGAAATCATTAGTTTGTTACACATGAGCAATTGCATTAGTTCATTTCCCCTAGGATTGCCAGTGATGAGACAGGATTTATGTAAAGAGGCCATATTGGTCTATTTGTGGATGAATTATACAGTAGATGTGAGTATTAGTGACAGATAATGAAATAGGGATTTACAAAAATAACCTACTGTTAATTGTATTATACAAATGCAAACTTTTAAACCAGTGAAATGTTATTTTTATTAGAAACTTGTAGTAAATCTAAGTAATTTCTAAGTGATAAATCTGCATTTGAGTCCTATATGTTACTTGCTCCCACTATCTGACAAAAACAACGGCTATTTTCTACTCCTATGGTGTACAGTCTAAAAGGGCATGTCGTCTATGTGACATTGTGACATTTTGATCCAGGTAGAAAAGACAGAAACCTTAGTCCAGTCAGCCTCATGAATAATGATAAAGTGAGCTAAATTAATCAATAATCAAAATTTTTTAAATAAATTTTAATATTCACAAGGAGGATTATATTTATAACCCATATATTACTATTTAGTAAGGACAGAAGCATGTTTTTTAATATTATGTTCTATTTAATCTTGAATCTATTCAACTGCTACTTTAAAGTATGTTATTGAGAAAAAATTAACAGATTTAAATGACAAATTACCGGTAGCTTAATTTTTTCTGTCTAGGACACAATTCTGGAAACAATTTCTCTAAGAAAACATGACTGTGTCATTTGTTTTTCTTATATATATATATATATATATATATATATATATATATAAACTTCTCTGCGTAACAAAGAAAAATAGGTCAAGAAAAAACATGATAAAGGACAGAGTGTGTGATAAAGAAAGATGTTAATCTCCCTGGAAAATCACAGTATTTAATCTTGGAACCATTGTATGTGGAACAATGAAGGATTACTCAGAGTAAGAATCTAAGGTAAAAGAATTTGCTCATTATTCTTTTGTTTTTCTATTTACACAAAGCCAGGAGACATTGCCAACTATCTTCACAGCTAAGTGATTACACCTGAAATCCATGTTATAATACAACTGGAAAACACTGATAATGCTAGCAGAAAAAATAGACAGGGTTTTCACTCATGCCCACATTCTTTTTACAGAGAAAAGCGCAAGGGGAGTTGAGTGCATCCTTGAATTGCTGTTAGCATCAGTAGTAGGCTGGCACAATGAGGAGCAGGCTAAATATGGCAGGCCTGGCTGAACCACATCCTGGAGATAAGGAAACCATAGCAACAGTTAAGCAGTGCTATGGCGACCACAGGAAACCTGCTTGGTGATGGAATACACAGTCATCACAATTACAGGACGCTTCCAACCCACTTTTGTTTCTTACCATCATCTGTTGTGCTGGAAACAAAACTTTTTTATTTAAAGCAAATAAAGAACATGTTTTCAGAAGTGCTGCCATGTGTAACTACATGTGATCACAAGGGAAGGGCTGTCACAACAACAGCCAGATCAACAAGGTATAGAAGGCAGGGAGTGATTTAACTGAGTGAGTGCATGAACTACTGTATTAAAAGGGCATATGTGATCACGTAAGGACTAGTATACATGTATGTATGTCTGTTCACAGTATATACTGCAAAGAGCAGATTTCTAGGGATTTGGAAGGATTTCACGATTATAACATGCATACAGCAGAAAGCCATGGATCAAAAATGATGGAACTTTAGATGTAAATCTCATGTGGTTGGAGGTTGGAAAAACCTCTAATTGTTCAGCTTAGAGAGTATAAGCAGTACTTCACTCATCTCTCAAACATGTAGTATTTCATTCTATTTCTTGATCTGCACATGTTGACATTTACTGCATTCTTGTTCCCTAATGTCCTCATTAAAATTTAAATAATTTGATTTAAAATTGACATATGTATACACAGCCAGCAAAATAATATGAAAATCATGAAATTTAACAAGAAACTCAATGCTATTCATGTACACAAACACACTCCCACAAACACCCATCACTCAAAGTCGGCGCTCGCACTAATATAACTCATGTTGAATTAACAACTAGAGCACGCATAATATTGAACATTTGCAAATCATCACACAAGTCCCTAACATGAAATGTTGCACCACATAATTCTTTCATCATTCTGGAGGTTTTCTTTGCTGTTCCTGTGCCATTTTCAGACACGTATCAACTGCGCACATGGTAGATTTATTTTCCTGTGCATGCTCTTTTCCTTTCCCAACACACATTTTGAAAATATGGTAAGAAGAGAGTGACAACTATTCTCTCTTCTTCCTCCAAAAATGGTGACTATTTTCGTCATGATGTTTGATGAAAACTACTTTTGCACACATCAAAGAGAGCTGCCTGACCACTACAAAATATATCCGAATGCAAGCACAGAAGCGGAGCAGGGCAAGGGAAAAAAAGGAAGTTACATTTGGATTATTAATGACAATACTTAAGGTGAAAATCATGAAAACATATCACCGCTCTGCCCACAGAATGGCACCTTTTTAATGTCTTATCTTGACAGATGCATTTTATTGACTTTCATACTATTAAAATAAAATCAACTAATAGAAGTTCATGATGACAGGAAAACACAGTACCAATGCATAAGATGGAGGAACAGAAAAAAGAGCAACAAAATCAGGAAGGAAAAGGAAAAAGAGAAAGCGACTTCGACTAGAACCGCTGTAAGAAAATAAAAATGCATGTAGGCACCACCTGAATAATTAGCAAGTTGGATACCTCCTTTGAAATTACAGTAAGCTATTGTACTGATTCTAGTCATGTAAAAACTCAGTGTATCATTGATCTGGCTTCGGTCAAACTGTGAAACAGACACACAGAACAGTCAGTGGCAAAGCAGCTAATCTAACTGATAAGGCATGTAATCTCAGGGAGTCATAACACCCTGCGTATGCACAAGCACGAGCACACACACACCTTGAAGGCAATGCCCCCTTCAACAAAGGATAACTGGCATGGAGCTCTCAGCTAACACTGATAGTAAGTGAAGACTCGTTCCCTCTGACCTTCTGATTTGGCTCACAAACCCCCTGTAGTAATACTGACTTTCTATTATAAGACCCAGAGTTGCATACATCAAGTCAACAATTGAACCAGAAGAATTCAGCAGTCATGCAACTTTTGGCTGGTAAGCTCAGTTTAAACTTTTAATGTGATATACTTTTGTTACAGAGAAACCTTATGACAGTGAAAAGAGCTAAAAAAAAACATGTGTTAGACAAGTTCTACGTTTTCACACGAGGAAAGTGTTGAGCACGTGTATCATTCTGGAAAGAATATCAATAGGAAAACAGATTGTCTCCTTTACTGATGGGAGAGTTTAATCAGAAGACTGAAATGATGTTGATTAAAATGTTCTGAACGGAGCCTGTCTCAGCAGCCAAACTGAAATCTTTTCTCAGAAACATTTGAGAGAAGATTACAGACTGTCATACATCTGTTTATGTTTTGGATCTTTAATAATCAAAAGAGCACATCTCAACAATTTTAAAGCCTGTCCTGGTTAATAAGTCACTCTAGTCAATCTCCAACAAACAAGATAGACTTTTACATAGGGAGAGGTGAAGTATTTCTTGGTTCTGCTGGTAGTTCAGTAATGTGTCAGGACTGTTGGCCTGGACAGTGCAACCCCTTTATTACTCAGAAATATGACTCTCCAGTTTATAGTTACCAAGACCTCTGCTCTCTATGCTGTGGTGGCTGTTATTGGGGCTTGCTGAAACACTGTACGTCCGATGGCCGTCAGCAGGACTGCAGCCATTGCCACTAAGATATTGGTCCTTTTCCTCCTGCCGAGCAGTGCGGCTGTCACTTTGTGTACCGCCTTTTGTCGCGGCTGTGGATGCGCTGTCATGCTGCTGGCACTGTCTCATTTGGCCTAATGTGACTTGGAGCTCATTGAGGCGCTGTGATACATGGCGTCTCTTCAGTTCCAGCAGGATTGTTCCATTACGACTCAGGCTTGGCATGCTTGTTGATGATGTTATCGGCTAAAAAAAAAAATTAGAGATTTTGCATTGCAGATGATACGTGATAAAAGCCATCAATAAAATCACTGTGCCAAGGACATATCATAATCATGCATATTGCTTAATGCATTAGTTCTCTTCTATCATAAAAAATAAGGAAATAAGCAAGATACATTTAAATTTTATTTCAGCATTTAAATGAATTTATCAATTGAACATGCAAGTTGTATGTAATGAACACAGTAATTATGAGTGGTGAGGAACTTAAGCCAAATATGAAGAAAATTAAATGTAGAGATCGTTTCTCATGCCCTTTACAACTATATTACATCATTAACTAAATTTGGACTTCTAGACTTTTAGACTTTTGGAATTCTGGAAATATATACTATTTGTTGAGTGTAAAGTTTAAGCCAGTTACCCTCTGGTTTTCAACACTGTTCTCTCCTTCATTTCGCCATGTGCTCATTTGAGCTCTCCTTTGGATTTGCATGGTCAGCTGTAAGAATGACTCGCTAATGCGATCAATTTCTTCCTCTACACACGACATCTGGAACAAAGGAAAAGAGATGAAACATAGACCTGGAAGACAGGAATTATTGTTTAGAGTGAACACTATTCACTATGATATGGTATTTACTAATGTACAGTATAATGCTTGTTACCTGCACTGGTGTTCCTTTTAATGGTAAACCTGTAAGTAAGGGGTTTTAAAAATGTAGCAAAAGTTTGAGAAATGTCTTCAGTTGTTGTTTTCTATGAATACATACTTAAAGCACATATCAATTTAAGATTATTACATTTCTATAAAGAGTAATTTCATAATGAGGCATAATTTCTCTCATTTCTAACCTAGATATCATTTTTCTTTTAAGTGGAATTGTGACAAAACACCTTTAAATAAAGTTTTCTTTGCTTTATTGTTGCCAAAGAAAGATGAGAAGTGAAATAAACTTGATCATTTTTCTGCTTCAATAAAACATTATGTATTTTTTTTATTTGAATCATCTCCTATAAAACAAATTTTGTCCACCTATTTCATAGTATTAGTGAGAGATTCATACCAATTTCAGTGTCTGCAGAACTTTGTTTGAGGTCAGAGATGAGTTGCGCCAACTTGAAATATTTATAGTTCTTCAGTCTAAATATGAAAACGACAATGACATTTTTTTAGTTAACTGAAAAATTGAAGAATATCATGTCAACCTCGGCTTAAGGTTACAAGTTGATCACCCACCTGCTAGCCAATAACTGCTCGGTGAAGTGAGCTTCAGAAGGAACTCTAATATTGAGAAATTCATCAACTAATGTGCCGTGCAGCCCATCTAATGGACTGAAATTTGACTGGAAAAAGGAGGTGGGAAAAGGTTAAACAGTAGTAATTGGGCAGTATGAGAATAATCAGCTACGTGTGACAAACTTGTACACACCTCTCCAGTGCTCCGTTTGAAAGAGAGATTGAACAGCTGAAGACTCAGAGCTGAAACGGCCTCATGCAACGCCTGCATGACCTTCTGTGGCTCGGGGCCTGTATAAAAAGATTTTATATACTTGATGCTGTTCCCAAAGAAGAGTACATAGTCCGTGCTTTCAGTTATCTTGTTCTATACATTACTGTTGCAAAACCAGAATGCAGCATTGGCGTTCAGGACTGTCTTCTGTGTTTCTGATTACCTGCTGCTACGTGGGCCATGGACTGCAGGATGACGGCGATGAAGTTTCCCACGTGCTGCAGCTTTGCCTCGGACAAATAAAGGATTTGATTGGTCGCATCAAAATAAAAGTCCCCTGAGCAATGTGGCAGCGGACCCTCATTAGAAGGAGGTGGGGGAATGGGGATCGACTTGGCCAGCAGCAGGAGCACGGAGGGGAACTCGGGACAGTTTCCAAGCAGCCGCATGACCTGACAGCCAAACAGGAAAACAGCCGAGTGCTGCGGTGAGAGGTTGTCCAGTGCAGTCGGGATGAGTTGTCCATCGTGGTTCCCCTTAAAAGAGTGCTCCGTAGAAGCTGAGAAGAAATGTCAAGAAAAGGCTTCAAGATGTCATGTTTAACACATTTTACTCTATAGAATAGAATTCCTTGTTCATCATCAGTTCATTAGTTACTACTTTTTGGGTCTTTTTCAATGCAGGATTTTGGAGGGTTTGTATATTTTTCCGTACCATTGTGTTGATGCTGATGTGACTCATTTGTGGTGTTGTTTCGTAAAGACCGCTGAATCTCCTGCAGGGTCTTGAATAAGGGAGACATGGTGACCAGTTTGGACAGGTCGTGATCACTGAGAGACGGAACTGCGCTTTGTGCATATTCTGTGGGACATGGAAAGCAATGGCCTTGAGGACACGGTACAATATCCGGATATTCTTATAAATCGCACAAACCCTTCACATGTAAAAATTTACTAACCTGTCTCATGAGGGAGGGGTCCTGGTTTAGTCAAAGTAACCGATGAAAACTGTGGACAATTAAGAACTAAATTATATCTCAGTTTATTTCAGGATATGATACAAATCCAACTACCAATATCGGAATGTACCTGTGTAAAACACATGTTGGTGTGACTGGGGTGCATACATCCAGCCTGAGTCTCACAGTCTCTGGCATCATGAGGACCAACTTGACAGTACGGGGCACCAGGTAAATCCTGGTTCTGCCATGTGTCGCCTGTCAGCCTGCACAGCAAAGCTTCCACTGATCGAAGAACAGCTCCCAGTAACGACATAAAAGCTGGCGCTTGGGTGGTGTAGAAGTAAGTTCCACGCAAGATAAAGATTAGACAAAACAGTTATTGATTCATATTTCAGCCTGTCAAAGCACATTATTTTGTTTTTTGGTCTCTAAACTGATAAATCTGAAACATTGAGGCCTTGAGGATTAATAAATACTCGTAAGAACTTTAACATCAATGTGCTTAATTGATTTCATTGCTGGATTTGATTTGGTATTAAAAAAACAGCAACTATAAGGTAATTCTTTAAGATAAAAAAAATTACAAAGAAAAAACAAATGACTGGTAATAGTTTAAAAATCGTAAATAAACTATAAGTAACTTATTTGTTAATTCAGACTTGATTGCAATCACTATTTAGTTTTCACAATGTAATTAAAAACATACGAAAGAGTGAGATTGTTTCCAGTTATCATAAATGAAAGTGTGCTATATAACATATAGCAACATTTTGAACAAATCATTTACTTATGTTTCTTACCTTGTACATCTCCCTCCCCCACACTGGTGTGAGATAGCTTATCCTTTGCTGCATTATGAACCATAATCTCCTTAAAAAGACTAAGCTTTTCAGTATCCATACTCTCAAAGACATTCTGAAAGAATATACATAAATCACATTTATTTTCATTATGTTCATCTTCATATAACAAATTAAATAATTATTTAAGAAATAAATCAAAGATATTGCTTTCCAGTTGGGTGACATTTGTAAAGGATTAAAAAATTATTGAGGTTGATGGTTAAATGCATTATTCATATAATAAGTACATACTAGTTTTAGGCTATTAATGAAAAAACATTTGAGTTGCCAAAATTTCTATCCAGCATGATGCTGCATGTCCCTAATTAATTGGATAGACACTTCCAATAAACTGTGCACCCTCAAGGACAACTGCAGGGCATCGAGGCAAAAATCCATTCATGAAAAGTTTTCATTTCAGTGAAAAATTAACCAAGAATTAATTAAGTTCTTTTATTGATATGTAGAGCGCCATTGCACTCTGGAGAGACAACTGTTAATGGCTTGATTAAAAAAGACTATAGTCGGAGAAAATTGTATATTTTCTTAAAGTGTTTTAAGTTAATCCTTATACCACATGTGTTGATTATAATACTCACTTTTAAGGATTCTGCCTGATGGCAGATATTCCTATAAAATTCTTGCATGTCTTTGCGGTGCCGGGCAAGTTGAGTGGCAATATGGAGATTCTGGTCTTCCAGTTTGTCAAATAGTGTCCTCACATTGAACTCTTCCAAATCACAGCACCCCGACACACTTCCTAAATGTGACCAGTAAATGTCAATTGTAATGGGGACAATTAGAGGAAAAAGTTGCTTTAATTTAATTTCAAATCACTTCAGGAGATTCTCTCTACCAATCTTGAATGATAAAAGCACAATTCATTGGAATGCAACACAAGCCATCATTTCCTTTATATTCAGTCAAACTGGAAATAGGCCGTTAACTGCTTGCTAGTCATGCATTATGATTTTATAATGACTAGACCTATGAATGCTTTCATGCTCTATCAAGCTGCATGAATATTGCAATAAGTACTAATAGAGGGACATAAAAATCCGCTAGACTAAAAAGACTAGAAATAACTGATGGCAGAACATTGAAAATCAGTCAAAGGGAATAGCACTGCCAAAAGTATTTACGGAAACATTTGTATCAGTTAATTATCCCAGTGGTGGTGTATTGAAATAGTCAAAGGATGAAAGAAGTGAGTGTCACCATGAAATTTAATGCTTGACTGGCAAAAAAAGAAAATCATTTTTTTCTCTTTTTGAACAGTGATACTGATTTACTGCATGCAGACTCATCATCTGTTCAAGACTGCACTTAACAAAATCATCCTTTTGAGCCAGCTGGCAAGAAATTCCAGTGTCCTTATTTGTTTTTATGCTGGTTTTGGGAAAAATGATTAAGCGCAGTGTAAAAAAACAGGGTATTTACCTCCCCGTAAAATTAGGGGTTCCTCAGCTTCCGCTCCCTCTCCTACACCTCTGTTGCCAAGGTCACCACCTCGGCTTTCGACCATTTTACTGAAACGATAAAGTCACACAGCATTTCTCAGTATCTCTTAGCATTTTAAGATTTTGTCATGTTATCATGTTTCAAGGCTGTTTGAAGATTTTATTTAGCATTTTTTCTTGTTGTTTCATGCTAAAATGTAAAAACAATGATGCTAGTTTCCATTTTTGTTTATTTTTAGCTGAGTTGGAAGGAATACAGCCTGCATGTCTTGACATAGAAAATAGAACCCCAGCCATCTGCACAAATAACATACCTTTCCCCGTTGCAAACACACTCGACCGGACAGAAGGGCTCCCCAAGGCTGCGCCACTTTGGCTTTAACTTCCACTGTGTGACAAGCTTTGCTTTGCCAGGTCGTAAAACTAGTACAGTGGTGGTCAGAACTATAACAGCAACCAACAGCAGAGCCAGGATCCCTGAAGACAGGGAATTTTGTATCACGGAAACATTTATATGTGCTCTTTGGACATATGTCATAAGTATCTGTCCGGAAGAAAAGTTTGCTTACCAGTAATCACTCCCCAGTCAGGTAGGAGGTTGAGTCGGTGTTGTTTGACAATCCCAAATTTGACCAAATGGGCTGGGGTCATGGGTTGAAACACAGCAGCTCTGGGGTCACACTCTGTCCCCTCACCACTGACCACTAACACCAAACTCCACTCAGGGACAGCATTGTCCACAAACACATATTTACCTGTCTCTGAGAAAATGTGGGCAAACCTGAGGAAAGGGATAGATAACAGACGGCTACAAAGAGCAGCTATGTAGCATTCATTTTAAGAAGATACATACTTTGGGGAGTCCATAGTACCTCGTGGAGTTGAAGTTTGTCTGGCTCATGAGTATCTGTAGACGCCTGAAGGCACCAAAGTCCCAGCTGGGGTTACTATTAAACAGGTGATCTTTCTGATACACCGGAAAGTGGCTGAGACGTCGATCTAGGGATTCAAGCAAGGTTAGAGTAATATCATTTAAAAGAAAAAAGCTATGTCTTCAAGATGATAAAGGAATCATGAAAGCAAAAACAAATTATATGTTACCCGTGTGATTGATGGTTAGATGAAAAACTACCATGTCACCAGAGGAAAGACAGGCAATGGGATTTGGAATTCTGGGAAGGACAGTGACCGCACCATCACCTTTTGTTCCTCTCTTCCTTCTTGTGTTTAAGATTTCTGTTGGTTCTGAACAGAGACACATTAATGTAGAAACTAAAAAACAGTGTACTCTATTGCGAGTAAAGGCTGGATACATATATGTATGAGTTGAGCTGGGACCTAAACAAAGAAGGCACAGTTATGAACAATGACATATCAGGTCACCTGACAGAAACTGATTAATGAGGTCCTTTTGTGTGGGAATCCAACCAAACACCCCTCCAGAATCAAACTGGACCAAATGTATTTTTCCAGAGATCTTTGCATGGATATCCGGACTGAGGACATTTGTTACTGTCTGGACGTAAACACAAACAACACAGATAAGAACTGACATAACAGCTCTGTACCTCAGTGTGCTCAAACTGAACATATTTGTTGTGCTGCCTTATCAACACTATAAAAAGAACAACAACAATAACATTGATCATATGTTTTGAGATAAGTGAATAGGGTCACAACAGTGGTTCGTGTAATGCTGGACATGAAGAAATACCTCTGTTGTAATATGTTATGGTGATTGTATGTTGTTCAGCTAAAATGCTGGTTGTTTGTTGTGATGCTGAGGGACCAAAATCTGTGTCATATTTCTTTTCATGCAATTTGTTCATACTACTTAGACCAGGTTTAGCTTTTTTTGTGTTGTTTTGTTCATACTAAATGTGTTTTTCAGATAGAATTCAGCGTCTAACCAATATATACATTTTGATGTCAGAGGAAGATAAGATGTCTAAATCCAGCCAATTTCCCTGCACAAGAGAAAATACAATTTTCTGTTGTTGAATGACAAAATAATTTCAGGCTGCCAAATTTTTCTAAATAGAGCACAAAAATATATATTCATTCATAAATGTAGAGATTATAAGAAAAAATACAGCTACAATAGCATATTTTCTGAAACACCGCATATTTCTTTTCTCCATTCAAATGTTCATTATTACATTTTATCCTTTACCATAGGCAGATAAATCACAAAATCTGCAGATCAAGCATTTTGCAAAATGTGCTGCCGAGACTAGTATAGAATAGTTTGGGATGCACCAAGTATTTCACTCTTTAATCAACCGTACAGTCTGAAAAGTTTCTGCTGCATACAATACTGACTGCATCATTGTTATCTGCCTGAAGCAGACTTAAAATGTATTGGCTAAGTTATATACATATTTAGGTTAACAGATAAGAATATGGGGAATAAACAAAAAAAAATATGGCCAATTCATTGTGCTAAATAGGTGTGGCTGATCTTCAGTTTGTCAGTAGCACTATAAGTTTTATCTCACCCTAGCCCATGACATGCTGTCTGGATTTTTGAGGCTGAGCAGCAGGTTTCCATCTGGTGAAAGCTGAGCAGAGAGCTGAGGCAGTCTGGATAGACAGGAAGTATTGCAAAGCTCCTCCGCAGACACATATCGCTCACACTGGCAGCTGAGGGGGCAGGATCAGGGAGATAAGCCAAGAAATAGAAGGGTAGTGTATCAGCCAAAAATATTTACAACATAGCTATCATAAGCTGTAGTAGTTGTTACACTGTAACTTTAAATGAGGGATTGAGTCTACAGCTGGGCACACACACATATATATACACATCAATGACACTCACATGCCCATCTCCACATCCAGAGTTCCTCCATGCGGTCCACAGGTAATATTACAGGAGTGAAGGGATGGTGACACACACTCTCTTGATGCTGCTAGCCGTACTTGTCCTGGAGTACATCGTTTGTTCACCTAAAACACACAAAAACAGACACTTTCATCTGAAAGGACTTAAAACAAAAGGATGTTTCTGTTGGTTACATCACTCATGACAGAACTTTTGAGTCTCCACCAGACTGCAGACATTATTGATTTTACATCTGACAAAAACTAAAATGTGAATACTGTCAAATAAATACAGCTTGAAAGTTAAGAAAGCTTGTTTATATGAAAAGGATTAGCAGAGGCTGTTATTTTTAAGTTTGAGTAGAAATAGAACATTCAGGCAATTGAACTAAAAAATAATCCTCTTGGGTAATTTTTTATAAAGTATGAATATATTTGGAATTTTACTTACTTCAGGCTGACAGTCAAATTCACTGTCAGCTGTTGAACTTTTGAAATCCAACTCATTGTAGAAGATAAAGCCAGTTCTACACAAACATGATCCATCAGAATGCTGAAAAGCTCGGTTCTTGCCAATGCAAACACAGGACGATGAACCTATGAAAAAAAGTGTGCCTGAAAAGGATTGCCAGTGAAACTCCTTCCCACTCATCATAATATTGACAAAAATCCCTATAAAACTATAAAAGGCAGCAATGAAATCCATAATTAGTCTGTTGTTTATAAAATATGAGATGAAGACTGTCTCCTAAGTTCTGATATTGTATAACATTGTCATCTAACATCAGACCATGACAGTGAAAAGCTGCTTCTCCATAGCACATCAATGGAGGAACTTTTATTGTGTACATGAGCTGAATATGTTATTCGCATACTGTCATTTTAGCTTCACATCAAGTAGTAGCTACTGGTAATGTCTTGCTGTTCTATCAAGTCAAAAGTAATTCCTACTGACTACAAAACATTGAAGCTATCTTAAAATTTCCGATTTTCATTTCACTCATGTAAGATACAAAAAAGAAAAGAAAAAAATCACAGACTCAAAACTGACAATGCTATTATTCTGACTTCTAACCTGCTGGTGAGGTGGAGGAGCTGCCACAGGGAAAGCACGCCTTTTGGGCAGGCAGGTGGTTAAAAGTGTTCGCTGGACATGGGTGACAGTCATCCATCGTCCCAGCATGAGGATGGTTACCAAAGGTGCCTGGGGGGCAGGATAATGCCTGAGCGGACCCCTTTGGGCAAACATGTCCAACAGGACAGACGTTTGACTTGTAGTCGTCTGTACCTAAAATAAAAATTATTAAGCAATTTATTTGGTGTTTAGCAGTAAAGTATGTTATGTTGTATATTTTAAACAATTCAGATGAAAAAATAATTTATTTGTCTTCAATCATATACACCTGGGGGGCAGTAGTATCCTGGTGGACATGGAAGGCATTGGAAAATCGGGGAAAGGTACTGACGATAAGTGCCTCCTTCACACAAACTGCAGCAGCTGTGTTTGGACCCTCTGAGCCCACTGGTGTTGACAGGCCTTGAACCCCCATCACAGGATTTTAGGATGGAGCTGTTGGCTGAACAGTAGTAAGGATATGGGCATCTGTGGAGCATGGCAACACGATCATTAATAAAAGTACAACACAAGCCAAGAGGACACTATTGAGGACACTCATCTACATATCAATCTTTAGGAAGAGATTTATATTCATGCCATGATTCACAGTTGGTTGCTGGACCCGTCACACTCACAGCTGTTTGGGGTTGCTGTAGGTAGAGGATCCCTCAGGGCAAAAATAACCCTCTGGGCATATTTTAGGTTCAGCAGTTTGAGGACCACAGTATGAGCCTGCTCTGCACAGCTTTTCTGAAACTGCACCTAGTGCACACACAAAAACTCAGTTAAGTGACAGTACCTCTGTCTTAGCGACTTAGGAAAGCAATATATTCATCGAGAAGTAAATTGCCTACATAAAGAAGTCGAAGTATGCTTAAACTTACCGACGGGACATTGGTATGAGGCCCTACAGGGAATGCCCTCTACATTGGGCTTTCCAGTTGTGTGAGGGTCTGGGCAGAAGGTTCCCCCTGCACAAGGCTCACACTGGTTGGGTGCAGAAGCACCGGGGAGCTGCCTCATGGTGCCTGCTGGACAGAGGATGGGAGGTCCAGACCCACTGCACCAGAAGCCAGGTGGACATGGGCTGCTGAAGTAGTCTGTAAGTCCTGGAAAAGAATAGTTTTCTGAAAGCTATATCCACCACTTCACCCACACTGAATAAAGTGGAAATAGGTTTGAAGCATTATCACACATATAAGGTAAGACATAAGCAAATATAAAACAATAAAAGTGTATTTCAATTGCTTATTACACATTGAAATAATCAAAAATAGAAAATGGAGGGAAAACATCTCCTGGGCATCATCCATTTAATATATGGTTAAGTCTTAAAACTTAAGAAATAGTGAAGGACAGAAACCTTTTTCTAGGAAAAGTATCCACTCTATCAGTTCTGTGACTTCAGGTGATGAGTTTTAAATCTGGTACTCTCACTCACATTGTTTTTCTTAAAGTACTGTCTAAGCCACTAGCTCAGGCAATAGAAAACTATCCATGTTGTAAATTATTATAAAATATAGGCAGTTTGCTTAAAGAATCATTTTTGAGGATATGAATTCAAACTCACCAGAAAGAAATATAATGATACATATTATTATAAACATTTTCACAGGAGAGAGTGAGTAGAGATTATGAATGAAGTCAGGTAAACGTGGGTAGTCAAATGTGAAACAAGGAGGAATCTGTTGAAAATGCTATGCTTAATTTAAAGTTTGAATACATTGTCTTTGTGGAATACTATGCATAACATCAAACCTGTGCTGTTGCAGAGTGAACCAGGGGGACAGGGCAGGCAGTCACCCTTGCTGCGTGCTCCAGGGGAAGCTCGATATTTGTACAAAGGACAAGGCCTGGGTCCAGTGCCTCCATTGAAGTCACTACCAGGCAGACCATCACAGTAATGACCGGCAGGACACAGGTGAAGGACTGGGTCCCCTGTGGATAAACAACACCAAGAGTACTGACAAGGAATAAGGATTTCATGGTAGGATTATTTTATACCACATTAAACAATCCCATGGATTTTCATCAGTATGGCTACTGCCTTATTGATCTACAGTCAGGGTCATCAGGCACTCAACACTGACCTGATTTCTGACATGTTCATATTTAATGAGGCCAAACAAAGCCGTAATTCTAAAAGCATAGTTCCTCTGTCCCTTTCAATTTCTTTGTTGATGGTTTTACTGCAGGTTAAACCTTACTTGTAGCAAGTATCCGCTATATACATACTAATGCAATGCATTACGAGTGCAATCAAAGTCTGACAGTGTATATACTCTGCTGTTTGGTTTATATGTACTGTAATTGTAATTCATTTAGGCAAAAAGCATTTTTGCCTTCCTACTTTCTTAAACTGCGAGTCTGATGCTCACAGTTTAATGACATTTAACTGTCAGTATCTTAATTTATCTATTCCTTTTTTATTACTACTCAAAACCAATTCAGCCAAATAGTAAATCATACTAATATATTAGTGTAGAAATTGCTGTTTGCTGTGACAATGAAAGTAATGCAATAAAAACTCAATAAAAACTTTAAACAACTCAAATATTTGAGTTGTTTAAAGAACATACCAGCTTTACACCAGTATTGTGGAGGACAGGGTAAGCAATCCATCTGGCTCAAAGCCCCCGGGGAGCTTCTGATTGTATTTGCAGGACAAAGCTGAGCCAGTTCTGTGCCTTCAGGACAATAAAAACCTGGAACATGGAATATTTACAGTGTTAAAGAACTCTTAACTATTAACTATTTATATTCAGAATAGGAGATTTCTTTTCTGAAGTTGTACCTGGTGGACATGGTGCCGCACACTGTGCACCCCACTGGCAAGAGTCCAACTGAGAAACCGGCCCCTGCGGGGTGAAATCAGCACTCCCAGAAACACAGAGATAACCTGCTGCACAAGCACCCTGGATCTTCCCAGCCCTAACGAAAAAAACTGCATAAAGTTAAAATGTGTGTGTACACATAAATGAAACTTGATGAGGCACATAAATGCATGTGTTATTAAACAAATGGGAGGCTGATGGCAGAATTCCGTCACTCTAATGTGTGCTAATTATACTCACACATATTAGTGTTAATTTCTCTATTCAATGAACCAAACCAGCTCAACATGATACAATCCTACTTTCTACTAAATAGAATCCAGAAATGACTGTTTTCCCTTAAGCATATTTCAGTATGTGTGTACAGCTTGTACGTAAGTCTCTATCAGATCCAGATATATGTGAGAATTTAGACAAATGCACTGATTTTTTCAACATGCAGGGGGCAGGGCCATGATTCAGGTAGTGTACCTGCAGAACTTCCCCGGAGGGCATGGCAAACACTCTCTCTCGTTCTGTAGCCCCCTCCGGTTTGGAGTACTGTACGTCCCTTTAGGGCAGGGCTGAGGCACCATTGTGCCTGTAAAAAAATTACAAAAGATTGTACAAAGGTACAACTATCACAAAAGCACACGTTTCAGCTTTAGCTTGCACGAATGTTTATACTTTACAAATATGGGTTATTTTTTTAACAGCAACCTGCCAAAGCATCTGTCTGTTACAGTTGAATATGTGAGCTTACCTGCAGGGCAGAATGAGTATGGCGGGCAGGGCCAGGGATCTCCAACTATGGCCTCCTCACAGTAAAATCCAGGACGGCAGGGGATACAACTCTCTGAACCTGGGTTAGGCTGGTACTCTCCCGTGGGACAAGGCAAAGCAAGAGAAGATCCTTCTGGACAAAAGTGACCCTATGATAGAATAAAAATAGTTAAGGGTTGAAGAGGCACTAATAATGCAGAATTCAGCATAACCTTCCATAATCCATAAATACAGAAACAATAAGACTGAAAGTGTCCATGAATCAACTTACCTTGGGACAAAGGAAGGCATATGGAGTGGTGGAGGAGAAGTCATAAGGGCAGTAAAAACCTGCAGCACACGGGCCGCTGGGGCTGGACAGACCCTCAGAGGAGCAGTAGTGTCCAGCAGGACAGGCAAAGCAGCTTTCTATGGACACACCCCCTACAAACACAAGAAAATACACAGACAACATGGGTTGTACGTATGTATGTAACATGTATGTTACAACGATATTGAGTTATACAAATCATTACAAAAGTTGGCTGTGGCTTTACCAGTAGTGTTGCGAATGCTGCCAATTGGGCATAAAATTGGGGAGAGGCACCCTCTTGGACAAAAGTGGCCAACAGGACAAGGGCCATTTTTAGGAAAACCATCAGACCTCTCAGGCGTCGGCTGTTTAGATCCACCTTGGCAGAAATAGCCCTGCAGACATGGACCTGCGGAGAAAACCAACACTCCACATTTTAAAAAATGATAAAGTCTGATAAATAAAAGGTGTTTGCATGATTATTTTTAATGTTGGAGCATTTTAAAATGTCATTACCTTCTGGTGTCGAGGCTCCATATGAGCTACAGTACAATCCAGGAGGACATGACGTGCAGTCGGAAAGAGAGTGGGCACCTGTCTGATTACTGAACGTTCCCAAAGGGCAGGGCTGAGGCAGGGCTGTCCCAGCAGGGCAGAAATGTCCTAAGAAGAAAGCAGTTCTAGAGGTTGTACGTAATATGACTACAGAAGTAATCATTAATTCAGATTTTGATTCTTTAAATGTTAAAAAGCTTATTTTCATAGTCCTCACCAGCTGGGCAGGTAACGGGCTCCTTTGTTGCTGTGGAGGGACACATGGTTCCTTTCAGGCAGATAACACAACGGGACGCTCCAGGGCCAGAACTGTAAGTGCCAGGTTCACAGGGCACCTCACTCGCTGAGCCGACAGGACAGCTGTAGCCAGCAGGGCACGGGTAACCATGGGAACCATCAAATGGAGTGGGACTGGAGCTGCCACCCAAGCACACATACCTGTAGGCGTACACAAGCAAACAAACTTTGTATCATAAAATATTACCACAAGCTGTCATAAGTGAGGCTGAACAAGCTGTCAGTGAGGTTATGTCACTCAATGTTTTGCTTCAAGGTAGGTGTCAGACCAGGTCATACATTTCATATGATGGTCATTAGTTATTTTATTCAATTCCATTTTTTTTTTCTGATTAAGCACATGTAAAACATTCCACCATTTAATGAACGACTCTGATAACATTAAAAACTTTCAATGGTGCACTGCATCTGAAGGTGATTGGATTTATTCCATAATTCTATTACAGCTATAGTTTAGGAGGTAATAAATAGTCCAGGGCAGGTTCATTGTCAAATACGTACAGCATATGAAAGAAAGCTAAAATAAATGACAGTGACAGAACCTGCTAGCTGTATGAATAAAATAATAAACTACTTCTTGATTAATGTTCCCCAAAATCCAGATGGACTCAGATTTGACATGCAGTCTATAAATTGAGAAATTTTAACTGAACCCTTGACAGACAACTGCATGATTTAAAGGCAAAAGCAGAACAAACTGTCCCCAACCATAAAAAGTTTACAGAGAGTGTTTACCCAGCCTGACATGGGAGTGCATCAGATATTTTGGCCATTGCAGTACTGTTACAAAACAGCCCAGGAGGGCAGGGTGCGCATTCTTCAATACTCCTCAGTCCTTGAAACATGGAAAGAGAACCCACAGGGCAAGGCAGAGGATAGCCGGTGCCAGACGGGCAGTAATAACCAGATGGACAAAGATGAGTTCTGGCCAAATTCCCCTAAAACAAGTGAGAAAACAATAAAATATGAAAACTTGAGCTGCATTTTTTATTTCTGTGCCATGCTTCAAATAGATGAGTATAGGACAGCTAAAGGGGGAAACTCATAACCAAATAAGACATTCTGCTGATGTTTTTATGAGTATTTGTTCAAACAAAATGAATAAAGTGGAATGTGACCGTATGTGTTGACATATTGATCATTTTTACAAGGTTGGAATAAATGGAACCATCATCATTAAGGATTCTTCAGCGAGGACAACAGCTGAATAGCGCTAAAGATGTCACAGAGAACAAGCTCATCACCTGAATCTCAGTAGAGTTTGGGCTGGTTGATCCTGCTGGACAGAAATATCCTGCCTGGCAATGACCTGATGGCTGTGACAAACCGGATCGAGAGCAGAACATTCCTGCAACATGGAAACAACACAATTGCGACACAATACCTTGAGCTCCATCTTTGCACATTATTATGGCATCAACAAGGGCAGAAAAATCAACAACATTTTCTTTACCAACAGGACAGGGATGGCACGCATCAGCACTGGAGGCTCCGAGCTGGCTCTGTACTGTTGCAGGTGGGCAAGGGAACTTAAAGCCTAGAATTTGACCAGCTGGACAAAAGTGTCCAACAGGACACACAGAAGGCCTGAAAGTACCTTCATCTAAGAGTCACCAAGAAAAAAAGCATAGAATTCAATATTAAAATAAGCAAGAGCATCCATTCCAGAGAAAAAGAAATAGTTATATATTATAATTGGATTAATTTGTTATGCTCAACAAAGACACCTTGTTTTTTATTCTTCTTGACAGGCTTTTTGATCTTTCCTATTTAAACATAACTGAGGGATAACCTATCATCACACCTCGGCAATAATATCCAGGAGTACAGGGGATGCAGTTGTCTTGATGAATATTGCCAGTTTCTGGGCTAAATGTTCCTGCAGGACAAGGTATGGGATCTGGAGTTCCACTGGGACAAAAGAAACCAGCGGGGCACAGAGTCTGATTTGCTCTTCTGGATCCCCAGCCACAATAAAATCCCGCCTGGCAATCACCTAAAAAGAGGATGTTAAAAGAAAAGGAAGGACACATCTGCAGAGGTACTAATAATTGAAATCAGTTTTACCAGAGAATATCATATCTGTCATATCTTAAGTTTTATAATTATCCTCATCATTCCCTCATATGTTGCTTTGATTTTCTACTTACTGGTAAAACAATTTCCATGCATGGATTTGGTGATATCTGATGAGGAATATTTGCCACTGTGATAATAAATAAACCCAACCCTAACCTGAGCCCAGTGGTATTCATGATTAAGTCCTAGGTTTTGTTCACTGGATGTTATGTAAAAAAAATCAACTCAGTGCAGGTTCATGAAAATTAATTGATCTGTTCAAAACATATGCATTCAACTTGTTTTTCTTTTGCTGTACCTGTTTGAAGACCTTGTTGGCAGAACATCCCACGAGGACAGAGGGATCCAGTCTTGTTGTCAGTTGGATTTGGAACTTTTGCACCAATCATACAAAGAAATCCGGCAGCACACAATCCTGTGGGCTCAACCAGACCTTCAGTACCACAGAAATGACCCGCTGGACACAGTAAACACTCACCTAAAACACAGAGATTGACCACTTTAACATCAACATGTTCAACAGCAACACTTTTCAAAAGACTGTGAAATTTTCATCCAATTATTTGATTTGTTTTTATTATTCTGATAATGACTAGAATTATTAAAGATTAACGATTAAGTCAGATCTAAATTATAGATAAAAATGAATTGGTGATTACTTGATTTAAAAAAAAAAATTAAACTAAGGTTAATATAATCTCAATACATTTCATTCCACTGATTTGTTCCTCCCCTTTTTTTATTTTAGTAAGGTTCTAGTTTGTACCTGTGTGGGTGAGACCTTGGCTTGGGTTGTAAGTGCCTTTGGGGCATGGGATTAGCTGGCTGGTTGAATCATTCTTGGGACAAACAAACCCAGCAGGGCAGGGAACAGGGCTGGACGCTCCAGTGGGATTCCCCCGGGTTGGACTGGTGCTCAGAGACTGACAGTGGTACCCCGCAGGACAAGGGTCACATTCTTTCTGGCCAGGTAAATTCTGGAACCAGCCTGGTGAAAACAATAAAAAGTTAATAGTCATTGTGGAGTGAGAGGATTTGTTCAGCTTGAAATACTCATTTGAGTGGTTTCTATTTTACCGAGAAAGCAGGGTTTACAGTCATCTTTGCCTTTTCCTCCCTCCTCATTCTGGTAAAAGCCAGCAGGGCACGGTGTGGGTACACTGCTGCCTTTTGTACAGTAGTGTCCAGCTGGACAAATCCCCCCTGATGCTCCTGCGGCTGGAGTCGCAGACTGAGAACCCCCTAGACAGTAGAACCCTAGTAGTAGGGACATTTCAATAATTTATTATAGCTATTCTCTTTTACATGTAAGATAGGCATCACCCGATACAGCTGAATGCATGTTAAAGTGTTTTTATACCTGGGAGGCAGGGTCCAGAGACAGTAGAGAGGCCAGATTCTGAACAGTAAAAACCAGATTTGCAGCTCTGACACTGAGAATCTTCTACAAGACCACTTTGCTCACTGTCAAAATGTAATTCATACAGGTCAGTTTTATTGATTATTATTATTACATTGAAGGAGTATACTGTTGATATTTCCAATAATACAAATAGCAACATATCTTAAGAATTTTCAGTCAAGATGTACTCTGATCCAACAATATTTATGCAGTCAAATTCTTTTTTGTCATTCAACTGATATTGTATGTGGTTATTAAGGTGTGGAAGGAGTGTAATTTTAAAGATGATCAAGTAAACAAATACTGTTGGTTATGCACCTGAAAGTTCCTTTTGGGCATGGTTTTGGAACAAAACCCCCCTCTGGACAGAAGAACCCTGGGGGGCAAATGTACCCTGTCAGAGAGTCTGATGGTGAAGGTTCATAAGCTCCTCCGAGACAAACAAAACCAGCAGAGCATAGCCCACTGGGGAGAGTGCTCCCTGAAAACACAATTTAATATCTTAACACTCAAAGAAAAGACCATATATATATATATATATACAGTACATTTTTAAGCTCTAAATCTTAATTGTAATTGTCTACAGTCAGTATCGTGCTCAGAATATCTCAAATAGCTGCTGTCAAATGAAGGAATCTGTTGAACCTGTTCCTTTACAGTACATCCCGGGGTCACAAGGTGTACACTGCAGCTCCTCAGTCAGTTTTGACATGTTTCCATAGGTTCCTGATGGACATGGACGTTGAAAGGCTGACCCACTGGGGCAATAAAATCCCCTTTCACAGGGAATTGGAAGGCTCATTCCTAACGTGTAGATATGAAAAGAAACCCACATATTCACTTTTCAGAAGAAAAAAAAAGATCCATAAAGTAGATTGAATATGTGTTCCCCACTGTTAAATGATTTTTTCAGCTATTCATGCACCCACTAGCTTTACCTTGATCTTGACAATAAAAACCAGCAGGACATTGCTCACAAATCCCTTGGCCTTGTCTGAACTGGTAGCTGCCAGGAGGGCAGGGTGTCTGTCTGAAACTACCCTGAAATGACAATTAAACTGATTTCCTGAGACATTCTTTTGAAAAAAATACATCTATTATTGACAGAAAGCAGAAGACAATAAAAAGACTGCAGGCAGGGCATTGGGTGAATACTGAGACAATCTTTACCCAGTCGGGAGGACATTTCAACCTATAGTAACGCACTTGTCATAACACAGTAACACCCACAGCTGAGGACTTCTCATACAATATTCACCAGTGATGATTGACAATAGCTTGAGGAATAATACTGAATGACTGACCTTCTCACAGAAATGTCCCACAGAGCATATATGTTGTTCTGGTGTTTCGGAAATCTGTCCCACAGGACAGTAGTAGCCTTCTGCACAGAGACCACTTGGCTTAAATAGCCCTCTCTGGTTGCAATGGTGACCTGGAGGACAAGGCTGACAAGCCTCAGCTCTGACTCCACCAAGGGAACCTGGTGCATAACATACATCAATTTAAAATTTAATATAATTCAGAAAAATAAATGAAAAGATAATTCTACTGTGTTTTACAAACCCCTGCATGCAAAGCATTTGTTGACTGAGGAGGGGAAAAAACTCAAACACTTTACAAGCTGAAAGAATTGAAGTATCAAAGTAGATAACAATGTTATGTGAATACAAACTGCAAAAGTACCTGCTCTGTCATAAGTACTAATTCATAGCCACATAAAGGAGCAACAGCACATTATAATAGGATTCTAGTTGTCTGCCGCGAGACACAAATACAATTACACGATAAACCATTTTGTGACAACAATTATTCCAAAGGGCCCAAAGGGGAAAGAAATGTTTCAGTGGAAGCATTTTTCCCCACATCACTGAACTGCAAAAACAGACACCAGTTTCTGTGAGGATATCAGCAGGTAAACATTACAATCTGCGCAACTAAAGAGGATTGGGTGCTGCTTATCTCAACTCTGAGATGTGCCTAAGTATTAATTTCTCATTAATTCAGATCCTGAAAGAACAAGGGATAACCGACAAAACCTAAAACTTCTTTTGAGAAGGATTTAGTTCTTAAAAACATTTAAAAAGGCTTTTGATGAAATAGCTTTAGCAGTTATAGATAGTTTACAGTTTACTAATGAGAAGGAGCTCACTTTGTATGGTTCCGAGAGGGCAGGGCACAGGGAGTAGAGTCCCTGGAGGGCAGTAGTGTCCAGTGGGGCAAGGGGTAGAATGAGGGTCTGAAGAACCCCGAGGACAGTGATACCCTGCTGCACAGGGCCCTGATGGGGCATCAAGACCAGTCTTGTTACAGTAAAAGCCAGCTTCACATGGTTGGGGATAAGCAGATCCCAAAGGACAATAAAAACCTAAAAGATATGGACATGGAATTGTTCAGCCACTGCCAAAAAAGAGCAATCATGGCAAATAACATCCTTATGCATTGACTACCTCTAAATATGAAACTTTTCCTCAGCCGCTAAACGTTTTCGCCTTTTTCCATTTAACAGATTTTCCTGGATAGTAAAAGCTTTAAAGAATATTTTGAAGCTCAAATCTGAATTTGCTCCACTTTAGCATTCAGGCTTCCGGGGCTTCGAGTAGTACACTTCAAGAGTGAGGTGTATCGGATCAAGAAACCCCATTTGCATAAGATCCAGCCATTTGTGTCCTGCGCTGCTTTAGCCGACACTAAACAGTTAGTTTCATTTTTTTAATAGGGCAGTAATACGTAAACAGATTGTTATTCCTGTTTAGGAAAGTAATGAGTAAACAGGTTGTTATTCCTGTTTATTCCTGTAAACTTTATTTAACATGTAACTCATTTTCAAAAATTGTCCAAATGAGCCAAAGATTAACCCACACATATGAAGCAAATCCAAGGAAATCTGACGGGAGTTGCAGTGATCAAAGCGACCATGTCATGAGCAAGGAAGATAACATGTATGCCCAAGGGGATTAACATAGCATTACATTTAGAGTTCAGGTTCAAGTTCAGGGTTTACCCACCTCTTGGGCATATATCTCCTCTGTAGGCGGAACATGTGTAATGCTGACTCTTGAAACGTGGTGCGGAGGGATTCACGTTATGATCTGAGTCTGCCTGTGGCACTGGTGCTACTTTGATCCCGCTAGCATCACTTTCTTTAAAAGAACAAGGTAGAAAGAGCCTAAAAATACATGTTTAATATATCTATCTCACACAGAGAGACAAAAATGACTCTTTTTGCATTCTGTGTAAACCTCTATCAAGCAATCCCCAAACTCTTTCAATATAATGATTACTTTAAGTATTCTTTGTGGAACAATTAATAAAACATACAATGTTCTGCAACCAGATTGAAGATTAGAGAGAACGATGTTCTTTCTGCCAGTTAAATGAATTATTCATTGTTTTATTACAAACTCATGAATGTAATATTTTACCAGATATTCCACAGTAACTAAAGCAGAAGATGGGGTCTGACATCATGGTAGAAAGATCTGGTATTTCAAGAAGACAGCTGAACAAAGTGGAGTTGGCTTGAGGTGTGGGACTATGGGATCCTCCAGAACAGAAGAAACCTGCATAACACAAACCTTACATATGGAGGAATTAGAAAAAAGGTTACAACCATGATTTCTTTATCCTCGTTATTATCTTTATGTCGGTGTGAAAGAAAATTATTAATTCAAATTTCAAATATTGAATTAACGTAAGCTGCATGAGCGCCTGATCCATAGGTATTTGACAGAGATAAGCCTGGAGTAAGTCCTCACCTGAGGGCTGTGAAGCTCCGGGCTTGTGGCAGTATTTCCCCGGAGGACAAGGCTGGCAATTGGAGAGGGAGAAAGCTCCGGGTTCTGGGAGGTAACTGCCAACAGGGCAGGGTCTGGGGGACCCGCTACCCTCAGGGCAGAAGTGACCCATTGGACAAATATCACCATACGACTGTGAGACAGGCGAAGGCTCAGTGGACCCAAGGGAACAAAAATGTCCTGTGGGGAATATTTTGCGGCAATAAATCTCACTGGGAATGATGAAACCTTTCAAATGGATTGTAAGCATTAATGAGGGAGCATTAATATTCAAGAGACTCTAAAGCTTAGCACAGAATAGTTTAATGAGTTCTATAAAATGGTGATTGTGGACAAGAAACCTGGGCTGCAAGGTCCAGATGGATCTGTCAGTGCAGTGTTGTTACAAAAGAAACCAGAGGGGCAGGGGAAACAGTCATCCAGAGACATCCTGCCAGTTAACTGATTGAAATGGCCCACTGAACATGGTGATGGCATCGAAGAACCCTCCTCACAATAAAAACCTGGGAGAGGTAGAATGATTACATTTCCGATTGATTGCTGATCAAATGTATTTCTTTGTCTACAACGTTCACAAATATTCACTCAGAGGTAATTTACCTGACGGGCAGCTATCACAGGTGTCCTGTCCAGATAAAGACTGGAAGGTGCCTGCTCTACACATGGCTGGTTCAGCACTACCAGGTGGACACGCATGACCGGGTGGGCACTGGTATCCTGTATCAGTATGGATTGACAAAACAGTGTTGACCTTTAGAATACAGTAACATGGTTGCATAAGAACTAGTTACCAGTTAGACATCAAATAAAGTAAAAACCTGGTTTATTCAACTACAATGAGGCAACATGGAAACTCCAAGTAATATTGTTGCTTCTCAAAGTTCCACAGCATGTGCTCAGCACCTGATAGACACAAGCTCTGGTTTTTCTATAGGTTCTGGGTCATTTTATTGGCAAATTAGTAAAATGTTGCCTCAATAAACCAAATATTTAAAATGAAAACCAACTAAATGCAATAATCACTCATTTACATATAAATATATATATATATATATTCATTTACAATCCTTTCTAAACAGCAACACGATTACTGCAATACCTGTGTTGACACTGCATACAAGCTTATATGATATGTACATTTGTCCTTATTTTATGTATATTTGTTCTATGTACAATTATATGTTGCAATACTTTGTCCACTGAAAAATATAATATACCTTTTCTCATTTATTGAGGTTTTTACTGATGAGTACACCTTTAACAGTTAAAAGTTTACATGACCAAGAGTTTCCCAAGAGTGATTTTGGTTAATTGACTGGAAAGCTGACTTATTGGAAGATACTATGAAAAGAAAGAAGAAAATAATTAAAAGTCACTTAGGTTTGTGGACCTCTAATTTTGTATATTTTACCTTGCTGACGGCCAGTCACTGATCCTGAGGGACAAAACCATCCTGACGGACAAAGGAGGTCCACAGATGTCTGACCCCACAAGGGGCAGTATGAGCCCGGGTAACAAGCCTCACAGTCAGCTTCAGATTCCTGTGCAGATCTCCCTGAGAAAGTGCCTGTGCAAAAGACAAATCACTCTTTAAGGAAAAACCCCTCGGCTTTTCTTTTGCTCACATGCACAAACGTGTGTGATCCATACAGCACATAGCTTCCTTTATTCACATAAGCACATACCTGACCATTATGACATAGAGCTATTAGACTCCCATTTAGTTTTAGTGCTTTCTAAAAGATTCTGGATAGATTTATCTGTCATACTAACCCTCTGGATGATTTCATGAGACATTGCCCAACCTTTTGAAACAGTGTGACAGGTTATTTGCATTGATCTTTCAGTTGAATGATAAAAATACAGTTCAGCTACAGCTACATTTTCCACCTCTTCTCTCAGAGCTTTGCCTGAATATGTTAGTTATTTTACCTGGAGGACAGGGACTTGGTTTCGCACTCCCTTTAGGGCAATAGTGGCCTGCAGGACATACATCTCCATGGAAATGACCCAGGGTTGAATCGCCAGCAAATGGGGCTGAAGATGCCATGTCTCCTGTAACTGAGACAATAAACCTTTATTGGATGTCATTATTCATTAGATTACTGAGCAAACTAAAAGGCCAGAGCCATTGTCTGTGATGTCAGCAAGAAAAATACAAAGGGAAAGCAGCAAGGAAGTTTGGAAAACACTTCAAGAGCTCCGCTGAAATAAATGCCTGAACCTTCTAACTGAAGCTAAAAATGGAATGAAAGGAAACTATTAATTACGGTACTTTTTCACTGTCAAGAGTGTGTGTCAACTTGCATGCTCTTTCGGTATTTGAAAGTGTGATTTCCAAACTAGAGTGGTCTGTTATGCCTGCAGCCATTCATTAATTAACATTACGTCCATGAAAAGAATAAGAGTCCTATTACCTGTGACGTTTCCCAAAGGTGTAGCGGTTTTTGATCCCGATCTGCAGTAGAACCCAGGGCTGCAGGGCCCAGATGGAGAGGAGAGGCCACCATTGGCACAGTAGTAGCCAGGCAAACAGGGCTGACATACTTCTATAGAAACTGCCCCTGTTCAAGATTTTAATACAGCACACATTTGATTTGAGATAAGTATTTTGTCAAATAAAATATCTCTACATTAATAAAGCCACTTTGTACTTTCTCAATACTCAAGTGTATTTGTGTATTATCTAAATTCTCATATCACCCTCTAAGGAGTTAAACGTGCCCGGAGGGCAGGGAACCATGTATCTGGCACCCTGTGGGCAGTAGGACCCTGTAGAGCAGCGTCGTCCTGTTGGGCCCTCCTCTGGTTGGGGAGAAACAGAACCCTGGATACAAAGGTAACTAGGGACAGAACAATGATGAAGACAGAGATAATTGGGGGGTGTATATATGGACGGAGTCTACACAAGGGAGACTAAATTAAACTGAGAAATGATTTCTTCAAGACTCTTGTCGATTCTATTACTGTGTTTACCCAGGAGAGCAGACTCCAGTGGGAGCAGCCAGCCCTGAAGAACTGCAATACCAACCCGGGGTGCAGGGCTCACAGTCCGACTTATTGGATAGCCCCATCTGCCCGCTGAAAGAGCCAGCTGGGCATGGGAATGCAAAACCAGTCTGCGTCCCTGTAGACAAATGTGTATAATATCTACAGATGGTCCGGGACTAAACGTCACACAACACTCAGTGAAAACCATGCCTATCACAATTATGGTCTGTAATGGCCACTTGTATAATTAGAAGGCCATTTAGCATCACAGCCACTTGTCTGAGAGTACACAAAAACTGGAGCCCTGGTGCATTTAACATGCATCACTCTCACTCAGCCTGGCTGCAGCGTGACCAGTTCCACATCAGTTTAAACCGTACGCAGTGACGGGATCTAATGAAAACTGAAATGTTTTATGACTGTGTTCTAAAACCTTAGCCACCATTGCCTACCTGGTGGGCAGTAGTGTCCTTCAGGACACAGCATAGGAGTGTGAGTCCCTGAATTCTCAGAGCCAGCACAGAAAAATCCTGCTGGACATTCAACACAGTCCTCCTATGGAAGAGTAAATTGTGTAGATTACCATTCTTTGTTTTTTTTGTAAGTATTCAGTAAGGAAACTGTGCTTTTTGGAAGAGTAGGACATAAATGAATAAAGGAGTATTTTCATCTATCTTTACCTGTCCTGGTAAACTCTGGTAGGTCCCCGGAAGGCAGGGTATCTGTCTATAGGATCCAGGTGGACACTCATTTCCAGGTGAGCAGGCTATTGACACCTCCCCACTGGTGTTGTCTCGACCCGGACAGTAAGAGCCGGCTGGACAGACATGAGAAGGGAAAGAGAGCCCTCTGCTGACACACAGGAAGCCTATAAAACAAAGAAACCGGTTAAGCAGTCTTAAACACAACATAAAAAAGGTTTACGTCAAATTTTGTAATGGAATCTTCCGAACAGCAAAGTCTGAAATGTGTGCTAAATTAGTATCAACCTGGAGGACAAGGTAGACAGTCAGAGAGATGACTGTTTCTGGTTTTGTTGGTGTGATATCCAATGGGACAGGGCTGTGGTGCTGAGGAGCCCTGAGGACAGTAATGCCCTTCAGGACATCTATCACCCGTCAGTCTTCCGTCCTCTGGTGTGGGCGACTGGGCCCCAGAGAGGCAGTAGTAACCTGCACTACACAGGCCTGATGCAACATTCTTCCCAGGAGAATCACAGTAAAAGCCTGAATTGACATGAAAAATCAAGTGAAATTGTGTGGAATTTAAAAACAAGCCCCGGAAATGTGGAAAGAGAAACCAAATAAGGGACATGCCCTACAGCCTTTATAAATTCAAGCTGATGTATCAAAGATATCTAGATCATATTCATGCTTTCAATGACACTTTTCTAGCATGCTCATTGAAGTGGATTTATTGCTTTAATAGTGTTTAATTACCATAAAGATCATTTAAATTAACCCTAGGTCAACGGTCAAAGCGTTAAAAATCATTAACAATAAATGCTGTCTGACCTGGAGGGCATGGCAAGCAATCCTGAGATTTTGTCTTTTGAGTGTGAGGGTTGAAAGATCCAGCTGGACATGGATACTGGTGCTTGGACCAAGTCCTGGGCGGGCAGTAATGACCCACTGGACACTCATAACTTTCTGACAGAGAGGCATTGTTTCTGCCAGGGCAAAAAAACCTGACCAGACAAAACAATTATGGTATAATTTGACTGCATGCTAATGGGGAAAGAGCTCCTGTTTGCTTTTGCATTGCCGATATACTTGTAAGCATAGCGAGAGGGAAAAAGAAAACACTTATGCATGTAAACATCAAAAGCCTGTGCCATTACTTGCATAGCTACATTTCTTGCAAAGTTCTTGTTAACAATTCCAAGTGACTCTTTGTGGCTGATAAGCAAGTTTACCCCTGGGGACAGGCACTGCAGCTGGCTTGGCCGTCCTCTGTGCTGATGGTTCCCAAGGGGCAGTGCTGAGGAGCCACAGAGCCCTCTGAACAGTAATAACCTGCTTGAACGAAGACGAGAACAGAATCGTGAGAGGAAAAGACACAAAGGCACACACAACCCAGCCTCAAAGAGCAGTTGCTTTTGTTTGGCCCTTAAAGCAAGGAAAAATGTCTGCGTGTGTGTGTGTGTGTGTGTCTGTGTGCGTATGTCTCTTTTCTCAAATTAACTTGGCTTGTTTGAGCTTATGCAAATGAAAAAAACATAATCATATGTTTAGAATTTGCTTTGCACTGCTTCTATTAACAGTGCCATGCAAAGTATAGCTCTGCAAATTACTCAAAGAGCAACCTGATTCAATTACCTTAACGCTGTTTGTGAGAATATTATTATAAGTGCTTTCTCTCGTTTCTTTAATGTAATTTGCAAGGTGTAGTTTGCAGATCACCTTTGGGGCATGGTCCTCCACGATTGTCTCTTACAGGAGGGTCAGAACGATCTGCTCCCCCTAGACAAAAGAAACCTTCCCTGCATTTCCCCGAAGGTGCTGAAAGGCCCAGATCATCACAGTAGTAGCCTGGGAGACAAGGCTGACAATCCTCCTTAAAGCAAGAAGAGAAACAGGAGAAGAGCAAATGATGGTTTTAGAAAAAGAGAAGACCTTTTTGAAACATTGACCAAGACTCAGATATTGATTGTTGTCACAATGAAAGACAACACTGTAAAGGACTTGTGTGTACCAGAGTATGACCATTATCTATGTACTTTGATCATATATTTTTATTTATTATTCTATATTCTAATGTATTTATCTAAGGCATAGGAAACCATCAAAAAGCTGTTGTACCTAAATGTCTTCTCTAAAGGTGGATTTTTTTTAAAAGACAGCTTTAACAAAGTATAAAGCATTTCCCATCCCTTGCCTCCCCTTATATGTTTGTCGAAACACTCCTATTTGTTTCTATTTGTTTGCAAATTTGTGACTATTAATCACATATTCATTCATCTAATATTGAACATTTTGACTATTCACCATTTAACTTTAAAGATGAACTACTGTACAGAATTTTATACAAATCACCCTCTTGGTTCTTGATCTCAAATAGAAAGAATTCACTGTCAGTCAATGTCAAGAAGACAGGTGAATGTTATATAGAATGAAAATGACCTGGGACACTAATTTGCTGAGGTTAGAGAATGTTCCACGTGGGCACGGCAGAGGATGGGTAGTGGCCATAGGGCAGTAATGACCAGCGGGACAAGGTCCTCCTTCTCCTGAAGAGACACAAAGCACAAAAAGAACTTGGCTGGATTTTTCAATTCCTTAAAAAAAGAGCACACATGAAGAGCCTCTTCGCAATTACAACAATTTATGCAATTTGTTGCCAAAACAAATTTATTCTGCTCTCTAAATGAGGGCAATTTGCATAAAGCACAAGGCTTGTAAAGATATTTGTTTACCTGCAGCCTGTAAAAAAGGCTGTGGCGAGATGTTTCCATATGAACAGTAATATCCTTCTTGGCATGGTCCGGTGACAGATGTGCCATTTCTGAAAGAGCAATAATGGCCTCCATCACACGGTCTGCACTGGGAAACAGACCAATAGCCAGGGCCAGGACCATACGTTCCTTCTGGACAGCCTCTCAAGTCAAATCCAGTTCCCCCGGGGCAGTAAAAGCCTGCAGGCCCCAAGATAAACACGAAGGAAAGTGCACTCACAAAATATGGAAAAATTAAAATAACTGCATCCGTTTTAAAGAGATAAAAACAATTTCTGCCTCTTGTCTAAAGCTAAAATAAAGTTCTTAATTGCTTGTAAGCACAACATAGACAAACAACAGACCTGCAGCGCAGAGGTACAGAGATCCAGACACACAGTACCAGCCTGGCATACAGAGCTCACACTGGGAAGCGTGTGTAACAGTCGTATAAGTCCCTGGTTCACAGGGCAAAGGTTGAGCAGTTCCCTCCGGGCAGTAGTGACCCCCGGGACAGGGTCCCCCTGTAATTCCATCAGTAGGGGTCGATGTGACAGCTCCCTCTAAGCAGTAATATCTGCATAAATAACACAACAACGTCAAAACATTTTGATAATAAGATGGCTTGTAGGAATTTTCACAAGTGCGGGCTGGAGTACCCTTTATTGCAGATTCCATTAGGTTTAGTGAGGCCAACAGAGTCACAGTAATATCCCCCCGGACAGGGTGTACAGTGTTCTCGGCTTTGCAATCCTGAGCTGTTTGACCAACTTCCTTTAGGGCAGACCTCAGGAGCTGTGGTGCCTGCAAATGCAACACGAATCAAAACACACATTTCAACACCAATAACAGAATGAATGCAAAAACCAAAGGAAAAACATTATAATTAAGCAGTTACAGAGTTAGGCAAAATAACACACAGTGACAGTGTTTTATACACTGTAATCAGATTTTAAGTGTAAGTAAACAAGTGGGGAACCGTTATAGCAGCCACTGCTGGGTGCAACACTGAGAAACTCAGCAGGGCAGAGTTTACCCTACAGCGGCATTTCGAAGGGATGGGTCAACCGTGTAAAAGTGTGTGAATTGATTAGAAAAACAATTATATAAAAAGTTACGAGATACATGTTGACAGAACTTCCTGTAGGCTTCAAAATGGTAATTACCATGAATAAAACATTGCAGCCCTTGCAATATAATGGTAAAGAATATTAATAGCCTGACACAGTATGAATTTGGTTGCCTTAGCCTTTAGAGCAGGATAAATCAGTTACTGTTACTTAGCAGTGGTCATCCACTGCTACTTGACACATTTCAGTCATCAGCAGCACTGACACAGTTTATTAAGGAAAGAATGAGGCAAGTGACCTGAGGGACAATAGTGACCAGGCGGACAGAGTGACCCTGTGACTTCATCCATGGGCCTAGGAGTGGATGCTCCCATTCTGCACAAGAAACCAGCATGGCATGGGCCTGAAACCAACATAACACATAACATAAACACAGACCATGAAGTTTAGCAAGAGAATCACCCAAATCAACTTTCAATTCAGCTCAGTCAATGGTAAATCTTATTTTTTTAACTATGACATATGGTTAACCAAAGATGTATCTGCATTAGATTGCAAAGACTGAAAATATTTAGCAATTTGAAGTCCATGCTTAAATATTTCATAGAAAAACAAAGAGAATATTGCTTTGATCTCCACAAACCTAAAATGCTAAATGTACATGAATAATGAATATTTTAGATGACTATTGAAGCTCTTTGTTGGAATTACAGTAAACAGAAGAGAATCAAAGCCGAAAGATCTCTTCTCACCTGCTGGCTCTGACATTCCAATATAAGGGCAATAATGGCCAGCATTACACGGAATGCAGCCTTCTGGGCTGTCTGTGCCCTCTCCTGGATTAAAGGAGCCAATAGGACAAGGGTGTTCGTTGGGCAATCCTGTACCCGCTGGACAATAATGTCCTTTAGGGCATGGCCTTCTTATGGAAGCGTTGACTGGACGAAGTCTCGCATCACAGTAATACCCTTGGAAGAGGAGAAAAGCTTATTCTGGAGGTGACAAAATAATAATGAAATACAAAGTGGTGTGAAAAAAAACTCATGCCTATATTTTGTCGAGGTGTCTTAACTGCAAATTGCCAACAAAAAAAAATATTTTTAAAAAACTTGCAAGGTGCAGTATAATAAAAAGAAATCTGGCATGTGAAAACTCCACAGATTCAATAGAAAAACACTTTTCAACTTCAAAGTATTTTTATCACATCATGATAGAAATGGTAAAAGGCTAATTAACATTGCATAAGCAGGAATTTGTGCTTCTAAGGGGAGGGTAAAAGATTTATAAGCCCTCTAACCTGCTTCGCAAACAGTGCAGGATGACTGTTTGTCTCTGTTCTGGGATGTTCCTGATGGGCACGGCTCTGGAGCCGAACTGCCCTCTGAGCAAAAGTGACCAATAGGACACGGCAGTGCTGTAGCCACAGTCTGACCCGGAGGACACCAGTAGCCTATGGAGGTTTCAGTCACAGCATATAGTCAAGTGTGAGACGTGAACGCTTTATTAAAAGCAACGTGTCAAAAGTGTAAGGACAAGAATCATGAAATACAAATGACTGATGAAACAGCATACTGACTCACCTTGGCTGCAGGGTCCGGTCGGAGCCCTGAGGCCTGCTTCTCTGCAGTAGGAACCCGCTGTACATGGCTGACAGCCTGTCTCATTAGTCAGACCGTACACTGGGGAGAAAGTACCTGCTGGACACAGTTCTGGCTCAGCTGACCCTTCAGCTGTTGGAAGAAAACAGTTGAAATAGACCAACTCATCATTCTTGTTGGAAACCAAATGCCAATGCAGGGTTATCAGTGAGGGCAACACAGTCTACAGCAACATAAAGTTGGGTATAAACTACACAGGGGAATACCATACACCGTTTTACTCTATTAATAGCCTAACACAAACAGAAAAAAACTGACTCACATTTATACAGAGCTGTGGTTTAAAGTATTTAATCTACCTGAGTCATTGCTATATGTTTGGCGGTCCAGTCCACCTAATTTGCATGTCTATGGGCCATGTAGAGAAAAAGAGAACTCTAAATGACTCATGCTATACTAAGGAAGCAGGTACCTTTAGCTATAAATAATAATGCCTGTGTTTATGCTAAAGAGTCTACTTATGAATACAAATAAAGATATTTTCAGAATCTTTACTGTGTTTGGATTTTTAGTGTGAAAAAGTTGACAAAAGTTGTCTTACCTTTGAATAACTTTCAGTTACCTTTCGGCTCATAAGAACTACAATCTTTTTTTTTTTTTTTTATAAACACAAGGTAAAGCAATATTCAATTTGGGGGCCTTTTTATGCTTAAATAAACAAGCAATATCATCACATAACTGCTGACCCAAAGTACTGTTCATTACAAAGCACATTTTATATTCAACCAGGATTAAAAATAGGATGTGCTTATTAAAAACATTCCAGGCCTGTAAATCTGAGCTCACCACAGTATGTCCCAGGGGGACAGATGTTGCCTGTTTCTCCATCTACTGGTTTGGCCCCAGTGGCTCCTCCAGTGCAGTAATATCCAGGAGAACAGGGACCCACCGGCAAAGCTAAACCTTTGCAACACAAACAGATCGGTTCATTGTATTTTGTATGCTCATATATGGTAAAACTAAATCCTCCTGCATAATAATGACTGTGCCATAGACATTTTTAGAAAATATAAAAAATGTCAAATAAAACATACACAGAAGCCAATATTCTGTGGTTATATAAAACTGGAAATGGTGAATAATAGCACAAAGTGTATTTCATTATTATTACAGGTTTAAAAGCAAAATAGACTCCTGTGTAGGCAAAGGTCTTAAACCAAGGTTACGAAGACCATTGTAAACTATACGCTGCATATATCTCTGCAACCTTGCTCTGTTCTTACCAGCATAATGGGGAAAAGGAATCGTTCGCAACTGACCAGGCACAAAGCAATGACAACAAGGAGCTTAAAAGCAGCTAACCAGAGGCACACATTAGGAGAAAGGCTTCCAACTTTGAACAGAATATCAGTGCACCATTTCAACTTGTTTGCTGATGTTATAAGGTTACAATAGTTAGAAATCCCAACTAGTGGACTGATGTTCGCACTCCAAACCCAACATTTTGAAATTGGAAATGCAGCACTTGTTTTCTTGTATAGTTGAATAAATTTGATTCTGCATCAAGCATGAAATAGAAAAGATTTCACAGTCAAACACTGTGTTGTGAAGAAACTAGATGATGAAACACAATGGTAAGCACAATCCTTTTTTTAAAGCTGTTTTATCAATCTTAAAAGTAACATTTTCACTTTACTTTCAAACAGTGTCCTGACAGGTCTGAAAATAATTTTTGGAATAAACTATACTGTAAACATGATAAGTTAGTCATATCTTACATGCATGCTTTATTCCTTCAGTTTGTAAAATATATTATAGTATTTGAATTATCAAATACTGAAATCATTTTTTTTTGCTGGCCAGACAGTGTAAAAGTAATTAAATTTGCTCAAAGCCACAAAAAGAAAAGTAACTGTCCATATCGTGTATAATCAAATATTTAGTGATTTTTTTCCATAATTTAGATTACATTTTACACAATATAAAGCATTTTTGTTGGTGAGTATCAATTTGGAGACGAACACAAAACTTATTTATTACACCTGTAAACTCTGTGCATTAGAATGCGTGTTTATTTACATCCAAATACCTGAAATGTTACAGAAGGTTCCTGGAGCACAAGGTACGGGCTCGGAGCTTCCCAGAGGACAGTAATAGCCCATTTGGCATTGCCCCCCAGTGGAGGTAGCTGGACATAAACAGTTTGCGTTTGTGTAATTGTCAAGGTCAAAGGGTTGAGAGTTCCATGCGGCCGACACACAGAACCAACCTGAGAAGAACAAGCAGAGCAAGAGACAAAGAACGTGATACGTTTTTCAATGAGGGTTAACACACGATACTGATTTGTAGGGAGGCAACACTACGGGGGAAAGTTGAAAGAAATGAGTCACATCTGAGGTGAAGAGATCCCTTTAAATTTGGCCAAAGACATCTTAATTTCAGCTTTAGAGCAATATATGACTGATCTATGAGGCCCGTCGTTGTTTATTTTTGTCAATAAATAAAATATATATGTAAGGAATAATTTAAAAGCCACCGTGTTACTGAAATGCTGCAGGTGTATATGATTTATTCTTTATGTGCACTCTGTGTTCTCCAAAGTCTTCCGGACTCTTTTGGACTCCTTTACCAGACACTGGCGCCAAACTTGGCTGGCATAGAGGACAAAGTCCTGATATAAAGAAACCAAGCTTCACGACTGTGGTTGTATGTTGCATAGAAATGAACAAAGACGCTAATACTGACCAGCCTTGCATTTTCCAGACACTTTGGTCAGCCGTTCTTTCTCACAGTAGTGCCCCGGAGGACAAGGCAGGCAGCTATCCAGGCTCTGAGTCATGGGTTCCGGGTTGTAGTATCCACGAGGACAGGGAAACTGCGTAGCATGCTTAGTTCCTGTACATGTTAGAGTTTAATTTCAGACTAACATGTTTACCTATGTTTGAAAATTGTTTACAGAAGACAATAATATTCAAAATGACATGCAATGCTAATGCAATCTCCATTTGTACAAGCTATGTTCAACTGAATAACCATACTATGATGTGATGAAGAAAGAAGAATATGATGGACAGGACTGGTGTGCTTTGTGTGAGTGTACCGTCGGGACAGTAGAACCCAGGGGGACAGGGGAAGATGGAAAAATTTCCAGTCTTCTCTGGACAGTAATATCCTGCTGGGCAGCGAGAGCACCCTGGCTGACCGGCGAGGTTGGTGTATGTTCCAGCTGGGCAGGGCACCGGCATAGCACTCCCCTCAGGGCAGTAAAAACTTGATGGGCAAAGCCCACCTTCTGAGCCTGAAAAAGCAAATGCAATTAGATGCGACAGATCACCGAAATAATCACTGCTATGTTCTTAATGGGATAAATCCATGGATAAATGCCTGATTAACTCACTGATTATTCATTTAGCCAAACACCTCACACATTTGGTTTCTTGCAATTATCAGAAACTGTTTATCTTCTTCCATATTTATATTTATTCCCTAGTATTTTCAAGAAATAGCATTAATTAATTATATTTAATGTTGATCACTAATTGTTTTCCGTGCTGAAAGCTCGGGAATTGAACATCTTGTGGCAACAAGCACAAGATCTGTACCTACCTGTGCGTGTTGTGTCTCCGCCTGGACAGTAGGATCCTGCCTGACACAGACCAGATGGCTGAATAAGACCTGCAGTGCCACAGTACTGACCCGCTGGACATCGACTACAGCCAGAGGCATCTGCAAGGTAAAGACTGCAACAATGCAAATGTTAGGCACACAAACTATTGATGCGATGGAAAAATAATGTGTTAACTATTTTGGCCAATCAACCTGTCCGAGAAGGTCCCAGCTGGGCATGGCAAGGGGAGGCCGGTGCCCTCAGGACAGTACCTCCCCGGTGGACACGCTCCTCCTATTCCTGTGCTGAAGTTGCCATCAGGGTTCTCGAAGTTTACTCCTTGAGATGTTAAACTGCATGTTCATTTTGTTTTTATGCTACACACTTTGTTTAGGTAAAAGCTAATATTACACATCTATTTCCAGCTGTATGCCCATTACATACCTGCCATGCAGTAGTAACCAGCCAAACAGGGCCCAGAGGGTTCAAACAGCCCCCAGTCCTCACAATAATATCCTGTGAAAAACAACATTGGAGTGTCTATGAAACTTGGAAATCAACTTTATATCATAAAGGGTACTCATTCAATCCACCCAATAAATACATGAGCATTCTGTTTGATACTCAAAATCAAATCAAATTCAGCCACCAATTCTGTGTCTAGAATACCGATGTAGAACAGATGAAGCAATGAAAACCATGTAGCAACACTCTCACCTGCTGGACAAATGAGGCACTGCTCCACTTGACTGAGGCCGAGCCGAGGGCTGTATGTACCGGGGGGACAGGGCAAAATGCCCTCAACACCACCACCAAGACAGTAGTGACCTGCTGGACAGGGCTGGACACCCTCTCCAGACAGGCAGTATGTCCCCGATGGACAGTGATCACACATTTCTGCCCCTTTTTAAAAAAAGAAGAAGAACAAAAAAGCTGTCAATCAATTATGGTTTCTAAGACATTATATACAACTGAATTCTTAATACCTGTAGTGTTTGTGTATGTCCCATCAGGGCAGAGTATAGGAAAAGCTGAGCCTTTAGGACAGTAGTGTCCAACTGGACAAATGTTTCCTGTCACATCATCAGTGGGCTTTGAAAGCCCTGCTCCTTTTGAACAGTAATAACCTGTAAATCAGACAGTACTGAAGTTGTATGCATACATGCAATTTAATCCAAATACACCCTGTCATTATATTTATTTAACTACTGTCTTGTTAACAGAGAACAATTATTTTGATACATTATTTTTAGTTCAATTACAGTAAATTGGAAATGATCTGTGAGCAAGTACGGTACAAAAGTGTGTTAGCCCATGTTGTGTCGCAGTGTAACAATAGACTCCATAGCTGATCATGTAATACCATTATCACACAACCCTGAAGGCTGGCTAAGTCCAGTGCTGTTGCAGTAGAGTCCTGGAGGGCATGGCAGACAGGAAGTCACATTTTGGGCTCCTAAAGAGCTGCTCCAGGTTCCTACAGGACAGGGGTGCTGCTGTGGGTGTTTGGTCCCTTTAGGACAGATGTAACCTCTGGGACACACACCCCCAGATGCCACAGCCACCTGCAGGAGTTGGGAAAATCACTTATAAAGCATTTTAAAAACATAGTAATGATCGCCATGTCATTATTGAATTAATCTGAGGTAAACTGAATGTCACAAGGATTTAAGCTGTAATACTCAAACTGATAGTTTGAAAAAATCTTTTTCATCTTCAAGTTATCTTTAAGCTCATCATTTTGGCCTCTTGTAGAAGTTTAGGCATGAAACAGTGGGCAGTTTTAATTGGAAGATGTCATTCATTTCCTACGCATTGTCAACAGCTTTTCCAAAGAAGCCTTTCAGTCATTAATTTTGCTGGAAGCAAAAAGCGCCTTTGATAATCATTTTCACTTGAGATAGATAAAACTGGTTAGATAATGTATGAAAAGATTCAGCCTAAAAACAGTGAACATGTTTTAAAAAATCCTGTTTTTGTGATTCTTTCATTGTCTTTACACCACTGCATACATTTTATCCTATTTTTTTCTTATTTTCTGCTAAAAAAATCTGATTTTGAGAGCACTGGGGGTGTAATTGTGTCTATTTTGAAGTAATTTAAGTTACATTTTTCTCTAAATATGTGTTCTATTTTCGTGTGCTATATAAGTAGTCATTCATAATGGTTACCGGAGAGGCAGTGGAGGCCCCAGAGGTGCAGTAGTGTCCCGGGTCACAGAGACCTTCAGGTTCAGAGAGACCAGCTCTATAGCAGAATGAACCTGCCTCACATGGTCGACAGTGTTCCACCCCCTCAGCCCCATGCTGATCAGAAAAAGAGCCCTGAGTAATGAGACAGAAGCATTTTTATCATCAGCTATGCAAAATTGACACATAGTATAATAGATTAACAGAGTTAAACTGAAGAAATAAGACATGACTGACACCCAAAGACAAACTTGACTGTAGAAAAATAAGGACAGTTCATGAACAAGCAAATCCATGTTGTCACACACATATGAGTGGATACGAAACTGACAGGGGGACAGGGATGAGCCACTGAAGAGCCTGGAGGACAGTAGTGTCCTGTAGGACATTGCAGTGGCTGGGACAGGCCTGTTTGGTTGCACAGTCTTCCTGCTTGACATTCAACACATGACGCTGCACCGCGACGCTGTGGAAGATGCATGGACAGAATGTGACCTCAGGCATGGCAATGCTGTCAAATTTCAAGACTGCAATGTCAGTTGATACTCCGTGAGTACTGTATTATTTCCTACCGGCTGAAAAAAGCCAAGAGGACATGGCTCTGGCCTGGCTGCTCCCTCCAAGGTGTAAAAACCCTCCGCTGTTTCATGCTGAAGAGGTGATGCTGAGCCACCCGTACAGTAAAAACCAGGAAAACAAGGTCCAGAAGGTGAGGTGCTGTTGGTACCTGAACAGTAAAATCTGACATGGAGAAAAGCAAGTTGACTCATGGCATGTTTTTTCACATTGCCCAATCAACTGACAATGTGTTCAATCACTCTGCATCAAGAGGGAGTCAATATGAGAGATTTTACCCTGGTGGACAGCTAATACACTCATCAGGGCTGCTAAGACCAGTGCTGTTGCTGAAGGTGCCAGAGGGGCAGGGGTAGGGGGAGCTGGTAGCCAGGGGACAGTAACTTCCTGGTGGACACAGACCTCCAGTTGGTCCAGAATCTGGAGTCTGAAAAATAAGAATAGCAGCACCACGAAATGATGAAAAGTCACTCTAGTGACTATGATCTCTAAAATCAAATGTTTATCAAATTAGTCTAACATTTCTAATATTTCTTTCTACAAGAATTTGAACACTGAAATCCACATTAGTAACATATTTCTAGGCCTATGTAAGACACATGGAAACTAACAAGGATAAGAATTAAGTATGTGATTACAAACAGATAACTTTGAATGTTTCCAGAATAAGATTCAGCATACTGGAGACTTGGCGCCCACTGTGCAATAGAAACGCTCCCTGCAGCTTCCAGAAGGCTCTACAAGTCCCACACCGGTGCAATACTGGCCTCCCCCACAAGGGGTGCACTCCGACACATCACTGAGAGCGGAGCGTGAGCCGTAGGTCCCTTCAGGACAAGCTCTGGGAGTAGAAGTGCCGTCTGGACAGTAAGACCCCTGAGCAGAAAAAAGATTATTCATCAAAAATTCTTATGTGCTGAAAAAAAAACAAGCAACACTGTCATTCTAAATAATAACCATTCCTACCGGAGGGCAGAGTAAAGGCACTGGGGTTCCAAGTCTGTTGCAGTAATGCCTTGATGGACATGAAATACAGGCCTCTCCACTGTGACCAAATGTGTTGTTCCTGTATGTGCCGGCCTGGCAGGGGTAGGTGTAGGGGTCCCCAGTCCCTGGGGGGCAATAGTGCCCATCTGGACACACTTCTGTCTTAAGTATGACAACATAAATCATGACTATAAAGTCATTGCATATAATGTTGCTGTCAATCGTGAGTTATTAAATGATTAGTTGTTCCCTATACGTCATTTTCAATGCTGCCTCTTCTTACAGGCCTGGTAATGGGCTGCTCCTGGGGGTCCAGGGAGTAACAGTACTTCCCCTCTGGACACTGGACACATTCTGAGACATCGCGCAGACCAGGAGATTCACCATATGTTCCATTGGGACACGGAACGGGGTTAGGATTCTGTGAGTGCAATCACATTTGCCAGCCTTGTTATAATCCAAGAATGCTTCACACCTTCAAAATGGAAAAGGAGAAATGAAATACAAGATCTTTTTCAACAAGACGTCTGACTCACAATGCTTCCTCCTGGGCAATAGAAACCTCGTGGACAGAGCGTGGCTGAGCGCTGGGGGTCTCTGGCCAAACCCTGAGAGCAGAGGAAACCTGGGGGACACACCATGAGACTTCGCATGGCTTCCTCACTAGTTGTCTCATTACTGCAGTAGTGGCCCTGCAGGCAAGGAGAGCACTCCTCAGAGCCCTCGTCCTACACACAAGAGAACACGAAGAAAGATTCAGGGAGTTGAAGTTAAAGATATCAACTGATATGGGGGAGGGACACAGCTAAATAGATACAGGAGCAAGAAGAATTTGAAGTAGAAAATGCTGGAACAGTACTGATGCTGCTTCTGTGCTAAGAGTAAAGTAATGTTGGAATGCCATTAAAATGCAATTTAACTACTTCTCTTGCTGACATTTACAGATGTAAAAACTAGGCGAGTAATCTAAGACAATATCATGTGGGAGGTAAAGGCTACTCTAAAAATAGAACAATCAAAATGGCTTATGGAAAGATTAGAACACATGTGCTTTGGTCTCTATTGGTTCTGTCACGTCACAGTCACAGTGGACTGAGTTGGATGGGGCATTACAGAGTAGCTGCCAGCTCCACACACTCTGGGGTTGACAGTGGCTGAGTAGGGACAAAAATAGCCAGCAGGGCAAGGAGAGCAGTCCTCCAGCCTCCGACCTCCTTTCAGGTGGCGAAATGTAGAGCTGCGAAAGGCAAGACGGAGGGAATATATACACAATTACACACATCGCACAAGTACAGCTTTCAGAGTCATCATTCTTATCATCATCATTGTTTCACATTCTTTATGAAATTATGTTTACGGTGGGCAAGGTGAAGGTTTGGAAGTTCCCCGTTGACAGAACGAGCCTTGAGGACAAATAAAGCAGTCCTCCCTGTATCGGTTGCCCATTTGGATGCTGTAAGTGCCTGCAGGGCAGGGAAACTGTGTGCCGTATGCAGTCCCTGAGGGGGAAAAATCCACATAGTTACAGCGGGGTAAAAAACAATTTAGTCAGCCACTGATTGTGCAAGTTTTCCTACTTATAAAGGTGAGAGGGTCTGTAATTCTCATCATAGATACACTTCACTATAAGAGGCAAAAAAATCCAGGAAATCACATTTTGAAGTGTACCTATTAGAAGAATTACAGACTTCATCTCTCTAAGTGAAAGAAACTTGTACAATCAGGAAATACTTAATAGATTAAGCTGTGTTCCCAATACAAGAAAAAAAAATTGAAAGTTTGTATTTTTGTTTTTTTATGTGCCATAGACAAAATCTCATTAATTTAATTGGGATGTGTACCACATTAGCAGATACATCATACTTCTATTTACCTTCAGGACAATAGTATCCGGAATTGCACCGGCCTGTTGGGGCTGCAGAGCCAGCTAAACAATACCATCCCCGAGGGCACGGCTGGCACTCACTTTCAGCCTCCAATCCACTTTGACTGCTCCACGTACCCACAGGACACTTGTACTGTGTCGGGAACATTGTGCCACGAGGACAATAATGTCCAGCAAAGCATGAAAGTGGGGGTCTTTGGATACCACCAGTTCCTGATTAAAGAGAGACTGTGATCACTAACTTGGGAAAACAAAGGAGCAACAGATTTGGTTGACATAGAAACATGACAGGTGTACAATGTCTTGCAATAAATGTGATGTAAATACATGGTTATAGCAGTCATAGTCATATGTCTTTTTTTCTGAAAATGGGGAGGGTGATTTTTAAATCAATGTGGAACCTTTGCAAAATCATTAATGTCTTACAATAAATGTATAAAATGTATGCAGGTTGGTAAAGCAAGTTATGGAATGTTATAACTTTTTCAAGGCTATAATGTACACTTTAGATCTACGATAGACAACATTTCATGAGTCAAAACATTTCAATGCCTAGCAGTAAAAATAAAACTTTAATCTACTTCAGGGTATCAGGTAAACTTTGTTTTATGATAAAAAGCTGTATATTTTCAAATGCTAACTGAATAGAAATAGGAAATGTCACCCCGAAGACAGGCATAACGGGCTGGACACTGCTGACACTGCGAGCGGTCAGTCAGGTCAGTGCGATTGCCAAGTGTTCCCGGTGGGCAGGCATTTGTTGGTGCATTTGGTCTGGAGGAACCAGGGGGACAGATATACCTGTGGAAATGTTGACAATGTAATCAAACCAAATGATAACAATGATATGGCTGTGGTTTGGATGTAACAAAAAAGAGTATTAAAAGGGTCAGTATTCACATCAGATGCACATTCTCAGAAACACAAGTGTTAAATGCCACGGAAACATATTCAAACAGACAAGATTTGGTTCCGTAGACACTCACCCTTGCATGCAGTCCACATCAGGGGCTCTCAGAGCTATTTGTGTGCAGGCCCTTCCTGCATAGCACTGTCTGCAATCAGTCAACTCATCTTGGCCCTCTAAGGGGTTAAAAGAGCCTGGTGGACAGGGCATTGGGTCGCTTGTTCCCTCAGGACAGTAGAAACCAACTGGACATTTCAGGCAGTCCTTCACACCTGGAAGGACCATTTGTCAAAGATGAAGACAGGATTAAAGGATTGCGGGAGAATATACATGTTACACTCCTTCTTGACTGATGTTTCTTGGCCTTTTTTTTAACCTACATTTAATTTGATCATTGTTTCTGTTTGTAATCATGGACACCCATCTGTTGCAGTTTCTCCATAATACTTTTTTTTCTGATTCATCATGGGAACTAAACTTCACTTACACCTATATATCATAACTAAACTTCGCTCTGATCAAGCAACCATAATAGTGCTGGTGAAATTTTAAAGAACAGCTCCAGTCCCCCTGCGACCCCATTTGGGAATAAGCAGTCCAGAAAATTGATTGATGGATGGATTATAAGATAATTGTGAAAATAATTCCTATGACAGAAAGGGGATTCAAGTTAAAAGTATAAAAAGTTCAAACTCACTTATTGCCCCTTGATGAGGAGTAAAGGTACCAGGAGGACATGTCACTTCCTCCAAGGTGCCAGCAGGGCAGAACCTACCGCGAGCGCAGGGTAAACCAGGGCCTGCTGAGCCTGTTGAGTACAACACGCACATAGTTTACTCATACAGCACAGGATATGGACAACCCTACTCATTCAAAATGTTTGCAAAATCCCGTCTGGAACTGTGAGGGAACAAAAAGGAAAATAGAGTCCTGAAAATCTTGCTGTGACTACTTAACTAACTAAATCCATAATATTGTACTTTCTTCAAGTATGAATGTAGTTACTTTCTGGGCCAATTATTTTTTTTTATTTTAGTATTTGTTGCGTCAAGGAAGTGATTGTCTAACCTGCAGGACAGAAGCGTCCCTCTCTACATCTCTTGCAGGCTGCCCTACTTGTCTGACCCAGTTCTTTCCCCGCTGTACCAGCAGGGCAAGGTGACCCGTGAGGGGTGGCGGTGCCCTCCTCACAGTAATAGCCCTGTGGGCACAGGAACTGGGAGGTGGGTCTCTGTGAGCTACCTTCCAGACAGTAAAACCCTAGAGAAAAAGTATTTATAGATGAGAGGAACATTTTCTGAAGGTTATAACATATATGGTAAAGAGATATATCAAGCGGTGGTTAAACGCATCTTATTAGGGTTTGAGCAACTGCAGCAGATAAGATAAGTTTCAGTTTAGTCACACAACTCTGAATATCTTCATACATTAGAGAGTTTAATACCCTACCCGCAGGACAAATGGCGCAGTCTCTCAGCCTCTGCAGTCCTTCGTTGGACCCATACGTCCCTGCAGGACAGAAAAGAGCCACACCTCCCACACAATATTGACCTGGGACAAAGAAAACATGTGCAAACGTGTTTGACATCCCCAGGAAGAGGAAAGAAAAAACTGCTATAAAAATGTAATTATTAGACCAAACTCTGACCTCTTGGACATATGATACAAGCCGACTCTTCCTTGGAGCGTCGGTACGTTCCTGGTCGACAGGCGATGGGTTGACCAGACCTGTGTAATGATACGCACTGGGGGGTCTCAGCTCCCCCACATAAAGAGGACGTTTCGTTACATCTGCGGCAGTCAGCCTGTCCAGGTGTGGATGACCATCCTGGAGGACAGGGGAGCGGCTGGGACATGCCGCCGTCTGGGCAATAACTCCCTTTTGCAGACAGAGAACATATTTTCAATCACTTTCGGTTACATGGTAACAGATGTCAAACATCAGACACTGTATGGGTGCGGAAATGGTCTTTAAAAGCTGCACCACCTGCTGGACACTGCAGACACTGAATAGTGCACAAAGTGGAATAGAAACCCGGTGGACACTCGTTACACTCAGTGTGATGCACATTAGACTCTTTCCCAGGTCCACACTGTGGACCACAAATACGAAAACAACAACACACCATGAAAAAAACATAAAGCTTTCAATACCAGTTCTGTGACAAACATTTAAAAAGATGTAGTGTACGGTTTGTCTTTCACATGTTATAAATGATGACCTTATAAGGAAATCCGGACTTGCAGACGTAATCAAAAGGGCAGGTCAGACACTGCAGGATCCCTTCGGGAGAATATTGCCCTGCCGGGCATAGATAAAGTGTCCCATTGGCTGGATCACATGAAAAACCCGCAGGGCACAGTGTACAGTCCACTCTGTCTTCTGAACTGATCAGACCTGGAAAACACGGCTGCAATATAAAGAAATGAATAACTCATCAAATATAAGGAAACAAAAATACAATTTAACTACCGGTAATTACTGATTTCTGTATTCTGCTTTTCTGGCAAAGACTCCCACTCGTCACTGAACTTTTACATGAACTTGTTTTTTTAGCCATAAAAAAGTAAGAAGGTTTGTTGTGAAAAGAATCCATTAAGTTGGTTTATTGTTATCAACATTGCTGAGTGTGTCTTACTTTCAGCAGAGGGCTTGACATTTATGACAACTATGAGTGTGAGTGGGTCTTTTCTACACTGTTATGTTTTACCTTGCAGTCACTGACGCTGCTTTTCCCTGTGTAGAGATTGAACGTTCCTGCTGGACATCTATTGGGTGCAGATATGTTGCCAGGGCAACTGGAGCAGAAATATGTTAATTTACTGACATTTCTTTCAAACACAATTTATTTCAATTTCTTTCAAAGTGAGAACAGAACATAGATTATTTCTATGCCCCTTCTACAAAGAGTGAAAAAAAAATCCATTCAATTATTTCAAAGATGACTTACAAATGACCAGACGGACACTCTAAACAAAGCTGGTGGGAGAAAAACGTTCCTTTGGGACAGTGATGAAGGTCTGCCTCTACACTGAAAAGTAGGTCTCCACTTCCTTCAGGTGATTCTTGAAAATCAATGTCGGGAAGAATATAAAAGTTTGCCTTTAAGTGGATAAACAGACATTTAGAAATGATCAAAACTTTCTAAGTTGTTGTTCTTACCTGCAGCGACTCTGTGATGTGTCAGCAGCAGAAAAATCCCTAAAGCTGACAAACAGAGGTAATACAGAGGTCTCCGTGAGAAAATAGGCGCTGGACATCTAAAGAGCACAAGGACATTGGATTTTCCCCGCATTTTCATAATAGATTGTTTATTGTAAGCCTACATGGCTGATTGTTTCGAGCTATGAAAGTGAGAGGCCCCTCAGTCTGAAAGTGAAATGAGCCTGCAATGTGATTCCCAGGTGGTTCGCTCAAGCTGGCAGCGGCGTACAATTAGGTCCTGTCACTGTATATTCTGCTTTCATAATGTATGAGCATGTGTCAAAGCTAGCCTAGATGTTGTCTCTGTTAGTGGATCACGGCAATTATTTATACTGCAAATGCCTGGTCTTTTAAGAGACTTTAATGGGAATAACTGTGACATTAGAAAAGCTTATTGCTGCTTATACTGAATGTCTTATTGCATGAGCCACAATTAATCTTAATGAGGTGAAAATAACAACATAATTTATTTAAATGTAGTTTCAAAATGAATGTGGAGCATGTCCTTTTCCCAAGCAGAGACCAATGTAAAGTTACAGATCTACAGACCTATATGAAAACTGCCTTAGCAAGCCAGGTGTCGAATTTATGTACTTATGTACTAAGATAGAGAAGATATTATCAACATAAGAAGTCAAATGTATTTTTTTCCAAATATGCATTTGCCCTTTACACTTGCAACTGATATATACTTTGCAGGAAGTCAGGTGCAACAAATGGAAAATTAAAATATTTTTACCCATTTCTAAATCCTTTCGTCTACCACTTCCTGTACCAAACCAAAGAGCAGGAACATGTGGGTTCCACACTATGTTTTGCAGGTGCAAACATCACCCATCATTGCAAGAGAACAGGATATCTAAGTGCATGTCTTGAAGGAGGAAGATTCAACAAAACAACGAGCAACAATGATGATTTCAGTCAACATGATTTTACTCTTCTTCTTGCTGACAAAAGGTCCATAATATACTTATCTAGGAAAATCTATCTTAGCACTCTGAGGTAAGCTTCTGACTTTTTTTCTGTTTGTCTCTTTTTGTAGATTTTGTGTGCAGTGCTGATAAAACATCCTTTGAAAAACTGGCTGTGGAGTTGGGGGAAAGCCTCACACTGACCTGCACTTACAACTGTTCATTGGAATTTGTTCGTGGCCACTGGAGCCGAGCATCAGACAACTCTGACTGCCATGGAACATCTAGGAATGGGAGCATTTGTGCTGTGTTCCTCTGCCTGAAAAATGTGTCTGTTGAATATGTTGGAAAGAACTACACTTGCTACTCTGAGGACACAGGGCACCCTCTACTTCCGCGAAAAACAGAGCGTGTAATTTTTCTTCATATTCGAGGTAAATAAATTTACTGTTGGCAAATCTAAATGATACAAATATCCGGTATTAATGAGTTTTCCATTATAGCCACAGGTAAACAAATGTTTTGGTTTTGTTCACAGCACAAAGAAAAGTCCCAAACTGGACAACTGCCTCAAAGTCTGAAACTAATAATGGTGAGAAACAACAAATGGATCATGTAACTTGTGCCCTATTTAAAACAACGCTATTGGCACACATTGCTTGAAATTAATACACTGCTATCTTCTTTTCTCAGCATCTCTTCAACCTGAAACAAAAGATTCAAATGAAGGTGAAATTAGACTTAAAGCAAATAAACTGAAAAGAAGATATCTGTTAACATTTGTGATTATATGTAACAAAATGAAAGATAATGCTGCTGTCTGTGTTTGAACAGGAGAATTTACTGGAATTAAGCTTTTGGCAACAGTCAGTGTTGTGGTGGCCATTATTCTTGCAGCTGTAGCTGTCTTTCTGTGCCTAAACAGGAACCGGCATAGCTGGAATGGTAAAGGTGATTACAATATATTACAATACATATTTATTACGATTTATGGTCAAACATTTTTTTTAAAATGCATCTAATCTTTTTTCTGTTAAATTATTCCAAATGTCACACATTTTAGGGGAAGCAGTCATTTCCAGGTCATGGTGAGTACAATTACTGAAAACAGTTTTTGTTAAATCTGTGTTCATTTGTCAATAAAATAAAGAATTTGCAAATCATCTTCCAGTAGATAATTTCATAATCTTTAACTGTTTCAGCTCACCACATCCAAATGCCGCGCTCTCTCCAGTGAAAGGTAAAGATTTTGAATTGCGAAGGTAAAATATTAGACTTTCACCTACCAATGTACATAACCCTGTCAATCACATCTCTTATTCTCTCCAGGGACACTTTCATCACATAGCGAAAGAGTTACTTTGAGGATGCCACCACCAGGTAAGATAACCTGTTATTATTTACATTATTATTTACATTATTTCAAGAATATATAATGACTACCTATTAAAACTGTTTATTGTGTCTTTAAAACAGATGATGATAGTGATACTGAAGTTCCATATGCTGACATAATGATCACCATCAGAGGGGTCAGCACACCAGAGCTCACTCAAGTCAGCTACTTAGCAACTGGAGAGGTAGGAAACCAAACTTTATTTGTAGTCAATATATATGTCTGTTGTATTAACAAAAAAAAAAAACGTAATCTACCCTCAACTATCTATGCCTTAAATGCCTGAAAAAGTCTCCAAAAAATATGCAGAAAATACTTCTTTGAATTATGACTTATTTGAGGCCAAATTTGCTTGTGTGTAAAGTAGCTTGTTTACTATTTTTCTCAAACTTTTTCCATTTCAAGTTAATTGCAGGTTTAAACTGTTTAAGAATGTGAGGCCTTTATTGTTGCATTTGTCATTTTGTGAGCGTTTCAGTGGTTTTTATCGCTATACATGAATGGCCGCATATACTACTCCCCACCCAATCCAAATAATTCAGTATTACCAGTGTTTTAACAGTAATGCGTAGTATGTATGCATTAATAACCCGATCGCGAAAGAGCAGAATGTTCCCTCTTCTCTCTACCCCTAAGTGCACAGAGTCCAAGATATTCAAAATGTCTTTCAATTTCGGCTTCGGTAAAGTGGAGGAAAATTTTCTGAGTGTTATCAACAAAGAACGTTTTGGACTAAAAAAGGTGGACATAGTTGTAGATCCTGCATAATAAGATAGAATTTTTGCATGTAAGCACATAAAATATATTGTCTTACAGTCATTTATGCATCTATTTTAAGTAAAGACAACTTTATGTGAAGCTTTACATAAAGAAGTATTTGCTACTTATTCGTATTGACGGCAAACATCAGTTGGGGCAGGCTCTAGACCCCAGTGACCCTACACGGAAAAATCAGTATAGATAACTGATGAATGGATGGACATTTATTCATATGTTTACAAATGGTTGTAACAACATTATTTAGTAAGCACATATATTAATAACATTTAGATACACCAAATATTTTTAAGAACAACAGTGATATCAGCCTTTCATTTATGGTCATCAGGGGAAGCCTTGACCAAATGGCATGAGCTTGATTTTTTTTCTCTGTTTTTCTGTTTCATGTTCAGCGGTGGGGAGATGAATCAAGATCCTATTTGCAGGCCTCACGTTCAGCTGACAGACTGCATGTGCCTCAGCTCAGAGAAATCAGCCGCAAGATGAGCACAAACTCTGAGTACGCAGTCATCTCTTATGCTTGACATAGAAGATTATGGACAATGAGAGAAAGCAAGTGGGAAAACACGATATTTTGTCTATGTCTTAACAAATTCTCTTTTTTTAACTAAATACTGGTTTATTGTTTTATTTACTTATGCGTTTTCTTTAATAAACACAACCATTTTATTAATCCAGTAGTTCCTGTGAGTTTGTTGTTGTTTGACCCTTTTCGGTGCCCGTCTTTAGAACAGTTGCTAAGAAACAGATGTCAACAAAACAGGTTGGTTGGTTGCTAATTACGTTCAAACGTATTTAACAGTCGATTGCAAAGGCTTAAAGGTAACAGTTACTTATTTATGTTGACATTTAATTCACCTCGTTTCATAGGCATATCATTTTTCTAAGAACGACGCTGAACTACAAGCTCTGCAACTATTTCGTGTTCTTAGCTTGATTTAAATTCCTAAAAAGCTACAAAGCTAATTTTCGAAATCAAAGTGTGAAAACTTTTCCCCGTCAGAGTTTTGAATCAGAGATAGATATAAAAAATAAAACATGTCAGTGCCTTTCTCCAACACTCACTTACGGGTACCTCGAGGATTCGGGACAATATTAGAGGGCCTGGCCCGAGAGGTCCTGCGGGACCAGCCTGAGGACATTGCTGCTTTCGCCGCTCAGTACTTTGACGCTCTTCTCAAACAAAGAGAAGGTAAGTGCAACTTTTGTATCTGATTAAACGAGACAGTCTTCCCCTCGCTGCTGTCAGACGTCTGCCTGTTGTTCCTCTGCAGAGAGTGGCGTGGACCCTGCTGAGTGGGCAGCCAGGCTGGAAGACAGATTCTACAACAACCATGCCTTCAAACACACAGAGGTAAGTTCATTAACCTAATGCTGTCCCATTAGGGCCTTTTTCTCTGTGATTAAATGTGCTTATGCACAAGTTAGCCACTTTGCACTGGCATTGTGACATTAGTTTTGCTTTGTCTGTGTTTTTCTTCCAGAGGAGTCCTGAAAAGGAAATGGCCCCTGAAATGTCGGTTTCCAAGTGAGTCTGATTTTGTGTGTAGCCAAAGGATCCACAGAAGAGGGAGAGGATAAGCAAGAGGGCAAGGATAGTGAGATGCTGTGGTTATACTGTTTAATTAAACACGTATATCATTAAAAGGCTTTCTGGACTCACATGGCGTGAGGTTTTCCTATAGGGAGAGTTGTTTTTTTTCCATACATTCAGACATGCATAGGTTTTCTTAATAAGGTTCTTAATAAGGGACGTGGGATACGGTTTATTACAGTTAGATTGCTGAGCACTGGTTTGTATGAACATGAAAATTATGATTGTGCAATTATTCGTAATAGCAGCAGTGTGTTCTACAACTCTCCCATTCAGAGTCTGTAAAATACAAAGCTACAGAAATTAATGTGAGCTCAGCACTGTTAGAGCCACAGTGTCAAGGCTTAGCTGAAAAGGCAGAACTTATCAACATGAGACCACCAGCTTGTAGTCACAGGTTCCAGCTGAATATCTCAGAGATATCGTGATATTATGAAAAGGCGTCACTTTAATCACTGATATTACTCAAAATGTCTCCTTGTCCTATGGAGCATTATTCATATCAATTTTACCATGTCATTCTGTACTTTCTAGAGATAAATCATATGAGTCCCTAACAGAAGATGAGTCAAGTCATTTAGTAGAAGCCTGCACCACGCAACCCAGTGTCACAGAATGGGCTGAATCATCTGAACGCACAGATCATGAGGAAGAAGAAGAAAAAGATAATGATGATAAAGAAATTCGCACTGTTTCTGCTGAAACTGAACCTTCAGAAAGGAAATGTGTTTCAGATATACTGTCAAATGAATCCGTTGGTACTGACACCGAGAAAGACCCAACAATAACCACTCTTGATCAAGTTGACAGGCCAGATATGAAAATAGATAGCCAACCTGTTCCAGACCAAAATGTACCTCAGGCTGACTCAGAGCCCACCGACTCGTTTCCAGTCAGAGAAGCTGCACACGTAGATGTGTGTGCTCAGGAGTTAGGAGCAGCAGAAGCAGAGGGTGGTGATCAACAAGGAGGTGCCCCTCCAGAGAAAGACATTTTAGAATCACAAGTAAAGGATACTGAAGTTGATCTAGCAGCCTTTTTGCAATCCTCTGGCCTAGCTGAAGTGGACATCTGTGCTGGAGAGCTCGGAGGAACAGAAAAAACAACTGAAGCTGAGACCATTCAACAGGAGTTACATGTCACTGAAGAGGAAGAAAGTTTGAAACACCAGGTTGAAGCAACTTCTGAACAATTGTGCCTGTCTCAGAATGCAGTCACACATGGCAGCCAGCAGGAGGCAGAGGGTCAGGCACAAGAAAGAGAGACCGAAGCTTCTGGCAGACTAACTAATGAAAGTTTAGCTCATACTGATTGTGCTTCAGAGGAAAATATTTTATCCAAAGAGGATTATTTGGTTGAGGTAAGCTTTGACGATGTTCCAGAGACTGACTCAGTTAGAGAGAAACATCCTGAGGAAGAGGCTTCAGTTGAAATCTTACAGATTAATATGGAACAAACTCAACCAACGGAAGAGTCCACAGAAATCATGTCACATTCAGAAGACCAAGACATAACTAATGCAGGAGACGACCTCCAACCTGAAATGGAAAATGAAACTGAACATAATGATGAAGAGCGGGAAATGGAGGGTCACCATTCTGCATTTGATATGTCCAATGAGAATGTGGAAACAAATAACTCTCATGTAAATGACTTAAATGATGGTGAGAAAGAGGAAGGTGTTAAAAACATCCACTCGTTCGATCAGCCCAACACTGAAGAGAAGTTGGGGATTCAAGAGGATGAAACCAGTCATAAAAGTAAAGACACTGGGGATAGACTTGAGTACAAGTTTAACCATAATCAGGAGCATGAGATAGAAACGCAGCCAAATGACGCAGATTTTAAAGAAGAGACAACAGACTCAGGCGGTGGAGATGAGGAGGAGACACAAACACTCAGTTACAGTGAGATGAGAGATGAAAAAAATGACAATGGCAAGTGGGAACGTCGTTTATCACAAGACACTGATCCAAATACATCTGCGCCCGGAAGTGAGGAAAAGAATGAAACCTGTGTGGAAAGTTCAGAACACCCACCACCGGTGAGCGAGGCCAGTCAGAGAACTCTTGGGGCGTCGCAGCCAGAGGATACCACAGAGGAAAAAGAGATCATGTTAAATAGAGCACAGGAGCACGCGTTGGAAACAACTGATTCCGAAGTGCAAGAGAGGCGTGAAACAATGGAGGATCGGGCCACCGTGGGCCTGAGTCAGAGTGCAGATTGGACGACTGCTGGCTTTCAAGAAGAGGAAAGGTCAGCTGAGTCAGAGAAGGACACCGTACAGCTTGCAAGCAAGAGCAAGGAGGTAATCTGCTTCCTCTTAGTACAGCGTAAACAAATATCAGTTCTATCGAACCTCGCACTTTTATTCTGTCTTAAAATTTCAAATGAACATTCGGATGTTCCTGAAAAGCCCTGACAGTTTTACCATCTGGTGTCATAGGTTTAATATAGCAGAGTGGAGCAACTAATTTAATCTGTTCCATCCTGACAAGTAGGCTGAGGGTGAGTGTCTGACACAGAGATGGCTTTAGCTAGGTTACAGACTGCTCTGCTTCCATTCCTCGCTCAGATAGCCTATATAAAAAGAATCCTTTCAAGGGCGAGTCTGATCAACCCCGGGCTCTCTGGGAGTAGATGTTTGAAAATATCTCGAAAATAGTTGCTTGGATACTTTAAATGCGCCTGAAAGTCAGAGAAAAAATAGCATAGTCAGACATTTCTGCCTGAAAGTTGAACGGCCTCTATCATGGGAGTTTGCGAGAGACTGTTTGAGGCCTTTGCTCTGCTGCGTGCTCAGAAAAAGGGCATGTGGCAGATCGGCTGTCCCCCAGAGAGCTGCTGCTGCCTCTGCAGTCTGAACCTTGACACCCACTGATCCGTCACCGTAAAACCACAATTAAATCAAATTTTCTCGTGAATTAAGTCTCTAACATTTTTTTACTGCTGTCTCTCCTAACCCCGTCTGATTTGTCTGGACGAACGAGGCTCGAAAACACGCAGGAAGGGAGTGTGGGATGGGGTTCTGAGTTTCTATGGTAACCCCTCACCATCCTGCTCTCTCTTAGTGTCGTCATGGAATTAATAGGAGATGCTGATGCTGATAGTTGCTAGGCACCCTCAGTATCAGAAATCTACCTTTAAGAACAGTTTTCTAACTCTCTGATTAAAAAGTAAGACATGTAAGACTCTGTTTGCGTATCTATTTATATTATTTGGAATTACAACAGAAAATCTGCAGTGTTTAGGCTGTCTTTTGTAAAACCGACCCGGCATTCATGTCAGATGTTTTTTTTACTTATTTTGGCTCCAACACTGTTTACAAGTCCCCATGATGAGATTCCTGATTCTAGATCATCTCAGCTGGATGTAAACTGTGTTAAATACACCAATGCTGAGTGCTATACAAGCCAATTAACTATATTATGACCCATTACAATCGCTTAAAGAGCAGAATGCCTACAGTATCTCCAAACTACATTTATGGTTTAATATATCAAGCTAACCAGCCGAGGGACCATTAGTAGCATCTCTCACTCAAAATGTTTAATGGTTTGCAAACTGGCAGTAGTGTGTTGCTGTCAGGGATATAACTCAGATAAATGGATGTTTTCTGTTTCAATCTCTCCGTCTTGTCTATGAGGCTGGCAGAGTGTGGGCGGCCATACCAGCTGGGATCAGAGGGATGGAGAGGGCTGTTAGCTCACTCTGCCTCTAATAAATTTATAACACCTCCCAGCGTAAGACAGACCAAGATGCTTCCACAGTTTGGTTTTCACACTATTATTAAAATTTCAAAGTCAGCAGTTATTGTTTTAAGACCATCTGGATTACATTTTTTTTTCCATGTTGGTCATTCATTTTTATCTGAGGAGTTTATTTTTACTGTATCTTGTGCATTTTTGGGATGCTCATTGCATGAGAGAGTCACATGTTTTTAAAAAAAAACATGCACATCCAGGCCTTTGGAGAACTTTGAATCTCTGAAATAAAAGAATAGCAACTCAACTCTTTTCAGTTACATAACTTACATCTTCAGGTTGTTATTTATGGCCACTTTGTGCTATGTTAGATACTCGCCACAGTAAAATGAACACTGAGGGTCAGCAACCTTAATGAGACTGAAAGGATGAAACACATGCTGTTATGTTTGTAGGAGGTCTCTCTTCCCCTCCCTCCTTCTTTCTCTCTTCCTCTCCCTCTCGGTCTGTGCGTGAGCGGCTGTTACTGAACATACAGGGATTGCTAGCGAGCGCCAGTGAGGCATCTGTATTATATCACAGACTCACTTAAAGAGCGGTCTTCTTGGTCAACAAAGAAATTTAGGCATTCTGAGTGAGATCAGCTGAAGACTCCGAGACAAAGAAATGGACTGTCACAATGTAAGTAGATGTTTTAGATAAACTTTTCAGCATTTTTCAGTATATCTTATTTTTTATGTTTTTATCAACTTCTCGGTTTATTGAGTATACATGAACAAAGTTGTTTGACCAAAGTGGTAAGTTATTTCGTAATTTAGCTCACTAGTGCTTGTTATGCCTTCAGAATGTCCACTTCAAATGTGCGTGTTGCTCTTTTTTGTTTTCCAGTGTGCTAAATGCGCCCCATTGTTCATTTATGGTTCTGACATGATTCATCTTTCAACGCGAGGCAAGCGTGTGAAAGCCAGCCACGCAAAAGCTTTCAAACTTTTTTTTTTTCTCCATCATAAGTGGATAATGTCACATGAAATTTGCGTTGGGCCGTTTTGAAAAGATTAAGTCTAAAAAACCTCTGAGGTAATAAATAAATAAAGGTTCCCAAGTAGGTGTTCTGGCACACACGTAAAAATAAAAAAAGCCCACACCAGCGGCAGCACATCTCTGCTGCTGAGGTGGAGCTGTGTGCTGGCTGCTTAGTGAGCAGTCAGACAGAGAGGCTAATGAATGCTGGCCGAACAGGTGGGTGGTCACACTCCTACACGGAGGGGTTTCACTGGAGACATGGTGCACCAAGATAGTGGGATGTCAGTGGGATCATTCTGTGGGCTGCCTTTGTGTGAAATGCCAGTCTGTTTCCAAAAGTAAAAACAGGAGGTATAGCTAATCTATGTCCTCATCACAGTTTGAATAAGTGTTTATGTAACACATCCGTAGCCTTGGCACCAAATCCACTGACAGTTTAGGACAAGCAGCATCTTCCCGTTCAGCCCACCAGCCTGTGGTCCCTCTGGGATGGTGGACTCTCTTCTGTCCACGTCTAAGTGAGTGACTGGTGTTGACTGCGGCGACATTTTTGCGGGGTAATGCTTTTTCGGCAAATATTTCAAACCAAGAAGAAACGTTTTTCTGTGGAGATCGCCTAAAATCTAAAGCCTTCTAAACTATGAATCCAGCTGAAAATGAAAGGTAAATTAAAGATACGCACAGCAATCTTTATATGTGATTGTGATCCATATTATTCAATGTTTTTTTTTCTAACCCTTTTCATGATTTAAAAAAGAAAATCAGCTCTGACCAGCAGTGTGTGTGACAGGGAAAGACTTGGAGAGGGAAAAAGTGGGGCGACAACCCACCCACAGCCCCACTTAAGTTACTGTGAGCTTGTTCCACCAGGACGCACCGTTAGAATCGTACTGACCGACTCGGCAGACACAGTTAAATCTACTAAATATGCTGTCGCAATCTGTTGGTAAAATACTCCCACTAGTTTTTCACGGCAAAATGATCATCATATGATCATGAAATCTGTTCTCTCTCTTCTATAAACTACTACTTAGTTTTTTGTCTTCGCAGGAGGAGTGCAGCCGGCCCCAGGAGGAGGAGGACATCATGGACATCCCCCTGGATGACCCCGAAGCCAACAGGGCTGCTGCCAAGATCCAGGCCGGCTTCCGCGGCCACATGACCCGTAAGAAGATGAAGCCGGAGGACAAAGCGGAAGGGGAGGAGGTGAGCAGCACTGGGGAGGTCCTCAACGGCAGCCAGGGGGTCTCAGGTCAGTGTTATAGAACCAAGAGCTAGAAGTAAGTCCCATAATGCTGTTAAAGAGGGCATTATGGTTAGTGACTGTACATAAGGTAAGAGAGGCTACGACAAGCTCTAACCATTCTAAAACAAGGTAAGACATGCAGTGATAGTGATATACTTTACTTGTCTACAGTAAAGACAGCAAAGGTAAGAAATGAGCCAGTGTTTGTGGGATGTCCCGCATGTTTTTAGCCAACTCTTAAGTCTTTGCTCTTAGCAAAATACATAAATATACTTTATAAAAGGGAGCGCAAAGTAATTTGCCATTTTACACATCAGGAAAATAATCCATTTAAATGCTATACATAATTAAACACTTCTATTAAAGCCCCTTATGGCTTAACCCAGGAGTGATTAATGCAAGACTGAACTGAGTGACTCATTTAATTACCCCATAGGATCTCGAGCAACAGATGATTGAATCTTTCAGTTAATTTCTCCAAGAGCTTGGATGAGTTTGCTTGTAGAACTGCTGTTAAGTTGCCAGACATGAAAAACGTTCTCTTTTCTTGCGGAATGTCAAGTTCCTTTATCAGTGTTGGTACTGATTTGCTAGTTTTATTTTTTAGGGGAGGATCATTTTAAGAGATAATCTTTTTGAAGAAGAGGGCTTCGCTGCAAATTGACATTTCTATTTATACGTGAAACCTCCAGAAATACATGTAAAATACGATAAGAAATGTTATTTTGCGTCTCACAGCTGCTTTTTAACAGGGAGGATGTGGTTATTGGAGTGGATCTGCTTCAATGATTCCTCCTAACCCACTTCGTTGGCTGCTTTTTATCCTTAGGTAGGATGTGTATTTATAGCTCCAGGTGCACTAGGTGCAATATACACCTACAAGGCCCGAGCTAAATTAATGGACCTGTCTGCGTGGAACCGAGCATCCTGAGCTCCTCCCATTGGGGGAGACCCCCTTTTTGGGAAAGAATTTTCCATCAGTCATATCCATAACCACTCAGTTACCACTGAAACTCCGAATGCCCAATTCTTTTAGATTTAACTCCTGATTACAGCTGCTAAGAATATCAAAAATATATACCTACAAAAAGATCCATCCTTTTTAAAAATTAACCCTTTAATCGAAGCAACGTATCCATTGTTCTTCCATTTTTTTTCTTTTGAATAAAAGCAAATCAGTCTTAATCTGAATGTCGGTTGCTCTGTAAGAAAGACTTCAACCTTGATCATGAAGTGAGTGTGGAACTGTCCTTTACATGTTCTGTATTTCTTATCCGCGCCTTGCCTGTTTCTGTTTTTAGAGACAGGAAGATCGGGGGCAGTAGAGGGAGACGACACATCTGTGCCGGAACAGTGACGCCCCTGTCCTGACCTGGATGAAGAGAATTAGGAAAAGCAAGGTGGTGAGAGATGGCTGGCATAAGTTGGCAAGGCTGGCTTTCAGACATACCTTTTTAACCCCAGGGGTCCTTTTCATTTCGAACACAAATTAGCAGTAGAAAAATGAACAGTTTTAAGGGCGTGTTATGTGAATTTTGTGAACTTTAACACTCCTTCTCTGCTTCTTCAGCAGCCTCATCAGTGCGGATGTCTTTGACCCAGAATTTGCAACTCACTGCATGTACTTGTGAAACTTCTGGTAGTGTGCTAGTTTTTAGATGATGATCTGTGAATGTGAAAATGAATGTCCTCTAAATGCTAAGCAGGGCTTTTTTGGAAGGATCAGTGCAAATTTGTCAGTGTAAACACCTCGTACGCATCACTTCTGGTGATTAGTGGCTTCAATGATTTGTTATTCTGCATTGTTTCCTGATGTGCTTGTATCTTGACTATAATTTAATGCTTACAAATGATTAAAATATCAAACTCACCAAAAGCGAAAGTAGCTATGTATGTTGTATTTGTTTATTTTTCGTATCACAACCGTTCTCTTTTCACAATTTCAAGCTTTTTCTATAAATCTGATCTTCCAGAACATGAAGCATGCCATAAGTACACTTTTCCCAGATGCATTTGGTGGAGTTTTATCTTGTAAGGTAGTGGTTCTATATGCTCTGTTGTTGTATTAGTGGGCTGTACTTGTTTTACTTATGTGAATCAGGTGTGTAGAATTCCATTGTAAGACTTTGCAGAGCCTTTGTGCTTTAAAAGTAACTAAATACTAACTTGCTGAACTTTGGTGTAGAGTCATGACATTACACAAATAAATCCACCCTAAAGATAAAGTGAAATGTCTGTTTTAGACTTAATTCAAGGATGTGTTTGTTTTCAGCAACATATTTATGTCACCTGCATCATTGTCCTTGAATTAAATGGTAAAACATTTAGATTTTTCCACCTCACAGAAGCCGAAGAACCTCGTCTTCCTCTGCAGCAGAAACAGGGCTTTTAATTGGAGAAAGCGGGCTTCCTTGGAGCTGAAACAATGCTCCTTCTCCTGCGTAGTTCATTTACACAAGAAATCTAATGAATAATTCATAAACTATGTCTATTTAACTGTAATTAGCGGTTTGAGTGGAGAATTTTTCAAAGTTTTGAATCGGAGATGCATATTAGATAAGACAGCTTAAATGAGTAAATTGCACAGAGTTGCAGAGAACTGCATTCAGCCAAATGTTTTAATCATGCCACCCATGTGTTTTATCACAAACACATCAACCACAGATGCACTCTGCATGTCAGTTATTTTTATAATGCATGCCTCACTGTAATAAAGCTTTAGAAAATTACTCAAGTGAGGCTAAATTTGCTCTCCACATCTACAGAGGCAGTCTTGTTCGCTTTATGAGAAACAGGATAGTGCATCTTCAGTCTCCCAGTGCACCCACTCAGCCCACCCACACACATCTGAGCCACGCAGCACACTGCACAATCTGAAAAAACTGCACATGCATTTTTCGCACAGGAAAAACACACAGCCCATACTTTAACGTGCAGTCACCCATTCCCGGTCTTGTGCACACTCATACGTGTTGATGAGCGCTGTCACCAGCTGCACAGGCAGGACAACGGAGATCTCGTTAGAAGTGGTTTTGCAATGCCGGAGTTAAAAGGCTTTCCTCCTCAGGCTGACATTCCGCCTTCACCTAAATCTCATAAACATCCTCTATGGGTTTTATTTGGACCTGCTCTTTCTTTTTTCTCCTACTCAATCCCAGAGGTGCCACGGACACGCTCTTCAGTCTCTTTAATGATAGTGGGTGAACAATCAATATTATGAACACCTCCAAACATAGTGCAACACACACTCCATAATGCAAATTGAATTCTGACAGAGTGGGAAAGGACATGCTTTAAAAAAAATAATAATTTTAGTCAGAATATTGATAGATCTACATGTGAGTGAGTTTGTAGAACACATAGTAGGCTTGAACATACCAGTGAATAATAGTTCAGTCTCCTCACATAAGGTTGGATTATTTTAGGAGTACATCATTGGAAAGATGTGCTTGGTTGGCTCGTTCTATTTCTCAGACAGCTTGTCAGTAAGAAAAGATCTCCAGTCTCCCGGGTGATAATTAGAGACGAATATGCCAGTACAAACAGCAGGGGGCGCAATTATATCCTATCTCGTGGTTATCCCACTGGCCTCACCGTCATTAGAGGGACTGTTTTTTTCCTAAGTAGGTTACACAACTGAGCAATAATGAGAGGACAGAGACAAATGAACTTCATAGTCACAGCTGCATTAAAACCAGATCACCATTACTCAGCTGTGAAATAAAGGAATCCCATTTAAAAGACAGAAAGCTAGGAGCCTTTTTTTGGTCTTGCAGTTTTCTAAACATGACAATGGCCTCTGTCATAAAACATTCACTCAAACTAAGCAAGACACTCTAGCTCAATCTGTTCCCTCAGCTCTTCCTCTGCTGACTGCAAAGTGTCACACTTGATTTAGAATGGTTTAGAAGATGAGAGAAATGGAGAGGTGTGGCTTTTAGAAAAGGCCAGAGGTGAAGGGGAGAGGTTCCACTTTGATGACTCACTATAGAGGAGACTGAGCCCTGTGAGGAGTGGTGGTCCCACACTTCTGGAGCTCTGTCAACCATGCCTTCTCCTCTGCAGAAGATCCCTTTGTTTCTAAACAAAACACCACAAAAACGATTAACAAAAGATTTTATTGAAAGTGGGTGAAGTGACTTATAATGCAGCTGATTCATAAGCATGCACAACAATCAAAATGCCGTGATAAAACAGTATGGGGGTTTAGACTATGGCATCTCAACATAATGGAGCATTAGAAAAGCTTAAAGCTTAAAAAACATGGACTATTAGTATTAAAAACCTCTAATATAAGATATTATATATTATATATTTTTATATATATACATATGTGTGTATCAAAAACACAGTTTTGAAAGGCACAGTAAACACTTCTCTTCAAAGTATCCGTTCTTCCTAAACTTCAACATTCTGTCTCAGTGCAGTTTCCACTCCACCTAGAGGACAAAGTCTGTGAAACCTTTTTTTACTCGGAATTGTGAAGCTTTCATGAAGACACAATGGAATGGATCATGCAACCAGCATTATAGACTACTGTGAAAGACAACACAATGCTTCCAAGTTTTTATTTCTGTGGGGTGAGTGGCGGGTTTAGTTGCCAAGCGATGACTTGTGAGTTTATTGCGAGGCTCAAGTCCAAAGAAGGGGTTTGAGCAATGGAACAAAAGTGGGCCAAAGGGGGGGAAATGTTTCAGCACTTCCAGTTGGTTCTTTCTTAGAGCTGCAGCTCTGGCTCAAGTAGAGTCAATAAATTCAATTACCCCCAGGAATGTTTTACTTTTTGACAGTTAAGGATAAGTTTCCAAAAAAGACCATACAAAGATTTTCGAATATAACTTACATATAACTTTAGCACAATCGGCTGCCAAGAAAAGCGTCCAGTATTTCATGTGAGCGCTCAGTTGAAAGCGGGCTCATTTACACTATGCCTCTGTCTCACATGAACACTCACATGCACAGTTGGCCGTTGTTGGCTGTGACTGGGGTGCTGTGGGGAGAGTGGGGCACACTGTGACCAGGCAGAGGCCAGTGTTTCAGGCAGGCAGGCAGTGGAGAGAGTGTTGCACCGCACAGACGTGCCCAGGGTGGACAAACCATGCTCACTGAGTGGGAGAAAGACTCTGCCCAGGATACAAGATGAAGTTGGAGAGGAAGACCTCCTCTAAAGGCGAAGGTTTTATTGACATTCTATCAGTGGTGACGGTGTTTTGCCTCTACCTCATGCTTCTCCTCTTCACAGGTAGGTCCAAGTATCTTACTTAATAAGGAAGGGAAGATTCTTTTAGTAACATACATTTTTCAGAAGGCAACCAAACCAAAAATAACCATTTTACATTGTAAAAGTATATTGTTAAGCAAGACAAACCTGAGTTATTTAACTTTTGTTTGGTATGTGAATCCTTTCTGCATGATTAATTTTGTCCTTTTAATCCAAGCTAACATCATTATTTTTTTAGAATGAAACTAATCCTGGTTACGTTGTGGAACGAGTTTACGTTTGTGATGCTCCATTTAGCACTACAGTGTATTTGTTCATGGGGGTGCGTCAAACTGACACCCCATTTTTAGCTTAAAAGAGGTCAGAGTGGCCATTAAAGTTGTGTCAGAAGGGCCCTGTTGGGTTACAGGAGTTCATTTTCAAAGAAATAAGTTTTACTTGTGAATTGGAAAAGGTTGCTTTTACTTTTGGGAAGCTTTATGTTTACTCATGCATACAAAATAGGAATGAAAGTCAAAAGAAAAATTGTATGTTTTTTTTTTACATAACAGTACCATGGACCCAGTTTACCCAATCAGGCCAGTTTTGGTAGAATAACTGGACCCTGTGTCTATCTCCAGCTTCGCCAATGACAAAGAATTTCTCTCTCTAACCCTCTCTCACTTCTTTCAAGCAAGGAAACAAGTCCCAACAATCATGCCCTTGTCTCATTGCCTTGGCAACCCCTGTCAGGCGAACCAAATGGTTGCCACGGCAATGAGGCGATGCCCAGCTAACTGGTCCGCTGCAAAGAATAGTGAACAGTGCAGGCACTTTCTTTCCCTCTCTCCTCTCGAAGGTTGATCTCTCCATCACTGAGGCCAACCAGTAGGATCCCCCTCTAAGCCCCGCAGGCCAATGTTTAACCCTCCATGTGTCCAGACACAGCTGAGTTATAGTGACCTCTACTGTGAACATATTAGCTTTGCTTTGTTAGGTTTCCCAGACAGGGCCCCCCCCTAAAGTTAGAAATGTGGCTTACACTATAAGACCTGAACCCCATATCCCTGTGGGAGGAGAACAATAACCATGGAACACAAATCAAAATTAGCATTTTATTATCTCACTCCGAGGGGTCACGAGGAATTCCTGAATGTGTTTCTAAGAAACACATAAGTGGCCATGGTGTGACAAGACAATTATTAGCCTGAGTAAAAGCAACTTTGATGGCAATGAATTTGCCTGAACGAGGTAAACAAAGTAATTGAATGAATTTCTGAACTTTACTTATTAAAGGTGGGAATGTCAGGCTTTTGTTTTTTATACAAAGCTGCTCCTGTCAAAGTGAGTGTGTACCCGATATTGGATTTGTTCTTCTTCCGAACAGTTAGTCCTTCCTTCAAAATGCAGAGTGCTCTTATTTTGGTACATGAGGGAAGAACTCTGATGTGGAGCTAAGATAAGAGTTACTCAATAAAAAAAAAGTCTTAGAGTGATCGAATCACCATCTAAAAAGACTCTGCTCTGTGATTTTTCATTTCATGACTTTTAGCATCAGACAGCTGTTCGTTTTCTCATTATTTTCTCTGCTATATGTCATCCATGTTGTTTTGTCTGGTTTATTCAACCGTTTAAATTTCACCAGTCAAATCCCAATTTATCAATGACGTGAGTGAAAAATCCCACAAAGGCCCAAACACCTAACACCTTTTAAATCTTTTAAATAGCAGCCATTCTGTAGAACTTCAAAACCTTTAAAATATAATTTATCAACTATGTGGCCCAAAACAAAGCCCTTCCCGGCTACATATGTCTACTCTATTTTGTTTTTGGCTCCCCATTTCACGTCCATTTCTTTCCCTTCTAACAGGTGAGGTGTCGGGGGTGAATGTGACCAGCCAGACTCAGGTGGTGAGGGGAACCGTGGGCAAAGAGGCCCTCCTGTCTGTCAGCTACTCCAGCAGTAGCACCGACAAACCCGTCATCAAGTGGCAGCTAAAAAGGGACAAAGTGAAGCCTGTCACTGTGGTGCAGTCCATAGGAACAGACATCATAGGGAACCTGAGGCCTGAGTACCGCAACCGCATCCTGGTGTTTGAAAATGGCTCACTCCTGCTTCACAGCCTGCAGCTGTCAGATGAGGGAGCTTACGAGGTTGAAATCTCCATCACGGATGACACTTTCACTGGAGAGCACTACATCGAGCTGACTGTGGATGGTATACAAAGTCACTTTCCTTTTAATATCTGGATTTCCTCATGTTTGAAAGCATTTGAGCATATAGAGTTGGACACCAAAGAGGAGTTATGTGCTAAAAGAAGATCAGTACATATGATGATCTGACCAAGACGAGTCACATGTTAAGTGAAAGACATTGAATTATTCTGAATTTTGCTGGTGTTCTTTTATGATATTTTAACTCCTCAGACATAATTTGAGCTCAGCACGGCCTTTTGATGAATTTGAATTTCGACTCAACCCTGCTATGCTTTTGTCTGGTCCTCCTCCTCAGTTCCTGTCTCCAAACCTTACATTCAGATGATGGCCTCCTCGGTCCTAGAGTACAGCGAGCACTTCAACCTCCACTGCTCCCACGACAATGGCACAAAGCCCATCTACAATTGGCTGAAAGGAGGCAAGGTGCTGACCAATGACTCACGCCTGCTGCTTTCACATGACCAAAAGGTGCTGACCATCTTACGCGTTCTGATGTCAGATGATGACGTCTACGCCTGCACAGTGGAGAACCCCATTAGCAGCATGAAGAGCATACCCGTCAAGATCACCGTCTACAGTAAGTGGCATGCATCTACTGTTAAGCTAGCTCTGAATTCAAACTGTTCCAAAATGTCACAAGGAGGCTTGGTAGAAATGGGTGGTTCAAGTGCCTTAAAATGAATAACTTTTATACGCAATAAAGCATCACATTAGTGGTGGACTCTATGTCCAGATAAGGAACTTAATCTTCATTATTTGGAGATTATTTTAGAGTATATATCTAGAGTATTTACTTCAGTTTAGATGAAAAGGAGACTGTCAATAAGATGTTAGAGAGTGTAGAGTAAATAAAGTGGTTTTGAAACCTGCTCATGGAAGTCATTTTATGAAGTTCCCCATTTGCTTTTTGTTTCTTCATTTTAAGCCCAAAAGATTCTTGGTTAGGTGTCCTGTTTGTGGTTTGAAGTATCATTCAACCACATGAATTTGAATGCAAAAAAAATTCTCCACAGTATTTCTTGTGTCCTCTTGTTGGCCTAGACGTTTTTTTTTTGGTTTAGCAAAGGAGGAATTGAGGCCTAAAGCCTACTTCTTCTCTTTCAATTTACATCCTTCTCTGTGTTTTTATAAACGGAGGTTGTTTTTTTTTTTAAAGGAGGGTCGTGTTTTGAAAAAAATCAATACAGTCAGCAATTGTTTTCACTGGCCTTTTGAAGCAATTATAATCTCACGCTGAGCAGTACGCAAGCATGCTGGCCTCTAACAATGTTGTTTACGACAAGTGCAGATCCCGGCTGTGATTGTAGAAGAGTTGGCTCAGAGCTGCTATTACTGGGCGCCAGTGTAGAGCCACATGGCTGAGAGAGAGGGTGAGGCACTCTAAACCAATGAATGGGTAGTTATTTCGGAGAGGGGAGAAGGGAAAAAGTAGGCAGGTGGATGTGGGGCTTTGCCTCGGTGGACCACAGTAATTCTGACTTCATTACTGCCGCACTGTGATGTGCTGCATGAACAGACAGCAATGGGCCCTCAAACATACCCTCTTTTTTCTGTGTATGTTCAACAGTGTGGTACAAAGCTACAGCACCCTGATGTCCCACCTCAATGAATTCTATTCATGCAGATTCCAAACAGAGAAGACTTCGAAAGCCGAGTCTTCTTCATGCCCCATTTCCTTTCTCTGTTACTTTTTTCATTTAAAAAGATGCATCTTCATCCATTTCCACAAGCACTTGTGTACTGTAAAAAATCAGAGCTGTATGAAAAAAAGTTGAAAAGGTCACTAATGTGGTTATCAGATCGATTTGACATCTAGTCACATGTGGAAACTATACAAATCAGTGATTCAGGCAGCCTGTTTTTAACATACAAGTCCATGTGTCTTTGTTTTTGTATTTCTGTCTTCTTCTCCTAATCGCTCTGGTTTAGGACGGAGCTCGCTATACATCATCCTGTCCACAGGGGGCATATTCCTTCTCATCACCCTGGTGACTGTGTGTGCCTGTTGGAAACCGTCCAAGTGAGAGCTGCACTTTTATCTTTTCCTTGTGCTTGCATTTAGTTAGCGTGTACTTAGAGGCATTTTTCTGTCTTTTTCGTTCTAGAAAGAAACATCGACCTGTCCCTCAGAGAGCTCCGGTTTATATGGAGCAAAGTGAAAATGGACATGATGGTGAGCAACATTTACAGTTGTAATTTTGATTCATTCACCTTATTATCACTTGTTGTATTTAACCGACCCTTTTAGTAAAAATCTAACAAGTTGCAGTGTTACCAGCATTGACAAATGAATAAACAGTTCACTAATAAAATGTATTCTTTTGCAGTTGATGTTGTACCCAAACCAACTACACTAGGCCGGAGGAGTCCGATGCCTCTTTATGTTCTCAATGAAGATGTGAGTCCTTCTTTTGCTGATGATGTGACAGTTTGTAACCATGCCGATGGATCTGAGAGACTGAACATGGCTGAGAGTCCACAATAGAATATAGTGAAAAAGCCACCAAGTGACATCAGTAATGCTTTGAAGTGAGAAAAACATTGTGTTTATTGCTAAAACTGGGAAACACGTAAAACATTTGTGCTGTAGTTCTGAGCCCGAGGCAAACTGTGGATGATTATCATCTGTTTTGCAGATCATAAAGGAGTAAGATGAAAAATTAACTGAACAGCACATCTGTTCATTTAAAGGCCAGTGTATGAGTCTATATCAAATGTAATGCTTGTACGACACAATTGCTGCTGAGTATCCTACTTTAGGAATATATATGAATGAATTTCCCATAAAAAATAGGATCTGAGGAGGATTATACAGTTCAAATTTGGAACACCCTGATTGTGGTTATCTTGTCATAGGAGAATAACTAATATCTGTGGTGGCAATCTGGGATTTGGACTCAAAAGCAAGAGGACAATAGAAAGATCAGAGTATTTCCCTTGGCCTGATGGTGTTGCTGGAGTCAGGGGATCTTGAACTTTTCTCTGAACTCCCTAGTGAATAAGGCTGTTAATGTCAGTTAAGACTTTCATAAAATCATTCAATATAAACATGAGGATTTACCGAGACATCATTTTAATTTTTTTCAGGAGACTCTGGAGCGTCTGGAGGAATGTTCTGGCAATGCTGTTGGCCAGTCAGAAACTATCATCCCCATTTCCTACGCTCCGGTCCTTCCCCCCGCCACCAACAGAACTGAGCGTCCCGTCTGGTCCGCCCCCCGCCGGTACCCCCGCAGTCCCTCTCCGCTGGCACAGCCCCTCCCGCAGCCCCTTCCAGCTCCTTCCCTACGCCCGGTCCACTCCCCTGCCCACTCCCCGGGGTCGTCTCCACGCAGTTTCAGCCCGGTGAGAAAGGGCCGTCCTCCGGTTGGCATACCAACCAGCCACCTGCCCGTAGAACCAGAGTGCACAGAACCCAGTGATCAGACTCACTGTTCATCATAGCACCGACAACTGTGTGGATGGTAGCGTCCACCCTGTGATTGGTTATGCATCTGTGTAGGTTCTTGGTCTTTTTCTCGGAGCTTGCCATAAGATATATGTATTCATTAGGGCAAGAAATCGTCTAGTTTTTTTTTTGTTTGTTTGTTTTGGGCCGTCACATCCTTTATTTCTCTTATATGTTCCCATGGCTATGCACAGTTTATACCTGAGGTGTTTTGTGTGAACTCACAAAAACAGTCCTGTTCACCAGCATGTTGTATGTTGTGTATGATGCTGAGACAGCAAGGATTTTACAGCTCCGATACATATTTTGTTCCCATTGGTTTATGAGAAGTTTTGATATACAGTTGTACATATGTAAGTTAATAGTTTTGAAATTTTGAGAGCTTTGTTTCGTCCAGTTTGTTTTTTCTCTCAAGCGAATAAAACGTGCACATTATGTTCCTACTCCACTTTAGGTCACAGTTGAAAAGAAGGTAATAAAAACCATTGTAATCATTGGTTTTGCGTCATAATTTTTTTGTAAAAAATGTATTTTTCTTTCAGCTTGAGCTGAGTCTTGATTATGTGCATTGCTTTCTTAGTCCAGTAGATGTCCCCCAATCACTTACTGCTTTATCAGCCAAAGCAAACACACAAGATGTGGAGTTTGTTTCAAAGAAGTTTGTTCTTCTTGCCCTTTGTTGGACTTTTAGTATATATTCATATACTGTGTGCTGTCATCTCTGACCTGAAGCTTTAATTTGGATAGCAAAATAAAATGAACATGCAGAAATATAACACCAAAAACTTGTAAGAGGAAAAAAATGAAAGAGTCATTCCTAAATGAGAAATAAATGGAGTCTTCTTCCACTCTGGCATGCAGTTACACAGTGAGAAGCTGAGCCAAACAACTCCCACTCGACGACGAACATAATTCACAGAGAAAGGAGAGAGGAAATAAACAAACAGAAACATTGTGGGCCAAGTGCTCCTAGATATTAACATAATATCACATATGATAGGCTGAATTTTGCCTCGCCACACTTGCACCGATGCCAGAGCATAGTTCTTCTCACAAAACCGCAATACACTTACTTGAAATACGACTTATAAAAGGGTGCACCATGCAATGTCTCCTACTCTGTGTCACTTATAAATTGAGATCCTGCCCCAGTCGGTTCACATGGGCATGTTGGTTCACAAGTCTCTGTTATGCAGCTCTAAGCCAGCAGACATTCAGGATTTTCTCAAGTGAAACTACACCTCCACAAAAATCTGTACGTTGGATTTTTGCTTCAGTGTAAACTTCTGTTTGTTTCAAACTTACAGACAAGCTGCTGCTTTGATGAAGCCTAATACGCATTTATATAAGAGGAATTAACTCTTCTGCGTCATTACTTCCTGGCGACTGTTATAATTGTTCTGTTTTTAAATATCGTCACGCTACTGCTCCATTACCAGTTATTCTAATGAGTTGTGGGTGATTCTACAAATGCTTTTGAGCAATATAAAGCCTTACCTGTCTTTAGTCTCCTCTGAACCATAGTTTCTTTTGCCAGCTGTTGCCCTGTGTGGCAGATCTGTTAAAATGTGATGTAATCATAAATATGTATTTAGAAGCACTTGCAAAGTGGCCTGGTGTATCACTATTATCAAGATAATGGGTTCCATTCAGAGGTCCACCTGGACACCTTTTGTCATGAAAATCTCTGTGATTTTATTGATTGCTTTAATCCTGAGATGTGTCTTCCATCACTGAAGGTGAGTCTTGTGATGCCTGTTTTGATCTGGGCTTTGCAGTCTTTGTTCTATTCGAAACACCATTTATTCCCACAGACTCATGAATACACATACAGCGCCACGGCCCGACACAACTGCAAGCTAACACATAACATTTGCATGAGAACTTGCAGCTTACAGCAACTGGAAAATCAACCCCCGTCATATCGTGAAAGTAGGTTATTTCCATTGAGCTTGGAACTGCTTTTAACTCTATGGAATCTTACATTGTGTTTATAAGTCACACAGTTTATCGGGCCATGTTCCACCTTTCCTATCATTTGGCTTTAGGCTGGAAGGCAAAGGCTGTAATTAAACTCTGGGGAACTGCATCACATCTGGCTGCAAAGACAATGTGCTCATGTGATTGCGTATAAACACGTGTGGTGTGAAGGTGTCCAAATTGAGCTGAATGGAGATTAGGTATGATGCTTTCCATATCTAATTAATTACCTCTACTGGCTGCCTGGTTAAGCCTTTTTCCTAACGTTCTTGTTAACACCAGCCTGTTGGTGTGAAATTCCCAGCAGAAGAGAATGATTTTATTATTGGGAAGCTCTTAGCCAATTATTTTTTTTTGTAAGCAGGACTTGACCCATATAAGTATTGGTTTTTGGTGTTAATGTAGATCAATTGGTAAAAAATAGAGCACAAAGAAAAACCAAATCACAAACCCACAAAAAGGAACAATTATTTCCAGCTGCAACAACAGAAAAAGTAAAAAGTCAATTGTGTATAATACAGACATTTGATTTTGATGAGAGAAATGTGAGAAAATATTAAGACTGCACAATCACTTAAATATTGTTTTGAATTATATATATATAGACGGTAATAAGTGCTCTTCTAGGGGCTCCTCTGTATACATAGGTGCCCTCCAGAGACTATGTCTTCTCCTACTGTCCAACGTTTCCCCATAGCAGCAATAAGATTATTAGATTAATCAGCAGTTAAATAAAACATTATTTATAATAAGTGCTTAAGGTACCACTGCTTCGTATTTCTGATGAAATACTGAGATCCATACTTTGTAGATAGTAGGCTCATCACAAGTTCAGGCAAAAGCCTCACACTACTTAAAACATCAGGCCCGTCTTTTTTTCTCCATAGTAACAGTCCCATGGCAACTGGTACAAGTGCCAATTATATTTGCAGCGCTCGGTACCCTTTAAATGCCCTTCATCACCAGCTTCATCACTCACAACCTTACGCTCCTTCTCATAGCGTTGAGCTTTCATGTCCTCGTTTGTGTAACAGCGTGTTTGGATGTGAGTCACCAGCATCCTCGGCACCTGGGAGGGAACTGCCGGTCTCCACAGGAGGAGCAGCATCGCTCGCTGACACTGTGAGTTCTACACAAGCAGCGATGCTTTCCAATGTTATGAGTGTTTGTTTGGCTTTTTCTGGTTGGTGTTATTGATTTTAACCTAGATGATAGCTTTTTAGGAAAAATAATGTTTAGAAGTACGGATTTCTTTCACTGTTAATGGAAAAAACAATTTGCTAATTTATTACTACAATTTGTTCCTCACCTTTGGTCTCTTTAGAGATATAGATACATTATAGATGTTAGCATTTGTATTCAATTATAACTGGGTGAATGCTCATAAAACGATGCGTTTCTCTTGATTAGGTCTGCTCCTGTTTTTTGACTGATTTTCCATTCTGGTAACATTTGATACTGAGTTTCGAAGATAGAAACTCAGTGGTTGTGCAAGAGAGGACACCGAGGTCAGCATGGGCTCCGGCTCCTCCTCTTATTCCCCCAGGACTATTTACCTAGATGTGGATGGAAAAGTGCAAAAGGTGGGTGTTTCTGACTATTTATTGTTCAGATCGTTAAAATATGATGATTATGGAAGCTCTTGACCAAATTACTTCAAATAGGACATGTAAAGTCCACTTGGTTTTACTAAATGCGTTTTCCTAATAATTTAAGTATTAGGAAAATTGGATAAACTAATGCAATGTAGACTGAATTATATTTCCATGTAAAATACTAAAACAAATTAAATAGGTTCCACATAATTAATTGTGAAAATGCATATACAGCATAGGACAGTGCAATGAGAATATATTGACGGCATCTATTATTATCATACTGTTAACAAAATTATAAATTGAATTACATTTAAAGGTACTTGGATTAAACGTGTGTGGATAAAACTAAAATATATAGGGTCACTTTATAGACTCATTCAGAAAATTCTGATTCTTCTGGTTTCCTTATAATGTGTAGTCAATGTAAATAATCTATATCGATCTAATCTGATCATAAATGTCCCTTAAATAATCGTGACAGTCAAATAATCATATTTATTATCAATCTCCTTTACTTTAATGGCCGCTATTCCTTGGAGATTCCCCTCACCTGAGCTAAAATTAGATGATAGGGTGCATCAGTTTGCTGCACAGATAAAACCAAACACCTGTTGTTCACATGCTTATGCACCATAAGCCTGTCATTTCTGTTAGTGGTGATACAGAGAGGATTGTAGAGAGCAAAACTAAACGTCTAGCAGATTTTTCATGATAAGAACAACAAAGCAACAGCCATTGCTCACACAATACAAACAGCCACAACAGATGGTTGTAGTCTCAAGTGTCGAGTCTGAGTTCCAAACCTCCTGAGACTAAGATGAGCTCATCTCATGATACAGAGCGGCTCAAGTAGAGAGCTGGCTATGACACATTCCTGCTCAAGAGCCCCAGTCCCCTGGCCTGAGTTGATCGTTTGTCTGCTCCACTTGCTCATTTCAAAATTCAAGACTCATAATTCAATTCTCAATACAGATTTGGCACACACTCCCTTTAAGTTGCATAAACTATGCTGATTTGTTGGAGCATTCATTTTTAAGAGCTCCATAAAATCTCAAACTTCAGCTGTCTTTTTCTATCAATTTTCTTTCCCACAATGCAATCCTGCCCGTGCCTCGGTCCAATCGAACCATGAAATGATCTAACCCTTATTTCGCATTCTCACATTCTGTGTCTGCAATGTCGGAAAAATGCATGAAATTGGTTAACTTTCCTCGCCTGTCAGAACACCACGGCCTTGTGTTTAGAACACAGCAGCTGTTTGTGTGCAGGTGAGCCCCTTAAACGAAACAGCGAATGATTCAGATAGGCCACAGAAAAGTTTTTTTTACCAAAACATTGTGCATGTGTGTGACACTTAACATATTTAAGGCGTACCCTGCCTCCTGCCTGTGGGATAGGCTGAAGCCTCCATTCCCCCATGGGGAACAAGCAGTGTAGGATATGAATGGATGGAATATGCTGCCTTGTGCATGTGTATGAGGCCATGTTTACGTTACAGGTGGTGTTCAGTCGGCACTGCAGTCCGTGTGACATCAAAGAGCTTCTATGTTCCTCATCTAATATTCCCAGGTTTGCTATTTGATTTGGCTTTACATTCGCTTCGCACCTGATATTAACTTCGAAATATGTGAATGTCTTAAAACGCAGTACTGACTAATGTGGAACCCGGTTAGTGGCTGGCATGGAGAACAAGCACTTGTACCAATGATCAAAAGGACACAGTGAATCAGTCATGCACATCAAAGCAGACAATGACGAATGATAAAAGCCAGACTTTGTTGCGCCTCCCTTCAGTCAGTCTTGCTTTTAGTGAGGAAAATGAAAGGTATATAGACAGTTCATTTGGTTGGCTTTATTCCATTGTTTTTCTCTTTTAAAAAAAACCTACCTGTATGTGTGCTGCAAAAGCATCCAGAGCTCTTTGTAATGAAGTCTTGCACGACGCTAAAAGAATACACTTCTGCAGTGACAACATAACAACTGCCAAGCTATGACAAATGTAGTACTAACTATAAGAAATATGGATGCACAGGCTATTTGATCCTGAAATGTGACTGTAAACAGACATGAGAGACCACACTGTCATGCGTATGAGCCTGAGAGACATAAGAAAGATTAGGAAAGCACACAGCTCAGGCAAAATAACATCCATCAGAGTTGTGAGAGGAACCACACAACCCCAGTGAGGAACTGAGTCCTACATCTACTGATACCAATGCTAGGTAATCTTGTTTTAACAGTACTCTAAAGTTTCCCATCACATATCCGAGGATAAACCATGAGAGTGCACCACACCTTGTTTAATGCTGGGATGCCACAGCAATCTTGAAAAGACAATTTCACTGTTATCTGCACTTGCCGTAACTGTTTCCTGTTTATCTTCCATTGTATTTGGCTGTAATAACTGATCATGGACTTCACCAAGATTAGTTTAATCACACAACTGAGAGTACGATCTGCTAATTATAAGCATTTTGTGGAATATAACCTACTTTTTTGGGCCCTAATATTACACCAATCTAATTCAACAGTCAACAAACACATTTGGCTCCATGCGAACTTAATGTTTTCAATAAAGATTGATAACATGTGGTGGGCAGTTATGGTTTCCTTTAGACCATGACAAGCAAAATGGCATTTTATTAGCCAACCCAAGAGCCCTTGCGCAAAGACTGTCCACAGGTCAGAATTCAGCTGCACTGTACACAAGTTTTCAGGGCAACACATACCACCTAAACAAACCCGCTAGTGATGTCAGTATTCACTCTCGGTAAGAACCCAAATGATCAGTCAACACTGAGGATTTAAGGGGGAGAGAAAGTAATGCCAAATAAACAGGCGGTGGGATTGGAGGTTTATGGTGCCAGAGGGGGAGTGGTCGAGTAAATCAGGAGAAGCATGGCAATCTGTCAAATCTGAAAACAAAACCGCACATATCTTTATAGGGTCAAATGGCAGTGCCTAACCGCTGTGGATCCCTCAGTATCAGTGTCCTGATAGTCTTGTAGAGAATACAGTAAACCGCCATCTGCGATGAATCTCACACAACAGTACATCCCATCTGGAAATCTGTAAACTCTCTGAGTAAATAATCATGCTGAGTAAAGACTCACGGTCACATTTTTCCATGACAAAAGCATCACTGGACATTTATTTCTTCAAACCAAATTGTTTTGTTTTGTTTAAAACACTCCTCAACATGCTGACTTTGTTGTCTTATGTACAGACTCTTACATACTTTGAGAATACTACAACCTGCACACTTTGTTCTCACAACTCACAACTTTCATCTCATCTCACCACTGCAGGAATACTGCCATCACGGTGGTTGATCCAGAAGGTGCCATGGTTTCCATCGATCCCACTATGCCCACCAACTCTCCAAAGTAATATATCAGCATTGAAATTCTCAATTTACCAACTAAAATAATTTCTCTATGACATAATATATTGATTTAACATAGCGGTTCAAATTTGAATGTAAAAAAAACATACAACTCATGTTAAAGAATCTATTTCTGCACCTTTCTTTGATTTAAGTGTGTCGATACTCAAAAAAAAATAACTCCAAACTGTACATCTGCCTCCCCTACAGCTCATTGTACAAAGTTATCCCACAGTCTACCGGTCAACTTGGAGGTAAATGTTCTTAAACATCTTTCCTTTATGTGTACAGTCTTGCTGTGTAAAGGCTCCACATAATGATTCCTTGGGTTTTTGATGAATGTTTGCAGAGAAGGAGGAGGTGTTTCAGAACGTGTTGTCCCAGGTGGCTGAACAGTTCAGCAGGTAGCACATTTATCTCATTTTATGGCATGTGCTTTCCTCTCGCCACCATCACACATACTTGACATTTTTTCTTGACACCAGTAGAAATCCATCTCACCCCACGCACACGAAGACTCACCCACTTGGTCAGTTCTCCCTTTTCATGATCTGTTTTTCTCTCATAGAGCTTTTCAAATTAACGAAATAAAGACTGAGGTCACTAACAAGTTGGCCATGCTGGAAAGGAAAGTTGAACGTGAGTGCAGTGTATACACAACTCCTGAAAAGACCTGAAAGAGAGTTATGTTTAGACCCCTAAGCGAGCATGACTTTTTTTTTTGTTTCAGTGGAAGGCTTGAAAGTTGTGGAGATTGAGAAGTGTAAAAATGATCTCAGGAAACTACGAGATGAGATGACTTCAAGAGGTGTCAGCAGGTGAAATTCCGGCAAAAACATTTTCAAAAATGAAACGTACAGTACAGAAAGTGCGCACAGTGTAACATTCCTTGAAATGTGTCCAGGGTAAACTGCCAGTGCAAATACAGCTTCACAGATGATGGGAAAAAGGTTACTCCCAGACGAGACATCCCTACTTACCCCAAGGTATGTTCCCATTATATAATCCAGCATTACTACAGTTAAATAACCACCTCTGATTGCATTAAGGCCATTTTGAGTTCCTTTTACTATTTGTATCCACCATATACAGTACACACTCTCTCAGGAGACTATCGAGGCTCTGAAGAAGCCAACCTTTGATGTTTGGCACTGGGAACACAATGAGGTTTGTCACACTTCATCAGCCATTATTATAATGTGTTATAGACATGTCTGATGACTTGCTTTCCTTTTTTATTTCTCTGTGGCTACAGATGCTGAGCTGCCTGGAGTACATGTACCATGACTTGGGCATTGTAAGGGAGTTTAACATGAATCCCATCACACTGAAGCGCTGGCTGGTACGATTAGAGCAATACAGGACATTTAAGTCAGAGCACACTGAGTGTCTGTTCAAACAGTGGACTTTTGAACATTAAAGGCAGCCGTGCTGCTGAGAGGAGCAAAGGATTTCTGACATGGAAAATAAGTTGTTTTCAAAGGGTCTAATTACTGATCAAATGCACAATGAAAGAATGATTCTTTATCTTTTTAGCTGGCAATTCAGGAGAACTACCGTAACAACCCTTTCCACAACTTTCGTCACTGCTTCTGTGTTAGCCAAATGATGTATGGCATGCTGCACCTCTGCAACCTGCAGGTACCTATAAGCACCCGTGTATGCCTGTCAATGTTTGCTATTCACTCACACTGAGCTAAAGATGAGATAAAGAAAATCTGGTCATTTAAGGACATAATCATCTTCATTTGAACAATCAAACTGGGAATTTCAAAACTAAACAAGCCGTGATGTCCTAACAAAACCTTTCCTTCGCATTGTCGTGCAGGACAAGCTGAGCCTGACAGATATGGTCATTTTGATGACAGCTGCGGTGTGTCACGACCTGGACCACCCTGGCTACAACAACACGTAAGATTCACTATTCTGTCTCCCGTGGTGTTGACAGGCACAGCACGGCAGATGCCCACTGACCCCCACTATGTTTTGACATCCTCTGCACAACACTGTTATCAATGAACTGTGAAACTAGTTAAGCTTGAAAAGACCTCAGGTATGAAAACACGCAGATTGAGATAATCGTGTTGTTTTTGGGTTGGGGTTTCGGGCAGGTGAGAACCTCTCTTATCAGCAGTCCTTTGTGGGAACTGACTGTCCATCCATTCAACAATGTCCCCCATCAGGTACCAAATCAACGCTCGCACAGAGCTGGCGGTGCGCTACAACGACATCTCTCCGCTGGAGAACCATCACTGCGCCGTTGCCTTCCAAATTCTCTCTCTTCCCGAGTGCAACATCTTTGCAAATGTGGAACCTGAGGCGTTCAAACAGATGAGGCAGGTGAGATGTGCATTCAAAACATGCTTCAATCTCTCGCCATCTTGTTACAAATCTACAGATCAGTTGGAAGAATTTTCTTTGCTAATATAGACAGTTTATATTCAGCTTTTTTAATCTTATCTTTTATTCTGCACAAAGATGAATATGCTGAATTGGGTAAAAAAATAAAAGAATGAAGTCATGACACTGACTGAGCCTTACACACTTGATACACATCTCACTGACACAGTATACATTTGTAAGGAGGCCCTCCAATTAGATCTAATGAGCCACAAACCTTTTACAACCTTAACTCAATTTTCCCCCCTTAGATCCATCAATCAAGACATTTCAGAAGTTGACATGAAATATCTCTCTCTCATTGTGGATGCATTCGTCACAAAGTTTTTCCTATTGTGTTTCCAGTCGATTATCACCCTTATTCTAGCCACTGACATGGCCAAACACGGGGAGATACTCGAATCCTTCAAGCAAAATGTGGACAACTTTGACTTCACAAACGCGGAGCACGTGGCATGTGTATGTAACGTTTTTGCCTTGAAGAATCTGTTGGAACGTCCTTAAATGTTTATTGTACTGTATGGAGCATATTTGAACAAACACAAGCTCAGCTCGCATTTACTGAGTTTACCATAGTTACTGGAGGATTGTATTAGTGTTGTTTTTGGGAAAAATCTGAGAAATCTGAGGTTTTTTTTATCCTTGGATGAATGCTTATCATCTAAGTGTATGTATTTGTTGATATTTTTCTTCTCAGCTCAGAATGGTGTTGATCAAGTGCTGTGACATTTCCAATGAGGTGAGGCCAACTGAGGTCGCTGAACCATGGGTGGACTGCTTACTGGAAGAGTACTTCATGCAGGTGATTTTGATCAAAGAACTTCAACCAGATTGTAAACTTTAAGGAAAAGCATAGAACACAAGAGTGAAATATTAACTTTTTTCTTTAAGAGTGACAGAGAAAAGTCCGAAGGTCTTCCAGTGGCTCCATTCATGGACAGGGATAAAGTCACCAAACCCACTGCTCAGATTGGCTTTATAAAGTTTGTCCTCATTCCGATGTTTGAGACAGTCATGAGGGTAAGACTCTGATTTTGCCGGTATTGAAAACTTTAAGGAAAACGTACTTTTATGCATATTCACGGTTTGCTTTTTTTTCCTCAATTAGCTTTTTCCTCAAATTGAAGAGATCATGGTTCAGCCTTTGAGAGACTCCCGTGATCACTATGAGGAGCTTAAGCAGCTTGAAGATGCCATGACAGAGGTACTATCCATCCATCTTTCCAATTATCATGAGCTTCGGCACAAACTGAAACAAAAGCAATCGTCTCATAAATTTTCATTGGTTCATACATGCTTTTACATCTGTCTTCCTTTATCACCCAACTGGTTACCTGTTGCAATAAACATGACCCATTACTGGAGTGAATAAGAAGTATCTATGGACATGACCGGCTGCCTCAGACGTGCTGGCACAGTGGGGCCGATCTGACGAGTTTAAAGCAATTTCAATCAAATCAGTTTAATCGAAATAGCCCAAAATCACAAATAATAAATGAACTCCCTCTATCTTCAGAGCCTTGCGGTTTGAAGAAAGATACAAATTGCAGCCAAGAAAACACTTCTGCTGTTTTTATTATTCTCTGCCAACAAACATATCTGTGCAGGCCCGTTTCCCAAAATAACAAATGTGTTCCCTTAGAATCCAGTGTGGAGCACTGAGAACCATCAGTCGGCAGATTTATTTCTAAGAGTGTTTAGGTTACAGAAGAGCTATGTCACCATAACAGTAAATGTCATTTTAGAGAGAAATTAATTTGCAGTACTTGTACCACAGTAACCCTGCAAGGATGTATGAAATTAGACAGGAGTTTGTGGATGTTTCACAGTTGTTGATAGTACCATGGTTTCTGCTTCACACCATGAAGGAGAAGGAGGTGGCAGTCAGTCTGTCTATAAAGCATGTTTTACATGTTTATCCAAGCTGGATGGGACTCAGCAGCCATTAATGTTGCAATATCTTATCATTATGTCTGCAAAACAAGAGCTGATACGTGTAGAATCTTAACTGCCCTGTTTATAACCTCAGTCGTGCAGTTTTTCCAATGCAGAAAATGAAATGAAATAGCAATTTAAAGCACAAGGGAACCTTATTGGAAACAATAGATTAAGTTATCAGTTTTGACATGAGATTGACTAAAGAATTATTAGACGCAGAGTTAACCTGAGCCGCAGTGGACATAATTGTCCCCTTGAGCATAAAAGGGAACACTTTTTCCCATTGACTTTGTCATGGGAAATAATCATTGATAGTTCAGCCTGTAAACTGGACAGCAATGCAGCGCTTTACATGTCATAGTTTCTAAAATCGCAACCATATTTACTTTAAGTTGCATGCCATCCCCATCCCTCCCTATGTAACTCAAAAGCATGTTTTGTTTGTTTTATCTGGATATTATGGGGACTGGTAATTTAAGTGTTCACAAAGATAGAGTACAAATGTAAGTTACATTTTCATGATTAATTTCTAGTCAGAATTAAAAACATAATCATTAAACATTAACGTGGATTTACAAAATCAATTGTTTAAATTATGAATTTAGAAGAATGTTCTAAATTCTAAATTTACAAAATTTTTGAATTTCCTGTTTCAGACCAGTTAGATGTAACCTTAGAAAACAAAAACTCAATGCCAATCTTCCATATGTCAACAAAGCTCAATCTTCCATAAATGCGGTGATACTTATTATGTACATGACAATCTTGAGAAATTCTTTATGGGGACTAAAATGTGTGACAACTACTGTAGAAACAAGGATGGTCGACATGACTGTCAGGGTGTAGAGGAGGACCTAGATGCAGACAAAAATACAAGAAAAATACAGCAAAAACTGCAGCTGACCAGAGTAACAAAAAACTAAACTTAATTTAAATTCAAATGTAATAAAACGGAAAAGCAAAAGACCAAGAAATGAACAAGGAATATTGAGTGGGGAGCTGAAAACAAGAAGTCAGGATAAATACAGAAGACATCAACAGGGAGGAGAGTAGAAAGATGACTTACAAAGAAGTGATCTGTGACAAACAGACAACGATGGATGAGGATCCAACAAAGAGAATGAACCAGAAAGCTTTTACACAGGGAAGGCCTATTAGTAAATTCAGACAGCTGAGGGCCGGCAGCTGATGAGAGTTGGGTTAATGACTATGGAAACTAAGTGAAGGTGGCAGAGACATGTAAGGAGGGGATGGGAAAGTGAGAAAAACATCCTAAAAAACACAGTAAACAGAACAAAAGCATAACTGAACTTAGAATGCAGGAAGATGAAACAAACTAAGAACACAGAAACAGTTGACTAACCAAGAGAGACTTGAAACCCAAGAAAGCAAAACGAGACAAGAAAATCCATAAATCAGAACGTCCAAAAATATGACTGGGACAAACCAAAAACAAAGTCCAAAAACCCAAACCCAGGATAGGTTACAGCGGGCACAACTAATTACAACTCTCATGATTTAGGGAGGTTATGTTTTTCACGAAGTTAGAAAAAATATAAACATGTCAGCAAAGACGCGTGACAGGTACAGTTTCAGTTAAGATTTTCTCTTGGAACTATCAATTATCTGGGTAAACACACAGCACACACAAAGACAGATTCATACACACACACACACAGCAGCCCGCTTGCTAACATAAAGGTGTCTTTTGTTCAATGAGGACAGAAGAAAAAAACTGAAACTATGTCATTAGGCGGGAAGACGGCGTAAGCTCTGCAGTGAGTGAGTGCGGTTGTATCTGTGTAAGTAAAAGCAACGGATTCCCTAGTCGTGCTCTAGTGTTTAGTGTGAGTGTTACGAGTGCTCTGTGTCTCTGCCTCTCTGTGGACTCTTCACAGCAATCCCTCTACACTGACCTCTGTCTATCAAAACAGACCTTTAGGAATGTGCAGCACTTTCACCACGTTTGCTTCACGTTTTTCAACAAAGCAGAGCTCATGACGATGTTCTCACAGGACACACACCTCAATTAAAAAACTGTGCGGCCCTGTTGTACACAATGGGCTGGAAAGAAGAAGAAGAACATGTTACAGAGAGAGAAAGAGAAACACCTAAGACTTTGTCTGAAACAGTCCAACCGCAAAATCAAGCGTAACTGCCATGTTAATGTTAGGAGAGTACGCTTAATAGTCATAAGTGTAAACAAATGGGTGAAAATGCTGCTTGTTAGTTTTCTCACGAACATCAAATTGACTTACAACTGCAACCTCTTCTCCTTTTTTCACTTTTTCCCAAAAAAAAGCTGAAATCTGCCAAAAAATACTGAGTAGGTTTTGACTTTTTACCAAGAGAAGTCGATCCTCACTCATGCCAGCTGCTCTGCGTCAGCTCTTTTTCATGTTTTATGATCTTTCAATGCCCAAACTGAGATATCACTGAACATTTGTTTCCACCTAGTTTTATTTTGAGCTTTTTTTGTCAAGCACCAGCTTTATCCCATTTCTTAATTTCGGTTCTAATTTCATTTCAGGGTTCTTCCTTCATGGTCAAATTCAGAAAAAAGCTTGAAAAAATGTGACAGACCTCAGTGGAGACGTTCTGCGCTGCATTCTGAAGATGACAGCTGGAGAAGGAGGGCTCGACCGAAAGGAGATGGCTCAACCACCCTCCGAACTAAAATTAGGCACCTTGAAGGCATATCCTGAACTTTGACTTAGACTTTTGCACTGGTTGTTAAAAGGAGCTACTTGCTTCCCACCTTATATATTTAGGTTGTGCTTTATTTATACTTTTTATATGTGCAATAGTCTGAAGCACTTGTCCACATAGAAAAGTGAAACCAAACTTGGGCCAAAGGCTGAAGACCAAATGTTCAGGAAATGTATCCCCATTATGGTTATTTCCTAGTCCCTCCAGTAGAAAACGCACAAAAGTCAGTCATTTTCACCTCTTTGTAGCAATAAAAGTTTGATTGATGTTGTATTTGATGACTATTTTCCATAAATAGTACAGTTTTACATTATTTCACACCCTCCCTCCATTCATTTTCATAATCATTATCAAACTATTATTTACAAAAAAATAAGGCAATTTCAGAGAGACATTGTCCAGAATGTAGCACAGCAATGCATATTCATCAGGTTAAACACTCCTCAGCATTTAAACATTTAAACTCATTGATGGCCTTTTCCGAGTAGTACAGATTAATTAAGGGTAGAGGATAAGTTTTCAAGGAATTTTTGTTGCTACTGATTGCTTTTACATAATAACATTACACCATCTGTCACAGCAACTGAATGAGTTAATACTCATTCCTCGCTTAAAACTAAGCGAGGAATGGCATGTGGCATGAGGCGTGTGAATTACTCCATCATTACCTCACCTGCAGTCTACTTTTGACACACACTGAGCACCACCAGTGTTGTTTTGATGAAATAACCTATAATTAGACAATAATTGAATTGAATCGAATTACCAAAGGCCTTTTTTACTCTTTGATAATTTACAAACTTAATTTCCATTCCTCCAATTTGTGGTTCAGCCTTTTGAATCCACTGAGTGAATTATTGGTGGGGAGATTTTCTTTAGATTCCAATGTGTTTTTGTATGTTTGTGTTTCCTGCTGAAATAATTATCTCAAGACGACAAGAAAAAAAGGCGAGTAAACAGCATGTAAAGATAAAAGAAGTAAGTAAACATATTTCAGTCAGTGTGGGTTGTCTGACTGACTGTAATTACCCGACATTTCTCCACATCGCGTGACAAGAATGCATTGACATACAACCTGCAGGCAAGTCCCGATTAAACAATATATTGTCTCATCAGGACAGAGCAGTGTGCTGTACTCCCTTGCAAGTCCACTGTTCAAAGCACAGAAGAAAAAAGAGCTCCTTGGTTGAGAAAACATGCTGCATTTCTGTTCTATTTTCATCGGTCTTATGGCATTCTTTATTACAAACACAGAGGTTTTGTTGTTGTTTATTTTTAGGTTATGAGGGTAAGTGGCTCTTTAATTATTCCTGCTTTGTCTCAAGCATTAAACATCTCTTCTGGTTTGAATCCAAGGTCTGGACTCACCTTATTGGCATTTAAACATGTTTAGAGAAAATTTGTTTGATTATACAATGAAATATATATCAATTTTCATCAGAAAGCTTCTCAAGATGGGTACGTGGTCTGGTACGTAAAAATATATACCAGACATAAAAGGCTAATCCTGAAAAATGAAGTTTGATCCTGTGTCTACTTGGGCTAGGTGTCTACCACTTGGGGGGGACAAAGCTGGAAATGCTTAATTCTCACATTGTGACTTTAATTTCTCTTCTTTTGTCATTTGCTTTGTTTTTTATCTTATTCAGGCATTTTAATCTTATAATTGCTTTGTTTTTATTGGTTTGTAGAAGTCTCGTTTGGGACTTTCCAACATCACAGTCATTGATGTCAGGTACCTCCCACAGCATGGAGCACAGATCTGCACTGGTGGTCTCATAAATCCTGCTCTCCGGGCCAGGAGAAAGTTTAAAAAGGAAACAAAGGGTAATTTGATCCAATGTAAGCCTTTTTATCTGGAATTATCACACTTTATCAGATTAAAGAGCATGTGAGAACGACATATACTGGAATGTTGATTTAAACTGATAGAAATATTAATTTCACAAGGCTGCACAGACCAGAGTGGGAAAAAATAATCTGTCACTATGGTAATGTTAATGCTTTGTACATGTATGTACTGTTTGATTACCATGTTTTGACTTGTTCACACAAAGTCCGTCATACCTTTTTTGTGGAAATATAGAATTATGCAGCTCATGAGGTTTATCTTGAAACAGTGAGTCAGAGGCTCTTTCAGTTTGGTGTGTATTCAGAAAAAATGCCCATTAAGTGAAGGATTTATTAGTGTAGTAAGGGCTTTTGGCCCAAACTCAGAAAAATGTCATTGTTTATCTCTCTTTACTATTTTTTCAGGTTTCTTTACTGAGTAATTTCCCAAGTCAGTGCTCTGTGGAGAACCCCTCCTTGCATGCTCTCATCCAAGGGGTTAAGGTGAGGGCATATTAGTTTTGTGTGTGCATGAGAGTGTGTCAATGTGTGTGTGTGTGTGTTATGTGTGTGTGTGTGTGTTGACAGCAGGCTCTCTGAAATTGAAGACTTGCAGCAGAAGGACCTGGATGATCCATGCCCTACTTTTGTTGGGAAACCGAACAAAATATGAAACACATGTAAGAGAACAAACGCTTATTCAGTCTGACCTCACCTTACTGTCCATGAAACTGTTCTTCATTATGCACTTAATCTTCTCTGGCAGGATTTTTTTTGTTCTTTTTTTTGCTCTCTCTTCTATCAGCATAGTAGCCATGTCTCCCCCCTCCCTGGACAAGTGCAATTCATAGCTACGGTATCTTTTGTCACAGCACAGCTCAGACAGTGGCGTCAGTCTGAGGAGTGATTCAGCCGTACAGTACATGCCTCTCTGGTGGCCGGACAACAGCACGGCTCAAACCTCTTCATGTAGGCAAACACATGACACGGAAAAAGCTGCGCTTGCAGGATTTTCGGTTAAATCATCACCGATATCTCATTCCCCCCACACCCCCCCGACTCCCACAGTCACAAGAATGCCAAACACCTTGTTTGTCCACCAGACCGTGACGACAACACAGATTTACTGAGGACAGTAACATCCCCGCCAACACAGCGTGAAGCCAAAGTTCACAGTAAAGTTAAGTACTGACCCCTGCATTTTTGCGTCAGTAACTTTAGACACCGTGGCACAGGGAACAAAGAGCAGTATCACTCGGTGTAAATCTGTATAGCTGCCCTCTTTTATTCCCTCCTCTAAAAAGAAATAAGACCAACAGCAACACAGATTGTGCAGAGCGACACTTCTTGCATTAGATTTTCTGCTCTGTCCTCCTTCAGAATGTGCTGAGGTTCAGTTCGGGGAAAGATTAGACCTCCGGACTGGCATTAGGGTAACAGCTACATGTTTTTACAAGTGACGGAGACCTCACACGTTCAGCCACAGGGCCCCGGGACACCTGCGCTGCATCCTGTGAAAAAGCACTCTACAGCAGAGCCCAACGCTCTTAAATGAGTTATAGAAGTCCTGCTGTTCTTTGCATTGCTGTGAAACGCACATTACATGCATCATTTGCCTTGTAAGACAATAGTCCCCATAACTTTCACTTACAACGTAACTAAATTTCTTTGGTTGACCTTTGGAGTTTTGTTCATCTTCTTAATGACTTACAAGCTGTCCTGATCCTAGATTTAATAAAAAACACAGATGTACTTTAGTCCTACAGCTTTAATTTAGACCCAAGATCAAACTTTAGTTAAAAAATGATTGAACGCAGGCATATAAGCAATATGCCATGAAATAATTGGACAAAAATAAACAGTAGTGTACTTTGTTGACACCCTGGACAATACTGTAACTCAGAAGGAAAGCATTTGGTCTGATTCACCATAATGTTTTAAGTAAAATTAAAGCCCTTGCCTATAAAGGCCTTGCTTGAATACAATATCGCTTTTTAATATACTGAAGAGGAAATAAGTGTCAGTCTCTAAGGGGGACCTTCATTTCCCTGTTTCCAAAAGCTTTATAAATGAGTTCTTCAGAGTAAAATAATTGTTGGAGGGGGTTTGGGTTGGATATAAATCCCTTTTGTAGTTCAACCTGCCTTTAAATTGCTCTGGTGTTTACCGGAGTGCTGCTGTTCCCTTGGAAATAAGGAAATAATGTTATTTACCTGCTATTCATGTAGACTGTATTTAAACTCCTGAGATACAGTTCTCACAGTTAGCCAAGAAAGTTCAGTTAAACATTCCATGAGGCAAATTCAACAGTTTTATTCTTTCTTTTTTTTCCAATTACAGTTAAAGATAGGCTGATACACTGCAAAATGTGAGCCATAATACAGTGTTTTACAAATATGTTAAACTAGTGGTTGTTGGCAATGGAACTTTTCCCTAATTTGATGCCAGATGCAACAAAAGGCTGGAAAAGTATGATGTTTTGAGAAGAAATGAGCAAGGGGAAAGTGTTGCAGATTAACTAAAACCGATCAATAAAATCTGTCAAGGCATGAAAAGAGCACCTGAGAGAGACAAGGGAAATCTAAAAAGACTCAGAAATGCAAAGAATTGACCAATTGTTGAACAATAACAGATGATTGGTTCTTATTGTTCATTCCACAAAATATTTAAATGTTTCTCATCCCAAAATCCATTATTGTCTTTATGTCGGGTTCATTCTTGATAACTCTCAGGCCAATTAGGCTGAACTGTATTCCAAAACAGCCTATCATGACTATCATGGAAATATCTACTTGGAGTCAGAGAATGTTTACTGGAAAGCCCCACAAATGCAGTTTAAAGATCTATCATGCAAAGATAAAACCCCTGAAAGCACAAGGGTTGGTTGTGCTGTTGTGAAAGCTGCTCTCTGATGAGGTCATATCATTTCTCATATCAACACCACGCTATGCAAAAAAATATTGTCTTCAAGGTCACTGCACAGTTATTTTCAAAGGCAACATCGGTTTGAGTGAATATGAACAGATATGATTTCCACAGAGCTCGGGCATACAGGTAACTCATCTCGAGTATCCTGCATACCAGCATCATTTAGTTTGTATCTTTGACTGGTCTCGGTTCCCGCATGCAGGCAAAACTCCATTGTTGAAACCAGTTAATTCTGCTCTTGTTGCAAATGTTATCAGAGGATGGCCTTCAACCAAGATTTTTTTTCATGTACTAAAGAAAAGCTTGTTTTTACTTAACATGAAGCAGATAGGTGACTTCAGAACCGTTGTCCAATCCAGTCATGTTGTTCTTTCAAGCAAAAGCAAGAATGCAATGAGTAATTATTTCTATTTTCCTGAAGAAATGTGAAAAAAATCAATGTATAAAAGAGAAACATAACCCATAGAAAACAATAGATAAATAAATACTGTATTTATTTTCT